CCGGGTTACTGCGTTGTTCGACGTGATGGTGGATGAGTTGTTCGACTAGGTGAAACTAGGAACGTAGCTTAGAAAGTTCGACCTTTTGATACAACGGTCTATACTCCTATATTGATGCCTGACTCGTAGACAACGAGCGAGGACTTATGGACAGTGCGTCGTCCTGAAGATCGAGCGAGGAAGTCGAGAATGACCACTACCCCAAGCGAGGAGGAGCAGAGACTTGAATGAATAACCAGGTCGAACTTAGGGTTCGACCGACTAATGGTACAACTACTTATACAAGTACCGACTACGCACGGACCATCGTGTCTATGTGGTCGTGTTAGTGAAGAAAGAAACGTAGTGGTACGATACCAGGCACGAAGTGCGCACGGACCCCATTATGTAAGCTACATAATGTTCAACCTGCGGGTGAGCGCTAAGACAGGCGCCAGTATGGGCGCTAGTAGTACAAGGAATAGAACGGAAAGACAAATGTTTCATGCCCCAGTGGTCCTGTTCGCAACCTCCTGTGCTTCCGGTGCACTCGCTGCACTGATGTGATTGGCTTGGGATATGGGTGTGATGCGGGCATTGTCGCGATCATTTTTCTCCTTGACATAGCTGTGGTACACCTGGTAACAAGCTCGAACACCACCACAGTGATTGTTCCGACCGTCCAGCAGTCACATTGAACAGATGTACTTACATTATGAGATTATGAGCTTTATTTGAGCAATGCAATAAGCTTCTTAGAGAGAGCAATACAAACAGAACAAACAACTCACCAAATTATGCAGATGGCTCAGAATGAAGAAGGCGAGCTGGCATGTGGATCTAGGATGGGAGAAGTCAAATTAACAGACTCCTGATCATGAGATCAGGGTACTGGTACATTCACCAGGAGCATGGGCTCAAAATACATGCAAGACAATATTGGCCCATTTGAGACATGGGTGGGCAAGATGAAAAACTTCTCAGATTTGTCGCACATGTCTTGTCGTGTCCGATGCAAGTCACCTGATTCGCGGTGGTTGCTCGCGGGTTAAACTGCGATATGGGTAGCCGCCGGCCAAGCATACATCACATCCGTAAGTCAAATCGATGGATTTGCACGAGGGTCAAGCGATTTTGACCGGGGTGCAAACTTGACATTTGTCCCCCGGGCATCTGCAGGCCGTTCAAACGTAGGCTAAAGGATCTTCTGGCCGTGTACTGTACAGACTAGCTTCAGTTCGTTCCCTCCGGTCGCGCTGAAGCCAATACATCATTATCTTGTATAGATTTATCAGTGCTTCCGAGGTCAAAGAACCCTCGTTTGTGCCTTCAAAGGACCCCGAGAGACCCCACAGGTTAAGATTGTGAGTCGAGACAGACCTAGAACTGTATAGGTCATTAGCAGCAGTAGGACGTAGTACTGGTAGTTTGTACGCGAGTGTCGTCAAGATGATTTCCCCTTTACAAAACAGTGATCAAACGTGGTGTTCTCCGCCACGTAGTCTTGAATCAGCGTCAATACTCTATTTCAAACCTCTGAGACTCGGATCTACCACAGACGCTACTTACTGCACGACTATGTCTGAAAAGGACGATACCCTCGGGAGACGACAGTGAACGGTCGGGAGAAGCTGAAACCTTAACAGGTTCAGGACATTAGGCCAGAAGGCCAGACCCGGTCAGCATCGGTTCTATGATCCAAGTGAGTTGATCACAAGCTCTGGTGCCAAATTTGCGTCCGGACTCCGGATAACATTGATTACTGACGATATCTGCTCAAGACTCATGAGCATCTAGAGCAGTACTTTTGATTAAATGTTTCATGATGCATGCTGGACGCGTCTTGCTCTAGGGGTGATAGACTTGCAAGCAAGTATGACGACAATAAAACACCTACTTACTGACAAATACTCTTCCCCGTCTACTATGTAAATAGATCTGGGTATTGTTTTGCTGCGGTGTTCCCTTCCACGTACCGCGACAAGAAATACGCCCACGTTTGCGTCACTCCTCTTTAATGCGGTATTCTCATGTCCTTATAGCTTCAAGCACTAGAGCTAAGGCCTCCTTGATAATGTTGTGTACGCCGCGCCTGATCATGTAAGGATGCATCAAGTTTTCCCACCGTCATCTAACATGTACTCTGCGACGCCGCTCGACTATGTTACTTACGTAACCCAGGTACAGGCTTCATGTCCGGCAACCATATGTAAAACGTTGCTTCGGCCGTTTGCACAACGTCAAGATGGTGTGCACGAGGCAGCGCAAGAAACCGGCTCCTTGAATTTCAAGCCGTGGCCACTCATTGCGAGATCCTCCTATATACGGCATAACATCGGAGAGAAGGCGCAGTCTGTCCATTATTTTGTCAACCGCCGATCGTGATTCTTACAGTTTCTTCAAAAACTCTCCTTAGAGATTCAGGCTCGTGGAAACATCACGCAGTTTGCGCCATCTCATCGTCAGTTGTCGTCAGTAGTCACGACGATGGAGCAAGGGGCGTCCCAAAAATCAAGTGCTGATTGAATAATTCTGGGTCTGTCTTTGACCCCGGTACTCAAACGGGGTCACTGCTTCGTACAATGATATTTCCTCGGAATTCAACCTGATGCTGTGGCCCTTGCGTGAAATGTAGGATTGCTACAATGCATTCGTTTCTTGCCACGCGTACCGCAGCAACCCCTTCCTGTGTATCGCACGTTGCAGATGATATGTAAATTGCGATCTAAGCAATGACTCAGTGCAATAGTGCATTTACAAGGCAGACATGATGGCGTCAGTAAGCGCCGACGTTCAAACCAATTTCACGTTTCAGCTTACCCTCTTTCAGGTGTCTGCGGCGGTCTTCGATGAATCTCGATGAATCGACAGATGTCTAAGACATCACTTTGCAGATCCGCAGAGGGTCGCCTGATATAGACGTGTATGTCACTTTATATCAAACCTCGGTCTTCTCGCAGTACGATCGTTTGCTTGGCAAGCGCATCCAGTGACCCACAAGTGTCGCAGAACGCAGCGGCCTGTATAACACATGTGATCACTCGCTGATTGAGTCGAGGTTGCATGCAGAACATGCTAGCTTAAACGCAGAAGCTACAGATGAGTCAGAAGGCTAGGTAAGGCTGCTCCATATCGTCTAGCGAAGAGCAAGAACAAGCATCAGTGTGCTGCGGCGCTTGCTGCGAAGTCACCTCCAAGCGAAAGCTCCACAAGCATAAAAAACCCGAACAGCACTTCTCTCGCTAAATAGTCTAAAATAAGCATGGATTCATACAACAGTAGTACACCAACAAGTCGGGACATGCTCCCGCCATCGTAGCAGCATCACTTTTGGTACACAAATGCAGGAGACCGGGGAGGCATATCGCACGATACGCGAACGAGTGCGCTATTCTAAAGGCATGTAAAGATGTCCAAGTCCACTATGACGCAGGAGCCTCTAAATCTATCGACGATGAAGCGGAGTGTTCTAAGTATGTGTTATGTTGCAAATAAGGAGGGGACGGTATACTAGGTTGGTATGCGGTGTAGGCCGGTGGATGGTGAGGGATGAGCGTGAACCGGACCGATTGCAGTCCAGACCGATGCGAGATAACGGGGGTACGAGACATGAGAACGTAGGGGCTGGTAAGCAGTCGTCCGAAGAGAGAAGGCGTAGCGGAGACAGAGATGTGGCTAGAGACTGAAGACCCCTCCAGCCCTCCGACGTGACTGGACTGGGTGTACCATCACGAGCGAGATACCAAGGCCCACAGTCAACCCGATCGAGACTGACACGAGCTGCAGGGCAGTATCAAACCCGGAGAGGTAGGATTCCGTGGACGACGAGCCGGCTGTTTCATCCGACACGAACGAGAAGAGGCCACCGTTCGCGAGACCTGATGGCAGTTGGAAGAGAATACCAGTGATCTATAGAACACCGATTAATGAGGGATTGGTAGAGAATAGCTTTTGGATGACTCACCATGACGGCAAATGCGTTTCCATTGCGGAAGAATCGGCCGTACAGGTTGGAAATAAACCCAACAGCCAAACCGCCTACAGCTGCGGAAATGTCGCTTTGATTGGGGAACTTGGTGCCCGTGAAGTGGTTGCAGACCCAGCCAACGCAGGAGATAATAACGAGTAAGAGCTGTGTGAACCAATACGTCAAGACATACAGTTGCGAGACATCTAAAGAGAAAACTAACCGTCTCGTAGCGATTGGTTGGAGCTTGGTTCCGGAGACTCAGGGACAACGAGTACAACGGTACTGTTAAGAAAGCTGAAAGGTTCGTAATACTTAGCAACAGATCCGACAATTGCATTGATAGGTCACGCACCCCACCACAACGACGGCGTCTGCTGGTACCAAGGACCGTTGGGATCATGACTGTTGTTACACGTCAAGTCATTTGCCCCGGCCAACGGGTGATGCGTGATTTTCGAATAGGCTGTAGCACCAATCGACAGACCAAACCCGAGGAACAAGGAATAAATGATCGAGAAGCAGACGCGAACGGCTCCTGAGACAATGTTGCGAGATGCCAGCTCCAAGCTACCACAGAGGATGATGAAACCCTGAACACTAATGAGCTTTCCAACGTATAGCAAGGTGCAATGTGAACATACGGGTAGGATGAGCACGATGGACGCAGCACCGATCGCCGTGTAACAGAAGATGCCAGAATCAGCGAGCGCAGCGGCGATGAAACTGAAAAGCAATGTAACAGTGATCCTGGAAAGAGCGTCAGCAACAAAACTGAGGAATTCAACAGTGGGTATCGCTCACTCGAAGACGTTAGAGTAGAGTTCGTTACGAGCCGCAAAGACCTGGATGACGATGAGAAGGCAACCGAGGGGGAAGGAGATGAGGGAGTCGATGAAGGAGCCATTGAATGAGACACTGCAAATGGAGGCCGAACAGAATCCACCAATCAAGATGAGCTGCCAGAACTTGTACAGCTGCGGCTTGCGCATGAGATCATCGAGGTCTATAGACGCATCCTTGACGGATATGTCATCGTGAATAACCTGACCGCATCGTGTCAATGTCCAGTGCACAGATACTAGTAAGAAGCCAGCATACCTTCCAGTACAGCGCATACGCATCTTGCAGCTTGCCGATATCGAGGGCGCTCCCTTGCCGAATGAACTTGATGTTGCTCGTGCTCGTGGCCGTGTCATCGAACGAAATGAGCATCACATCCGGCAGGTACATGCAGCTGAGCGAGATATCGAGCACCTTGGCCGTGCTCTGGATCTGTGCCTGTAGCCGGTGCGTCGGGCCTCCGAACATCATCATCGCGCGTGCAAGCTTCAGGATGAACTCTTGCCGCTGCACGATCTCCGCAACATGACGGGTGATCTAACCGGGACGATAGTGAGCATCCGGCAACAGCTCGAGACCGGGCGAGAACGTACATAAACCTCGGCCTTTTTGCGCCGTCGTTTCTCGCGCCTCGCCTTGTCCTCTTTGTCCTTGGCCCTGAGCCGCTCCTTTTCCTGCTCAAGCCACTCCTCGTCGCTCGTCGCTGGAGTCCCTGGCGTGCTCGGCGTGCCTGCGCGGCTCCAGCCACGCTTCGGCAGGTTTTGCAGGACGCCCGTCCACTTCGTGCGGCTCCTCATCGACGACGGCGACTCGCCCTCGATGTTGAATGGCATCGACGCCGTCCTGAGGTGCGACGGGTGCTCCGGTGCGCTTTTCGGGTCAATCTCAAAATGCATGCTCCGTGGCCGGCTGAGCGTGGGCGAAGACTTCTCGACCTTCGGCATCTTGCTCTCCAAGGAGTACCGTGAAAGATGGTACCCCGGCCGCTTAATGCTAGGCGCGAGGGCTGCGTTGTTCGGCGCAGCGGCCCCAGCGATGTTTCCGGTGCTTGCGATGAGCGGGCCAAACACGCCCGCACCGTTCCGGGTGTGCGGAGGTCTCGATTCACCCCATGGCTTCGGCAGCCGCAGGTTTGTGAGGGACGCCACTGAGGCATTCGCTGAACCTGCCCAGCGAGGTGTCCGCTCACGCGATGGCGATTGCGAGCGCCGACCGGGCTCTGAGCGCATGCTGTCTTGAGTAATGGTACGTGAGGGCGGGAAAAACCCGGACGATGGCCGTGACTCGTCAAATGACGACCGAATCGAGGGTGTGCCCACTGTCGCCGAGGCCGCGTCGTTCGCATCGTACAGCGACAGCAAAGCCGAGAGCACGCCAGTATGCCTCGGGGGACCGAGCGGCGTTTGCGGGCTATCCGCGCTCTTCTCCACATCCGACTCTGTGTCAGTAGTCGCAGAGCCCGGCAGCCGCCACTTCGCCTTGCGCCGCTGCTTCTTCCGTTGTCGCATAATGCCGCCGTTGCTATGCCTGTTGCTGCTACTGTTGCCATGCTTGTTGCTGCCGCTTGCATCTGTGGACTCAGTATGGTGGTGGTGGTGGTGGTGGTGCCATCCCTTCCAGTTGCCGAGTATGCCACGCCGGTGCGCATTGATGACCTGCTGCGCCTGCTGCACCGAGTGCCTTTCCGTCCCTGCACCCGGCAGCCCCGCCGTCTCGCTCGGGTCGATGAATGCCTCCCCGGGGACGTCGTGCGACGGTGATGGATACTCGGACTGAGGCGCGGACTCGGATGAGGTCGAGGTCGACTCGCGCGTCAGGACCGTCTCCAGCCGCGGAAGGCTCGCGGGTGATGAGGACTGGTGCCGCTCTAGTGCATCGGTCAAGGTCTCGAACGCGGAAGGCTGCGGAGAGGAGCATCAGCGGCCATGTCGTAAAATGGACAAAAGGGGAAAGTGTAGTGTCCCAAGTGCCAAAAGGAAGGTTCACGCGGGTCTCGGACATACTTGTGCGCGCCGGCGTCCAGAGCAAATACAAACGTAACCGCGAGAATCAGGAAGCATGCACACGCGAATCGTCTGAGACAGCGATAACCACCGAGTCCGGCGGCCACAGTGCTCATGCGGCCTAGCGCAACAAATGCATTGCGAAGGCCACGGAGGCGAAGAAAAGCAGAGGAACGAGGACAAGGAAGCAGAAAAGAAGGCGCCGGCTTCCGCGAGGGAAGCTTCTCAGACACATTCACCTGAGAAGGAGAGTGAATGCGCCACAAAGCTCGCACGAGCGCTCCATGGGGAAGTGCCGCGTGTCCAATATCCGAAACGCGTCTATGCCAATGCCGTTTGCGACGTAGTCCACAGTCGCCATCATACACGCGCACAAGTCATTCATTGCGCAAATTTTCAGTCCCAGGGTACTGCATCCGCGGCGCGTTGCGAGATGACTCCGCCAATCGCCATCGTCGCGTTCCCTCGGGCGTGATATCAATAGGCGCTTCCGCTGCCTCGCCCGCAGCCGCACAACATCAGCGAGACAACGCGATACCAAGCCATGAAACCATCAATCGATGTGCGTGGAGATAGGCCGCGATAAGACGGGGACAATGCAGGTCGGCGGTCGCACTGTCGCAGATTCCAGGCCCAACTCAAAAGCCTCTTTCGCCTGGACCAATGTGGCGGCGAACAACGCCCGCGCCCTTCGGGAACGCATAGCTAATATAGAAAAGGACACTCACATCAAGCCCGTGCTCGTCCAACGCCCTCGGTGACTCCGTCGACTCCGTCGATGCATCTCGCTCGTCGTGCCACTGCACCTTGCGTGGTGTCTTTGTGCCTCCGGATCGACGAGTTCCCCCTGGCGGGCGATTGTCTTGCGTGGGCGAGGGGATTCGTGGGGGACTGCCAGAGTCCATGATGAGTGTTGACGTGGACTGGGTCTGGAGCAGAATGCTCTCTATTGATGGTTGTACATGGGGAGGCATAGTCGAGATTAAGATAGAAGAGAGTGAAGAGAGAGAGAGAGAAAAGGAGAGAGAGTATCAACAAGAGAGCGGAATGGGAGAGATGCGCTAGAGGCACTCACAGGTATATGAGGGAGGGAGACGCGGCCACAAGGCAATAGGGGTTGGCCGAGACCGCGGCGACAAACAAAGGGAGCGAGCGAACGCTTGGGATGTTTTGGAGTGCTTTGACTCTGTTGGTAAGACGTGCCGCGCGGATGTTGTCCCGCAGCAGTCGAGAACCAAGAAGCGCGACCGAGAACAAGTTTCAGGCGATAGTCGGTGGCGGTCGTGTATCAAACTGGACTTCGATACGATCGGAGTCTAAGTGAGAGACGGGCGAGACGTATTATATCGCAATAGACTGGGGCATGAGAAGGCAGGAAGAGGGAGTCCGCAGCGCTGTCCGAAGCATGCCGAGCACCAGCTCACTGTTCCTGGAGAGACGGTAGACCCCCGCCGACCCGTCCATTTGTCGCCGTCGATGGTTGACTGTGGAGCGGCGCACGCTACCTGTTGGTGTCAGTTGACGTCAAAGGGCCAATCGGCTTTCGCGGTCCGCTCCATACCGGGCCCGATCTCTGCACATCAGTGGCGGAACTGGGCGTCGGCAGCCGCAGCCGGGCGCTTCCCGAGTCCCAGCCGCCGCGGCGGTCGACTTCATTTTTGCCTACCATTTGTAGGGCGCGAAGTGGATCGCGTCGCTGTCTATCAAACAAGCTATTCATATCATCACCCCTTCTTGCTTGGCGACTTGGGCCGTCTGCGATCTCTTCCCTGCTCCAGTTCGGTAGGCCTAGCGCGCCGCATGACGCCTTCTGTCGTGGCTTCGTCTGCAACCTGTACTTCTGTGAGATGATCTGCCATGTCCGCCACCGCCCTTCTCTATATAGTGCTCCCACAAGCCTCCCACTCCTCATGCGAAGCCCATTTTGCAATTTGATGACTTACACGCCGTCTCCACAAACATCTGGCAGTCCAGATCTCCCTTGTCATCTGGGTGAGACGACGCGGACACATCTGATGCCATGAGTCCGCCCTATCCGATAATTTCTGCTGTTGGCTCTGAAGAGCTCAACCTAACAGTCTGGTTGCTTTTGGCGCTGACCGACTGAACGCCGATCCCAAAAGCGCTCCTCAATATCATCCGACACCAGCCGAGGGAGTATGTCAGGTGAGTATCCAACGGTCAGTCTGGCTTGAGGGGTTGTGGGACCTCGATGGCTGCATGTGGTGCACGGGGTAGCCACGTAACTGCCCAAAGTGCCAGAATTAGGCACGAGGAGGCAAGCCCTCCACGGTCGTCGAACAAGGCTGCAGGGAAGCCTCGACAGGTGATCGGTGAATACGGCGGATGATTTGGGACCGTCGCCTGCGTGCCGTCGCTTCCGACTATTGGCCTGCTGCTGATATGCTATGCTCATGTGGCCATGTCCAAACTCGCGCTACACCACAGGGCCGATGTCGCGAGCCTTCAGGGAAGCGTGAAACGGGCCAACGTCAGCACGTTTTGTGCAACCGGGCGCCATTCGTCAGCTAGTCATCGTCGGCGAAGGTTTCGGACCGTATCTGGACAGTCATCGTGGAAGATCGTTACGCATGGGGAAGCTTGTCGGCCACGTTTTCACCGGCCTGCTACGGTAGTCGGCGAGTACAGGCGGGTGGTGGTGCTACCTTGATCGTGTCACGAGACCGGGTCGCTTGTATGCCAATGCATTGTCCTTGTTTCTTCAGGCAAATGCTGAGGTATGTCTTCATCACGGCTGGTAGAGCATTGATTAGTCTTGTGCTGCATGCAACGCACATACGCACATATATCACAAGTTCTTTCGCGTCTCTGAGCGTCATCTGGTGCATATAGGCGTACTGTTCACCAAAATGTTCTAACCCTTTAACGCCTGCAACAACACGTTATGAAGGTTCGAAGAGTCGTAATCCATGCCTCGATGCAAGGCACCGGCTCGAGACTAGTTAGGTGTGTGAACGGATCACGCAGCGCTCGCATCACTTATTGCCCCATGTTGTGTCGACGAAGTCACTATATGCGCATATATGCAGCATATACGTGACTCAAACTCGGTAGTGAACACTGTTCATGTCATGACGATGGCGCATGCGTCACGTTACAAGCGGAAAAGTCGACGCAAAGGACACAATAATCTCAGCATAGCGTCAACGGATGCAGAGAAGCAGCGTACCTCGAGCCAATATACTCAACGAAGACAATCCACGAAGGTTGTTGCTGAATAAATGCAAGGTGTATGCACTCGTGTTCGCCTCTGCAGGATCTTTTGACGAGCGTACGACGGCCCCGTGCGCCAGATGCACTTGTATCCAGAGCGGAAAAGGGGGAAAAGAGCGACGCTTGTGCAGAACAAGACTGGCTGCGCGGAGGTCAGGAAGGAGCGGGGAAGGGGAGAAGTTGTGTCAAAGGTCGTTCTCTCTGCTGAGCTCTTATGTGAGGGTCGAAGGCGCATTGCGTCGGGGTTTGAAAAGCAGGCTTCTCTCGATCACTCCCTTAATTTGGTATGTCTATTTCTTGATCTGGCATACGTCTCGCATCCTTGACGTCATACCATGGGAGGTTGGTGTCACGATCCGCTGCGTCTTCGTTTTGTGATTCCTGTGTCTATAAATACGTTCAAGTCTTTAACGCGTTGTACAAATAGCTATAATGATGTTCCGGCACACGAACTCGCATAGAATTTCAATTTCTGGCCTGGCACACTATTTTATTGAGCTGTTCACAGTGAAATGTCTTTGCCTATCGAAAGCTAGATCCCGAGTGCTGAAAAGAGCAGATGGATCCTCCGCACACATAGCTTGCATGTCCAACCACACCAGACAAAGTATGCCCGATGCAAGAGGTGCGCGTCGGAGTCTATATTCGCGGCGCGAGAGCGAGATGTTTTTGCCTTCCCCGTTGACAAGATGCATGTATACGTAAACAGTCAAGTCAAGGATCTATGTGACATAACGGACAACGGAACGTATCCCCAGGCAATCGAACTCATAGCTGAAGGCTTCATTGAGGAATCTTGCACGAAATTCGTGTACCCTGCAGGCTACCAGCTTATATAGTAACCTGCGGAATTCACACATTGCTATTTTTTTTAGCCTCATAGGGACAGTAGCAAGCCTGTAGAAGATTATTTAGCAAAGTTAGAACAATTGTTGCAGGCGGCAGATGCAGACTTCGCAACTCTTTCCGATAAGCAAGCCCTACGACCCATAGTACCATTATTCGAACAGCTGGTCTAACGTTCTATACTGTTTCACTTCCCTTAAGTGCTTGATATCAGGAAACCAGCGCAATAGCGTCTGGGGTATACAGACATTGTGGAGGCAGACAGCCTTTGTACTTGTACATTCCAACCATAGAGCCGATACAAGAAAATTGGCAAAGCCATCTCCGAAGCAAGTTCGATCTTGAAATTTAGATGTAGATGGGAAGCGTTGGGTTCAATCCTCTCCAGTCAATTCCTTCGACGAAGTCTTTCTGGTCGATCAGGAAGTCCTATGACACATACCTCGTCAAAACGGGAGATGGCGAGTTGTGTAGAGTACCTACCATCGGACACTCGACGAGGGCTCCTTTCACTTGACTCAACCGATCTTTGACCCGGTCGAGCGGTACGTCGGGGATAACATGCCCCGGCAAAACATTGGGCACAATGTAACGCTTTGGCGCAGTTAGATGCATGTTGAGAGACAGAACAAACTTCAGTACTGACTGCGTATGCGTCCCAATCGCGGACTAAGTTCGTGGGCACAGGACGGAAGATCTCGGTGAAGATATCCCTGTTACGTTTCGCAGTCTCGTTCCATAGCCTCATCGTCTCATCCGAGATGGGGTCTGCGACTATCTGGTCCTGGGGCTCGGACAGCTCGTCAGGATTGGGGTGAGGAGCTGGGCGCATGAAACCCGTAACCGGCTCATGAGGCTCCTCGACACGCATGGGAGGGATCAGGCCGAGATGTTCTGGTCGCACATGTCAGCGTCGGCGGCATATGGAGCATGCCTTGGAACTATTCTCACCTCTGAACAGCTTGCGACGCAAAGTAGTAGCGAATCGGCTGGCCATGAAGGGCCTCCCATCCATCGTAGATTCCACCATGTCGTCGTCCTCGATGACCAGTGCAATTTCGGAATCGCCGTCGCCCTGCGGATAGGCACAGGTCAGCAGAAGTGCATACATTAACGAGCGATAGTCCCACCTTCTGACTTCGATCATTGATATTGGCTGAACCAAGCTGGAAAGACACGTCAGACTGATCTCAGCGAGCAACATCAAGTGCACTTACAATAACTCTCTGGTCGTCTACAATCATCACTTTGGAGTGAATGTAAAGTAGCTCCGACACGTACGCGGCCTTCTCCTCTTCGACCGTGCCGAGCCATTTCTCCTCAAGGAGACTGGTGCGGTCACTGAGCATATGCTGCACCACGTTGTCCGAGACGTCGTCGTCATTCCGCAGCCGATCTGCGGCGCCCTTCCATCGCTCGAGGATCTCGACGGCCTCCTCGTACGACTTGGGGAGCTGATACGTCTCTGTCTTGAGCTCGGCCTTCCCGCCAGCGGGCGAGAGCTCCTCCGTGTAGGCGCCAGTGGGGAGGACGACGCTGACGTCCTGCGGTTCCAGGGCTTCTTCGTGTTTGCCTACCCACAATCGTGCGAGTGCGACCATCGCTTGATGGAACTTCACACCGCTATCTTCCTCAAGGAGCGAGAGGAAGGACGCTAAGAAAAAGCGAGTCACGCAAGCGTGAAATGGTGAAGTCTAAAAATAGCGTACGGTACGGGGCGTTAATGCGGTCGTATGCACGAAGATGGTAGAACTTGATGTAATCCTCTCTGCACAATATCCAATGAGAGACCTGAAGTTACTACCAGCAGCAAGCACGTACGGGTTGAATCCTGCCTTCCGAATTTCCTCATAGATACTGTGGCCTCCTCGGTTCATCGTGCGATACTGGGCGGCCATAATTATCTTGACGGAACTGTCTTCCTTGACTAAATTTGCCTGTTAGTAGGACGCTCATCATGGTGCACTAGGAGCGTACCCGGCCCCGCAAAGCCCGGAACTTCTGGAATGAGCACGATCACCTGGGGAGGACAAGTTATAAATACGACGCATTCCCCATCGCACGCGCCCTACCTTGAACTTCTTGTCATCTCTAGCTGCCATCAGAATCCGTTCGACAAGAGCGGCGGCAATCTGATTCTTCACGGGGCCGTCACGTGTTGTAGTAGAAATGCTAATGTAGACCTGAGCGGATGAAGGCTACTGCTTTATAGTTCAACTCACAAGAACTGGTTTTCTGCAATGAGTTGCTTGTATTAGCGATAAGAGATGTATGGCAACGGAATTCATGTACCGATGTAGACAAAATGGTTCGCTTCGAGAATAAGTTGGCAGTCTGCAAACGCAATGCATGAGCATCCCATGTAATCGTCGGTAGCGATAACAACTCGATACAGATAAATGATACCTACAGGCATTCTGGATGCTATGCTCGGTCAGCACGCCGTGGCTCCAGTCGGACACGCTCCGAATCGCTTGCACGCGGCATGTCCCGTTCGGCGGACGAGGGTACAGTTCTGGGTTGTCTTCTTCATAGTCGACATCATCGTAATCGCGCCGGGCAACGTGATGAAAACGCTCTTTGAAGCGACGACCCATGGCTTTCCACTGCTCGCGGTGTGGATGGCCTATCATGATCCACTTAATAAATCAGCAGATGCAGAGAAGAAATGTTGCATACGGGCGACAGCCTCGTTCGGGGCGGCTTCGACGTTGTGCGGAAGGGCAAGCCAGTCATACCGTCTTAGAATTACATGTGTGAGCGTTGCGTTGTCATGCCGCATAGAAAGAGCACTGACTGCTCGTGTTTATACTATGTAAACACGAGATATAAGCCGTAAACGCAAAAAAGGGTGAGAACCTAGCTCACTTTCCGTCTCTTCACTTCGTTCCATCGTTCGACGAAGTGTTGCGCTAGATCCAATACAACCGGACCACATAGCGTCATGTGGACCTATTAGCCATTAGCACATCTCCCCATATCGGGTACCACACTCGAAGGGGGGGGACACAAACTCACGTCGTGCCACGGCATTCTCGCGCTCTCGATGACACTGAGCCCGTTGCTTACGTAGTTCTGTACATTCTTGAAGTCCATGATGCGCGCGTTATTGTAATCCTGCCCGGGAAACAGTGTGCGCCCGAGATCAGTCGGATGCACGTCTGCGAGCGGATGCGTGGGCGTATCCCAGCGGCCGAAGCAGAGGTCGAGACCGCCTACACAGGCGCGGTGGTTGTCGATAATAACAAGCTGTATCTCGAATATTACTCGTGCAAGCAGCAGGGACAGCATGCTCACAAACCTTCTCGTGATGCGACCAGAACTCAACGTCGTCTATGAATATGTCAGGGTTCGATTCTACCGCTACTTGACTAATCAGTTTACCCTGGCTGCCAATATGGTCTGGATGCCGCATGCAGGCGATGTTAGGATGTAAATCTTCTAGCGCATGCTGCTTACCGGTGAGTCAGGGTTACTAGAATTCAAGGCACAACCGACCTTCGTGTGAGAAGAGCTCATCGACATCGTCTGTGTCACTTCCTTGTACACTACGACGTAGATACGGACGCCCTCCTCTGCCTTGCGTTTCAAGAGGCGGTCAAGGCGCCATTCTTGGTTGTACGCTGCCGGGCGGCGCAGGTAGAGTTCGGGCGTAAGCCACCAATCCTAATTACCATCAGGGGCAGCGACGACAGGTATATACGTTTCACATACAAGGATGAAGATAGCCTCTCGTGCTTTATCAAGCATCTCCGAAAGGGCATACATATAATCATGGCCATCGATGTGCCTGAATTATATATTTCATGGGTATCCTGACAATGTGTGCATGGCTGCATACGCACCATTTGACGAAGTTCTGCGAACGTTCCGCAGCGAACGAGTCGAAGCGATGGCTCGCGTTGATCTCCGCTCTGATCGTGTCTGCCTCCTTCTCTTCGGGGGTGTCATGGCGGCCTAGTGAACATGTTTGATGATTTGCATCAATGTGCAGAGTCTTCACACTCACGATTCGGACGAAGAACACCTACAGCGAGGTGAGCAATTTGTTAATTGACTATTGGTCGCATGGCTTACCGAGGACTGTTTCCTCCGTATGATACAGCCCCTTGTCGACGAAGCGGTCAACTTTGCCGACCACTCGGTCGACCTGGTCGAGCTCACGCTCGAGGGAGTGTTCAAGCTTTTTGAGAAATCCAGACATTCCTGAGCAATGTAGTCAAGGAACAGCGCTCTACTTTGCTCGCTGATTGCAATCTGCGACCTGTGCGACCGGCAATAGCCGTTGCTTGGCCGTTCCATATTTTTGGATGCCGTGAAGCAGGGACGGAAATGAACATCTAACAATAGACCATTCGATGAGTGTCAGTGCGCTTTACGCGCTTGGGGAAGACATGGTATGGTGATAGATGCCACTCGAACTAAGCCCAAGACAGTGACTGGTAGTTGTTGGGGTTTCGCAGAGTTTCGGCAAAGTCACTTGGCTCAGCCACAGACGCGCACCGGCACGTGACACACGCGAAGGCTGAAACTGGCGGCTGCTATAGCGTGAACCACGACCTCTACAATTTGTTCACCAGTCCTCTTGCCACTCTTGCGATTATACGGACTGGCTGGGAAAACTTTACTTTCTGCTATCTCTGACGAGGAGTAACGCGTCTCAGCCACTATTCTCATGGCCGAATCTCTCTACGCGTCGTGCGCGCAAGTCCTCTCAGTCTGTCAATCAATAGAAGACGACCTTGTTGCTCTGCTCCATCCACAGACAGGATTCGCTCCTCGGCTACGGCAACTATGTCTTGACCAGTGCGTCGTCAGTGGCAGCCCAGCGAGACCTGCAAAGACTAACGTGAAACTGTGGCGCTCCAATTGAACTCTAGGCTAGCTGAATTAGACGAGGACGACATGGGTGAAATGTCGGAGGCTGAAGCAGAAGCATTGAGATTAGAGGCGGATACTTGGGCTCTGCTGCAAGCCCTTATGCCGTGAGTGCGTTCTCCATCTCTCTCAATAGGCTTCGCAATGTATCCAGCAACAACACTTGCGGGCAACGCGGATGGTTCAGACCAAGGCACTCGTTATTCACAGCAGCCACATAGAACTAGCGGCTAGAGGGCTAGGACGTCTTTTGGATAAAGCCACCGGTTTACCTCGGCGGAATCTAATTCAGAAACTCCCTGAAGATGTTCATGTCGAGCCTTGTTGCTGGCGATAACCATGAATGTTGCCCTTGCAATGAAGTGTGTCAAATATTCTGACACTACCTCAGAGTTCTGAATATTGTTGCTCGAAGGTCGCTGACTGGTCAGCACCGACTGTTTTCTACGGGTCACTGTGAGCAGGGATAGCATTTTCGGAGCGCATGCCATACAACGGACATCGCACGAACATGGGATTATGACACTTTCTGATTGGCTAGCCTGAAATGCCTGGAGGTTTCTCGGTGACCCGGATATCATCCGAAAACTCTATCCCTGCCGAGCTGTCCAGAGCATGACTAGGCTTCAGGCAGTGGGTCTTGCCCGTGGTGGCTTACAATTTCCGAAATATCCAATATATCTCAGATCGAACACTCTGGATTTTTGGGCCGCCACGATTGTCTGTTGTCACCAGTGTACGCCTCCTGGTGCCGCCTTGTAACATATCACGTCACAAACAATGCTATAGGCGGAGAAAATCATCTCCGCGCACCATCTTGGCAGCTCATGCATTGCGTTCGAACGCTGACATGATTCTCTTAGCCTCCGTAAAACCCAACCGCTGAAGCACCCTGACCCGCATACCCTCCTTGCGGCCAATCCATACACTCCACCAGCTACTCTCGCGCAATCCATCATGAACTCTTCGCCGCTACTCTCAGAACTCGTCGTTGTGCGCGAATGGTTACACGAGACGGCCGCGGTACCCACCGACCCTGGCGTAACGACCGGTTACTGGCCGTTTACCAAACATACCATCATGCAGAGTTTGCGGACGGGTGGCGCCGTACCGGGAGTTGTCAGTGAGATGGACCCGGACACGATAAACCGTGGTAGCGGGGACGGGAAAGTGCTGGCGCCCTCTGACGCGGTGAGTTCTTCGACGTCTGACATGTGTAGTACCAAGCTAAATACCTAGGGCACATAAGGATTATGAGAGAGTATTGGTACAAACACTCTTTTCTCTGGTGCGGGCAGGACGATTGGACGACGCCGTTGACCTTTGCCGAAGAGCACACCAACCATGGCGAGCCGCCAGTATCAATGGCGCTTTACTTTTGCGATGGCGGGCAATTGGTGAGTTCGGTTATTTCGATATCACGGACCGGAATGTCACGGGTACCACGTTCTAGCCGACGACCTTCGCGACGATGAGCTAACGGATGACGAGTCGATGTACACGGAAGAAGGCTGGCGGGGGAACTTGCGCCGGAAGCTATGGAAGACAGCATGCACTCGCGCTGCCCTCAACGTACGTAATCATCTCGTCGCGTATAATTCGTGTGCTAACGTCACCCAAGCAATCTCTCTCTCCGACCGAGCGCGGGCTGTATGCTGCTCTCGCTCCTTCACCGCAGACTGTTGGCCCACTGACGGCTATGTGTCACTCCTGGACGGACCATCTATGGGCATTGGTGTGCGTTCACTGCGAGGACAGGCTCAGCTCTGGGCTCGCGAGCCTCACAGGGCAGAGTTTCTGGGAGGGTGGCGTCGCGGCTGTTGATGGGAAGGAGGGCGCGGGCAGAGGAGGGCCGGCTGAGGGATCCGACGACATGGATATGGACGATGACGAGTGGGAGGGCGAGGTGGTCGACGCGCTGGAGTCATTAGCAAGCATCGAAGTAGAAGAGGGGTAAGACTGTTTCACGATACCATCGTCAACATCGAAGTGGCTGACTACTATCTGAAGGCAACCGCCCGCGGATAATCCTTACCATGTATCCCAGCTGCATATCATCTTGGACCGCACGGATGCGTTGCTAGATGCATTTGCGAACACTCTTCGACAAGGAGCCTACGATATCATGTCTCCACAGTATGTCATTGATCCTACCTAAGTCCTCGTAAGCTTATGGCTAATATCTTCTAGGTATCCGATTATGACGCGCTTTTTCGCACACCTCTGCTTATACCTCAAAATGATCGATATCCCCGTCCCGCCTCTCGCCACGCAAGTGATCTTCGAAGCATATCTACAAGTTCTCGAGGTACGTTGCCGAGCCTGGCGGCGCCGATGGAATACTCACTTCGACTGTTCATTTCGTGATAGGCAGCTGGCCAGCGTGATCTTATCGCCATGTACGCCGGCGCGCTGGGCGACAACGCCATCGAGCGCTATGCGATGTTCCTCACATCTCTTGACTTGTCGATAGACGAAAAAGAGCGGAGGCTCGCACTCACTCGTGCAAGAGACCACGGCCTCGACATGCACCGCGTTGCCATCGCCACGGCGGAGAGGACGGTCGAGAAGGCGTTCTCGGTGCGCCCCCTCAAAGGCACTGTTATACCAGAACGGATGAGACTGACTATTGAACATACGCAGGCGCTGCCTCCAACCAAAGGCCCACTGCCGCCTATCATTGGCATGCAGCCGCCCCCGTCAGACGCTGAAATGCTGTTGCTCCGGTCTATCGAATGGACGACGTTCCTGGAGTCAACATATGAGACTGCACTCGAACAAGCTAACGTCATCCTCCGGTATTTCCTAGGTGCGTCCCTACAACGTTCATGCGGGCCTATGATTCCCTTTGCTAACATCAAGTGCAGCCAGTGGGCGAGCGTCATTCGCGAAGTCTCTGCTCGACGTGCTGCCTCCAGACCTCGGGCGCATTCGCCAGCCAGAAGACCTCGCCACGGAGTACCTGCACTATCGTCAGTTCTTCACCGTCTGGGAGTCGCTGGCACGCGTTGTCGAGTGTCAGGCACTGGAGGCTCCGCAGATGAACCAAGAAACGCGGACTGTGTGGTTGGAGGACTACAAGGTACGATTTAGACCGTGTGGCTCAGCGTTGCCTACCTTGCGCTCACCGCAATTGTGGTCCTGCAGCTCCTCCTACAGCAGGCTCGTGAACAAGTAGTCAAGTTGCTGACAACTGAATGGCTGGTCGTAGACACTAGCGCAAGTGGTGGTAAGCTACACGTACGTATCACTGTCTTTGTCAATAATCGACATTGCATCCAGGCGAACGCCGACGGCGCGAGCTATCGCGGATACGTCAAATTTACGTGCCCGAGCTTATCATGCGCGTGCATTCACTCCTGGTCGCCTCAAGGATCCAGGTACCAGAGTAAGTGCAACAGTGTCCCATCAATTGTTCCGCGCTCACGTGGTGAGCTCCAGGAACCTCAAGCACGCCCTCTTGCTCGCGAACATCGTCGCAGACTCGCGGTACAAGCTGACTGAAGACTTCGTCAGCGAGGACGGCCGGAGATTGGGAGACTATTTGTGTGCTGTCCGCCAGGCTGCCCTAGCGGGGTTGGAGGGTGGAGGCTCAGATCCCTTCCGGATTATTACGAACTAAATTATCTCTTTTTCTTGATGAATGCGGCCAAATCATAGTCGTCTCTCTTCCCTAACACCATCTTCGTGCGCTGCCCATCGCCATCCCTAGAAACTCTGAATGGGTACTGCTGCGCAGATGCAAGGCCGCGGTGAGTCGATATGACCAGCGGGTACGTCTTCAGCGTGGGATATTCTCGCTGACCCCGCTCCCGCCGCCCGCACTAAAACCGTCTATCAGGCACATTGCTAAATACACACAATCTCGGGCGGTGGTCTCCGTTCACTTCACTGAATGCTGCCCGAGGCCCGAGTGAGGTTGCGACCCTTCTCCCACCTCTTGCTGACTGGGTCAATTTGCCCGCTGCATGATGATCGACGTTATCGGCATTGCGTAGTTCAGGTCGATGAACGCCCGCGGCGGGTTGATGTCATACATGATTTCGAGTCGCATCATCGAGATACTTAGCCCACATTGTCGTTCGCCGGGCGATGGCTCATGACAAGCAATATTCTTGCGACGCATTTCAATCATGATGCGTTTAGATGTGATTATTCTGAAATGTCCGGCTGACACTGTAGAAGCCTCGTCCAGACTTGAACTTGTTTGCGCTTGCTAATGTCTTATTTATGGAGCACAGAAATCGCGATGAAGCATATACAAACAGCTAGTCGTCGAAGAATCTAATATTACCCTTGATGCCCGCCGGTGAGTATCTACTAACTGTGCTGCCGACACTGTATCCCCCACAAAGTGGAAACTTTCGGACTGTTGATTTTGCGTAAATGCAGCGCTACGAATTACATGATACACAGCGGAAGGCTAAATACGAAGGAGCCTCCATCAGAGCTTTTGTAAGCGTTCCTTGCCTGGTAGAATACCCATGTGGCCGTCTTCAGTGATCTTCAAGATGTCTATCTTCTGCCACAGGTGGTCGCCGTAATTCTGCTCCCTCATCCAGCTCTCGAGGGTGTGCCCCTTGGCGTTGACCTTCCTGATCCACTCCATATCCCTCTTCACTATATCATCTCGCCAAAGCGCCCACCAGCCACGGAAGTTCAGCCTCCATGTAGTCGTGTCAAGTCCTATCTTGCCCTCGTGCGCGACAGGCCGGTCGGCGGCGTACCTGTCCTCGAGCCAGTCATCAATCGTCTGGGAGACAACCTCTGCCTTCTGGCCGGTGACTTTCTCGAACGTCGTCTTCAGATGCTCCCAGCCAACCATCTCCGTTGCAATCGCCAGGTCCTGACCCGAGGCCGTGGCGCGGTTGTCAAACGTGTAGCGCGCGAAGAAACCCATGTCGGAGAGCGCGATCATGGGGACGTGTCCGTTGCCAACCGGCGTGGCGAAGACAATCGTGCCGTTCTCGCGTTTCTTCAAGGGACCGAACATCATCTGGGCCAGGCATCAGTCACGACTGGTCAGGAATACAATGAGTAAACACACGTTGTGGAGCATATCCATGTACGGTCCAGAAGTCACAACAGACCATGTCATGTCGGTCCCACTGACGGCGGACGGCTGAGCCTGCATCCATTCGGCGACGCGGCCCTTGGCATCGTAGTGTTGGCATCTGTACGTCTCATTATAATTGCCCAACTATATAACACGTAAGTGGCTCAATTTAGTGAAACAAATTCAAGGACCATATGCTCATACCTTGAATGCGTAGTCGAGATTGCTCCAAACGTAATGCTTCACTCCGGCTTGCTTAGCCAGCTCGAATATTCTCATTCCCGTGTACATCTCCCACGGCTCTCCAATAGTAAATCCATCTATGTTGACCCACGCGCCATACACGCCTTTGAGCGCCGCTGCCATGTCTTCGAAATGGTCGAAACGGCCTTGGGCAAAGCTTATCAGAAACGCTGTCACTGGAGTACACGACGAGCGTCCTACCTTTCACGCACTCGACGCCCTTGGCGAAGAGCTCCTTGGCCCGAGGATTCTCTGGGTCGCGAGTAAGTGCGCGGATGGCGTACGGAGACGGCGAGCCATCCTCCAATGGCGCGAGCAATTTGTCGATGACCGCGAGGCCCTGTGCACCGGTTGCGCCGATAACGAGGATGAGTTTCTTGTCAGTGGAAGAAGGCATGACTGGGACAATTGGCAGGCCCTCCATGTAGCTCACACTTATATATGCCGTCTTTCGCTGTGTTCTCATGTGAGCGTCAGGTAATATGGCTCGGCGACGCCACCGAGTTCCCTGGACGTGGTTGCAGGAGAAGCTCGTCAGATTACATGTCACTCTGTCTTGCGGAGAACGCACCGTGCTCGTGTGCGATGTCGAGTAATGCTCTCCCCATATGGGCTTATCTGATTGAGCGGATCGGTGTTATGCATGTCAGCCCGAGTGTCCGTCTAAGTGCACTTACGTGCAGTTACCCCCAGGGTACCCCGAGGCATCCCAAAGCATACTTTTCAAAAGTATGTCTCTTGAAGTTGAGTGAGATGTTTGAACCATGTATGATCATGCAATACCATTGAACGAGTACACGAGACCGCTTAGATGAGAGTAGCTATGTATGGACAAAGCATAGCAGCCTGCAAAACCAGCCGTACACAGGCCAGTAGGCTGAGAAAAATGCATATCACTACATAGAACCGTTTAATGAGTCTATAACGCATTACCTCATGGATGGCGCGTCCGACCTTTCGACGGCGATCGTCTATCTGTGTGGCCTGAGTTATCCCCGAGACGTCTTTTCACCGTTATTGTGCATGCAATCGAGGTGTAACTAAACGTTGGCGTCACCTTGCGCACACATGGCACGGGATACGCCGCAGGATTTGTGCTCCTTTTGATTGGTGAGTTCGGCACCGAGGCAAGCCCGCTACCAACACTACTTGGGGTCTGCGGTAGAGAGGTCCTCCCGACTGGTACCGACATCTGCTTATACATGCTCGGTGGGGATGCACTAATAAGCCGAGACGTGGCCCAAGGGTATTTCGAAGCCCGGGCGGCTCACAGCGGCAACAATACGCAACGTGGGATAGTGTACTGTTGGCCCATCTGAGGCCACACAACATGTTATCGAGGGTGGTACTCACCATGATGATGCGCTTAACGCCCAGCAGGAACATGTCCGTATGAAATCGTACTGCCGAGAGATCGACATTGGTGGCAGCCGCTGATCTCAGCTGCCTCAGCGAGTGTATCCAGGAATTTAAAATGCGAGCGGAAACACTTGGCCAATATCTCCACGCTCCTAATGACGCATCTTAGCCAAAGACTGACAGTGTCAACGTCGGTGCATGAGTGCCCTAGCATTGTCAAATAATTCAACTCAGCTTTGCGGGAACGCAGGATGGTAGTACTTGTCAGCTAATTCCATACCGATAGACCTACCCGAAAACATCGAGTTCTTAACGTCACCGGAGAAACCCCCCCGCCGGACTGCCCCAGATTTACCTCGTTATTAGGTGCGAGTGAATTTCATCCATAGTACTTGTGGGCCGTCGCCAGACCTCATTTACCATGTCAACGTTTCGCCATCACCCTTTGGACGACTCTAGAGGTAAATCAAACCTTAGTTATGCGTAGTATACGCGCACAATCATGTTGGCTGTTTCTTCGGGTGTTTGCGACGACTGTCAGTCTTGGAAAATGCTTTCGTGTACTGTTAGCTTCCTCCGGGGCATTGGTTCTCAATATACCATAGACGTTTGCAGCAGGATCTCTTCGTCTTATTGATAGTCAAATACAAATGGCAAGCGCTCAAAATATATATGTCCTTATTGGTAAGCGCTGCATGTAACATGCCCAAACTGGAATTTTGTCGCTGGTAATAAGTAGGAGTTAGCATTTCCCGATCACCCTCAGCGCATCGTTCTTACGTCTGACCTTCTGTGTACAGCTGCGATATGACGTTGGTTGCGATTTGAGTAAGCATTATCGAAAGATAATATACACCGGGCAACCGAACTTTTGGCACCTTCGTCCGACGGTGACCGAGTTTGTAGTAAACTGGGCCAAACACACCAGCACGAGGTCGCACCGCTGACACGACTGCAATCATTTGCACCCGACTTCCATAACGCTGTCAACCAACATGCCTGACCTCCAGCCTTCAGCCCGGCTCTATACACGCTTCCATCTGAGCTACTACGACCATTTCGTGTTGGGTTTCGTCAGCACCTGGCTATGGCGTGCATCATCTTCCATACAGCTGCTTTTCTTCAAGAAATACATCGGTGAGAACGCACACATGGACGTGGGCGTCGGCACGGGCTACTACACCGCGGCCTCGGCTCCGCAACTCGCGAAGACGAAGAACGTCACCCTGCTTGACGTCAATCCGAACACGCTCGAGCTTGCCGAGGCGCGCTTGCTCGCGGCAGGGTACAGGGGTACCACCGAGACGGTGCGGCAGAGCGTGTTCGATCCGCTGCCCGTGACGCTGCGCGGGCGGTTCGACTCGATTTCGTTGCTGTACACGTTGCATGTACTACCGGGCACATTCCCCATCAAGGCGAGCCATGTCTTCGCAAATCTCTCCGCGGGGCTGGCGTCGGCTGGTGTACTGTACGGTACGACCGTCTTAGGGAAAGACGCAGGCCACAGCTGGCTCGGCAGGCTCTTCCTTCGGCGCCTTAATCAGACAGGCATCTTTGGCAATGCTACCGACACACTGGGGAACCTGGAGAAGGCGCTGAGAGGGAGCTTCGAGGAGGTCGAGATATGGCAGACTGGCGTTGTTGCCTTCTTCGTTGCGCGCAAACCTTTCCGTAAATAGGTGGTGAGCAGGGGTGTCATACGCGCTTCCAGACGGTGCTGACACGTATTCTGTCAGGTATCTCATCCGTTCACATCATGTGGTTTATTGCTTATGTATCCATCACAGCTCCATCTCCAACCGCATTGTTGTATATGTTTAATAACACAAGTACTGTGCGATGTGACCGAGTCGTGCCACAATTTCAAGTACCGCCATTCTTGCGGATTATGTCGTCGACATGAGTTGGCATATACGACGACGCACGTCTCCTGCCTTGACGGTCAGTTAATCCTCGAGTGTGCGATACACATCATGCTCGTCGACACACTCGTAGATGGGATGGATGCTTGGGCTCACTCAGGTTCTCTTGAACGGGTGAACTCAATGTCGGCTCCTGCGAGTTGCAGGAGCCTGTAGAATGCGAAGGTGGCCAGCATCGAAAGTCTCTGGATGCACATTCACCACCTGGCCGGTTTCCTAAGGTGTCTCAATAGGCGGATTTAGTGCGGGCGGCAGGAGCGGGATCTGCGGGAATATCCCCAATGCCCACTCAGACTTGTGGGGGATGACGTTGCGCACCGCCACGAATATGATGTCGGGGAAGAGAGATGACTATATTCGGCCGCGATTGTCAAGAAGAAAGAGGTTTTTAGGTGGCAACAATGCTGAAGGGATCTGAGCCTCCACCCCCGCTGGGATAGCCTGGCAGACGGCACGCTAGTCTCCTACTAACGAGGTCCTCGGTCAGCTTGTACCGTAAGTTTTCGACCATGTTCGCGAGCAGGAGGATGTGCTTGATGTTCCTGTTACTGCCATTACTATGCGAACATCTATGGTGTTTTGAAGATCAACGTACTGAAGTCAGCAGAGCATGAAAGCATCTGCCAAGACTGACAATTGTCGCAAAAACCTGGAGAGACAGACTACACGATTGTTCGTGTATACTACGCGTCGTCCAAAGCGTGACGGCGAAACACTAACATGGTAAATGATACCTGACCACACTATGGATGAAATCCACTCACCCCCCAATGATGGGGTAAATCCGGGGCGGCCTGTCAAGGTGACTGATCAGTTGAAATTGACAGCTCTTTGAAATGCAACTGCACGACGCCACTACTCAGGCGCGTCTGAAAGGCAGCATTGCACGGATGACTCTCATTCACATGGAACCATTCACTGTAAGTGTTGGGGAAACTTATCATGGCTTAATGATGTTTACCAAGATGACAGGTCGACTCACAATCGTTCCATATGAGCGCGACAGAACCAGTTAAGCTCGACCGAGATGAAGTCTGCCACTCGGCCCGTTCCGGAGAAACGCGGATGCGAATTTCATGATACATCAGATTTGATCGACAGTATCTGTCTCCGGTGCATCCAGCAATTTGATCACGATCTCGACGCTCGAACTTCTCTGCCAGATCTCCGGCTCTTCCTCCGCCTCGAACTTGGGCGCTAAAATACAACATGTTGCAGAACGATAGCTCATTACTAGAATACATCCGTGGCGAGCCGAGGCATACCCGAGAAGAAAGATGAGGGTCATCGACGTCGCTATTCATACAATGGAGATACCAAGACAGGCAGGACCGGTGTAGGCATACTACTGAGCGACGCTCCCTGACCAAGCAGACAGCCGGCCAGCTTTTCATACCTTGCCCTCGAGCGAGCGCTCCGACTTGGTCTCGTTCGCCTCGTGGTCCATCGCTGTGCGAACGCTCAGCGGTCTGCGGCAAAATGCATGGACACGACGTACCTCTCTCCTGTTTCCTGATATCCGCTTCGCGCTTCTCGGCCTTGACGGAGCCGAAGATGACATCCATCTCCTCAAGACTGCGGCCCTTCGTCTCAGGAATAAGCCTGCACAAAAGCGTAAACATGTGAGTCGCGACTCCACTGGTCAGCCTCGTGTACTACTTACAGCGTGAACACAGCCATGCCGCCAATGTTGATTGTGGCGAACATGAGGAAGAGCTTGTAGCCCAGATCCGTGACCATTGTGGGCGTCACCTTTGAGAGCACAAAGTCTGCGCAAAAGGTCAGTACACGACACGTCGAACGGAAAAAGAATACGCACTGAAGAGCCACTGTGACGCGCTTGCCGTCGCCAGACCGTAATGCCGTGTCCGTGTCGGGAAGATATCTGCGACGTAGACCCATCTGAAATACAGTCAACGTCCGCACAACCATACAACGTATGTGCAGACTCACGGAAGCGGCCCCCATCCGAGCGAGTAGAAACAGACATAAATGTAGAGCATCGCGGCCATCGCCTTGGATGCAGGTGGCGGCGTCGCAGCGTCAGCCGGTGGTGGGAACGTCTTGAGGAGCGCGCCGATGATGAAGAAGAGGACGCCCATGCCAATAGCCGAGACGAAGAGCGACAGCTTGCGGCCCCAGGTATCCGCGAGGAAGAACACAAAGAGCGTCGTCGCCACGACCTTGACGATGCCGTAAATTCCGGACGCAAGCAGCGAGTTCGACGTGCCCGTGTACCCAATCTACGGAACAGAGCGTCAGCATCACGACTGAGGACGGCAGCGTGGAACAGTAGCCTCACCGATTGGAAGATCTGCGGTGCATAGTAATTCACCGAGTTTTGGCCGCTCCATTGCTGGAGGATGAAGATGACGACGGCGATGACGAAGCGGATGAAGTTGCCCTTCCCGAAGAAGGCTTCCTTGAGGCCTAGGCTCGCACGCGCCTCGCGCTCCTCGTGGATGGCCGCCTCGATCTCTGCCATTTCGGTGCGGACGCGCTCGTCGTCCCTAGGCAGACGCCGCAGGTACGCCAAGTTCGCAAGCGCCTCTTCCGTGCGGTCCTTCGACGCGAGCCACCGCGGGGACTCCTTCACCGTCAGCAGGCCGAGTGTCATAATGCCCGCAGGCACGAGCTGGAAGCCGAACGGGATACGCCAGACCTCTGGGCCAGTCTTGATGTGCAGGCTGATTCCCACTGTAGGTCTGAGCGTCAACGATGCAAGCATATGGGGCACGGACAGGTGGGCACTCACGATTGATGAAGTATGAGATCATGACACCAACAGCCACCATTATCTGGAAGAAGCCAGTGATACGCCCACGGACTTCCTTTGGGCAGCATTCTGATACGAAGGCGGGCGCAACGGCAGAGATAGCGCCAATGCCGACACCGGCGACAACACGACCACCATAGATGTAGCCAATACCGCGCGAGCCGCCCGATATTGTTTGTAAAATCTGGATTAGAATTACATCAACGGGCGCCCTTGCAGAAACAGTGCGGGAGCAAGATCTACTCACGGCGCCGACAGAGAAAATGATTGAGAACATTAGGAGAGTATACTTGCGTCCGATGGCGGCTGTGTCCCAAACGTAAGTCGAGCCCTTGCGTACTGGAACAATTGTCCGCTACACACCGGAGAGGGGTGCGCTACCGATGGCACCGAAGAAGGCACCAGCTTGCAAGACCGAGACGACATTTGACGATACCGCATCTGACTTCTGGGCATTGACCGACCCGTCTGCGTTAATGAGGCCGAAATGCTCCTTGAAGTAGGTAGCAGACACTACGCCACCACCGACACCGCTATGACGACAAGCCCTGTCAATATTCGGCGGCGGGAAGATCCCCATGCTGCGCTTACGTGTCGTAACCGAAAAGCACGATCCCCCAATAGACGATGAACGCCAACCCTGAATTATTCGAAGTGTAAGGAGGATTGAGCGCGATGTCCCCAGAGCGTGAATAACGCACAGTACACCCGAATGTTCTGAAAAACTCCCTGCGTCACTTTACTCATTTTTGAGCTGAATATTCGTGCAGCTGGCGAACTGGGAGGACAGAGGGGACTGCAGAAGACGACCCTAGCGCAGACTCACATCAGGCGGGGTTTATAAACTCTCACAGCGCGCTAGCCCCTGCGGGCCGTCAGATCGAGATGTGTGGGGAAGTCATCGACTTGTGTGCCTGATACTGCCCGGGCCGCCGCGGCCCGGCCCTCCCGCCCCGCAGGAAATGCGGGGCCACCAGGGGATCCGTCGCTTTCCCCGCCTTCCCCACGATCGTGGACCTATACATCTTCCTTAAGTCTAGAGCAGCGTATTGATGCGCTCCCCGAGCACAGGTTTCTGCCACAATGGCGGATCCCTGCCCTCATTTCACCTACAATTAATTCATGATTAGGCCTTGCCGCCTTGAATCCTCGCGAAGCGCGGAGATTCCTCTTATCTATCGACATTAACGCTTCAGAATCCTTCTAGTAGCCCTCCCATTGCGCCCGGCTCTGCGACTCGAATCAGTCGCTTTGAAATCCCACGCGATGTCGATGTTACGAGGATCTCATTGTTCCAGCGTTCCACGATCTTCTACCATGAACCAGAGGCCGGGTCGACGAGGCTATTTTGACACGGTGTGCAGGGCTTCAGCCCCAATGGAGTCAAAAGGCCCCTATGAACCTCGTCCCCATCAGGCTTCGACAGGTTGTATGAATTTGTTACGAGAAAGGGTGCCTTCTGCACGCACCCTGCACGCACCCTACAGCCCAATTCTGCTGGAAAATTGATGATCTCTATTGGGAAAAGCCTGCACGGGTCGAGAGCGCACGTCTAAAATTAGGCGCGGCAATAAAATGCATCTTGGCAGCGAGAATGTTACGTATGGGCGTGCTCAAATTCCCCACAGCCATACGGAACCTCTGATGTCCGCAACGCAATCTCTTCTTCCGAGGACACCCGGTCCCGCGTACCTCCCTGATGGGCGTCCGTCACTGAGGCGGCGCCGAACGGCCAGCCTTGGGCATCCGAATAACAATGTCGCTGTACAGCATGGCAGCAACGTTCAGGCACGGCAGTTTGCGCTAGTGCCGTCGCGTATGTCGGGTTCATCCTGTCGTGTGACGTCCGAATGTATGTGATGACAATCGAGCGGGCGTTCGCGGCGCGGAGTCTCATGCCAACAAGCCGCAGAACGGCTGACAACCGCGTCTAGTAGCGCATACAACTCTGAGTGCAAACCCTGAAACTACGCCCGAACCAATTATCTGTCGTAAACACCAAATGTAGCTCCTGAGAATGTCAAACATGTAGCACCAAACATCAAACCGCCCGCCAAACGCTATAGTGCAAGTGCAGCGGCCCCTATTCCCATCGTGGTCACCAGCTTCAAGACTGGCAAACCCGGGCGGAGCCTTAGGGTCGATCGAAGCGGAGCCGATCCTAAATGCACATATTCCGATGACGCGCCCGCACTAGTACTGTACGATCGAGCAGGAGCAGGCGGCGCGGCGGCCCGGGCGAGGAACATGTTTGGGATACACGGAAGCGGTTGGAACGCACGCGACGGCATCGGGCTGCGGCAAGCCGCAAAAAGAGCAGAGTGCTGAAGCGCGAATGGACGGTAGTGTGGCGGAATTCAGGGAAACGGTTGCGGGAACGTACGATGGCGCACCGCAGCCGCTGAACGTACCTTAGTATTACTTGGGGGAGAACACGCATGTTCACAACCTCCGCACCTTCTGGATCGTGGAGACTGCCACTTGCGAGCGGACATGCAGCGACTCCCTGTGAAAATTGAGCCCTGTAAGACAGCATATCTCGCAGACACTTCGCTCATATTTTCACGAAGCACAGAGCCCTGTGGCAGCCCCCCTGTGGCCGGGTGTAGAGTTACCTGTTCGACGCTGATCAGCGCCCCATATATGGGCTAGGCTAGGTATTGCGAGCGAAATGAAATACTGACTGAGCGTGCTGCTCCATACTCACTCCTGATCCGCATGAGCTGTATACGCTGGAGAGAGCGGAGGTCCTGGCCTGTTGCCCTGTGTGAGTAATTATCTGGCTTCCTTGGCTCAGCATTGAAGAGTGATCAAAGGGACGCAAGAATGGTGGGTATAGGCTCCCTGAGGACCCGCGCGTGTGTTTACAAGTTTGTGAAAGCGAGAGCCTCATACTAAGGGACGGACAGGCTCCCTGCGTCTATCACAGAGTCCATCTATGAGCGCTTTACAGACTATTCATTTGAGCAAGATGAGACACGAACGCATAAAGATGATCAGCCCTTGATGTTAATTTGAGCAATTTGCAACCTCCATGCAGTGCTGCGTGAGGCAATCGATTCCTCGACTGGTGAGAGACTACTTGATTCGATCATAATCAGGGTACAAGCAGAACCGCAGACATTCAGAGTGCTAAAGAAGAGGTATGCGAGTGCGCCCGAGATGAGGCCGCTCCGAGTCAGCTTCAGCACCTGCAAGCGACTGTTATGAATGCCGCCTACCCATAGGGGTCCTCGCAATAGTGTTTTCAGGAGAACGACCCGATGCGTTTTATATGTGCTACTTCTCAGGACTGGTCGCGACTTACGCTTGTGAGAAGGAAATAAGCCGAGAGCGATCATCTCTTGGTTAGGAATGTTGGCGGTGGCTTCTTTCCCACGCACATTTCTATATTAGGACAGGATATCGGCATGCGATGATCCTGACCAGAGTGAGTCTCATGAGCTCGTTGATCATCCGTCTTTGCATAATAATCTTGCGTTCATCTCGGGGTTTCGGTCGCGTTAGCTTCTCAGAGATACGAGAGTGCATATCTTCAATATCCACAACCGTTGGTCAACACGGGCATGCTTATGGCCTCTAAACTAGTACCGACAACTCAAGATTTAAGAGCCAAGGTTCAGCTGTAATCTCTGACAATAGATGAATGCATGCACATAGCATCCATGGCAAGAGAAATCTGGAAGAATCATAGCAATTGACATAAGCACCCATCCAAAGCAGTGTAGGACTGGCTGACTGATCGCTTTTCATTCAGGTCTTACATGATGTTGCAAGCAAATTAGGTGACTGTTGACCTGCAAACAATTGATTCCATGCTCTGTAGAGCTGAGCTGATAACATATTAATACAACGCGTCTGGCTGAAACCTCCAGCTCATCAGTTTGACTTTTGCTGGAGAAGTGTCTTCATGTTCAGAATTTTCACGGTGCGTTAAGTTAAGGTGAGCTTCCCCCCTTGTAAGCCTTATATCCGCCAATCGTACGCTTATACAACTAGCTGCCTTTCCACGCCGTTAGAAAGATCGCTTTATACACCTGGCACATTATGGCGTCAGTCTGCACAACCAAAAACTGTCAAGTCCTTGTCAAAGCCTGCGCGTTATCACTCAGTATAAATGCTCACCTATACCCAGACCAACCTTTTCAGGCTCAAAAGGAACGTTGCTACGATATAGCAACGCGAGACACCGGGAGCGCGCGACCACAATGTTGATCGTTTCGCCCCCTTCGCAGGTATGGGCACCCAATCCTCCACTTCCTGCCGCCTTCTTACCTTACTGATACTCGGCGCACACTGTCCGACGACTGTGCCCAAGGTACTATTACAAAGGAATGCTTAATCGTGCGAGATATTACCTTCGTTGAGATCTCACTGCCACCCGGGCCTAAAATCGGACACCGTACCCTGTGCACGCTGCATGTCTTGAGATCTCTTATGCTCGACGACCGGGTGATCATCAGGATCGCTAGGCACCGAGTTCCTGATATGTGTGCCTCTCCTTTGAAGATCGCGCTTGCACATCACAACACTCTCATTGCACGGGCGACTCTGACTCTGAATGCGATGCCGGGAGGTACAAAGGCAGAGAGGGACAGCCGGGTATGGTACTCAGCCCGCTCATCACCTATCCCTCTGCGTCCCAAGTCGCCCACCACTTCATAGCTGCCCAGTTCTGCTACCTGAGCACGTCATGATGTTCCCGGTCAAATTTGACTTGAACATCAAGGTCAATAACGTGCACACAACGACTATTGCTGCGCGCCCCTCGTCATCGCATTCGCACACACCTTCACCCTCGCATGCACCCTCGCATCCGCATACATCGTCACAGACGAAGACGACGAGCTCCAGTGCAGTGAGTGTGCCCCCATCAGCGGGGACGGGGAACATACATACTCATTCTGGGAATGAATGCCTGAGCAGGTAAAGAAGCCTACGGCATCCAAGTCTTCCTCTTCCACTTCAGCGAAGAAGACGTCTTCTAGTAGCGGAGTCAGTGCCGTATTGAATACATGATATGCAGCTCCTCACTGTCTTCTACCGCACAATTAGACCAAGAAGACCTCGACGACGAAGACTGCGCACAAGACGACTGGTCACAAGCATTGATTGAGACGCTTCTATGCTCTGGGCTTGTGGTGTCGTACATCGCCAACGGAACTTCGTCATGTACTTCTCGCTATATATTTGCGCTGGACACAGAATCCGACATGACACTTCCTCACACTGGCCGCGCTGCGCAGCACCTGTAGAGACCCCAGATCACCACGTTCCATTCAATGAACTCACTACAGACGTCACAGATCTCTGGAAGTCTCAGCCCTCCTCTCCCCTCCATCACCGCATCACCCGCAGTCCAGCATAGGATATCTCACTCAAGGTCATCCAAAAGATCCTCCCGCTTCGGCCTGATTCTGTTCATCAGCATCCGGTGCATCGCGGTTGGGATGACTCTGAACGGCGCGGGCTCTGGCTTCGGCTCGCGGGCGGCGTGCACGACAGTGGTACCAATCATAGGGCGGATGCGCACCCAGGCGGGCACGACAGGTTCCGGCTCCCGCTTGTCCATCGCGACGCGGAAGTCTGAGGGCATCCAGGGATCTGGTACCGGCTCGCGTGCTTCGAGCATCCCATCCCGCGCGGCGTGGTAGTAGCTATTCAGGAAGCCTTGCTCGCTGCCGTGCACCGTCGCGGGATCCAGTGGGTGGACATCAAGATTACGCTCAGGGTGCGTCTCGTGTGGGAGCACCACAGTGCCGATGCGAGCGAAGGGCAGCTTGGTGACTACCAAGCGTGAGACGTCAGTGACGGGGAACTCGGCATATGATGACGCAGTTGCGGGACTCACCGGACTGGAACCGTCTCAAATATCACGAACCTATTGAGCCGCAGTCAGTACAACGATTCAAATTCTTAGCTGAGCTCAGGAAACATACGGCTCCGGCTCTGCAGAAACTGAGATGAAGAATGTTGCAGTTGCGACCGCAGCAATGAGAGCAGTGGTTGCACGCATATCGAAGGTGCAAAGAGAATGAGCGTATGAGAGAAATGTGTATTAGAAAAGCTATAGAATCGTAAAAGTGTTCAAGCGCAGCTAAGGATACTCGTAAGCAGCCGCTTTGCTACTTGGGAGCGAATGTGTTTACTTACTAGCCAGTACCGATGCTTGTGGGTCGTGAGTGAGCTGAGGGCTGAAGTGATGCCATGCGTCTCCCAGGGTTTTATACTGCGTTGTGACGTATCTTATCATTTCGATGGGGCCGGAACACACAGCCATCGCTAAGTGCACTGCTACTATCTCGATCGTTGATGATCAAGAACAGTTGAATCTCACACACCGCGTAATTTTGTAAAGGCATAATTTGAGACCAGGCTTTGCCCGTGACAGGTCGATGGTCTGTGTGGATGTCGGACTACGCACGAGACGGTCGCATTGGAGTTACCGGGCCAGCGAGCAACAACAGCCCGACTTCTGATATAAATAAATATCATCGTGCTGGAAAGTGATTGGGAAGATCCATCGCTGCACCATCTACTGCCCTCTAGTCGGTTCAGTGCCAATGTGGACTGTTACCCAGTCATACATCGTTCAAGTTCAAGCGTACGCCAAACCTGTTGTAATAATTTACAGACGGCCAGGAAATCCTGTGCGGTCCTCATCGCTTAGCACATACCCAAGCCACTAGGGCAAGCACTATCAGAGTGGACGCCCACGATCTCGCTGTGCCTGCCATCGCTCCCCGCAGAGATCCTGGTGCTGCCCGCGCCGATACGAAGAGATCCATCAGGTGGGGCTCAGGGAAGAGAGACTCGTTATTATCCGGCACTGGTTCTGTGGAGGAATTGCCCGTGTCTGTGATGTCTGGGAGGACAAGTGGAACAATGTAGTCGTCGGTATGGGTCGCAGACGACGGGGAAGTATCCCAGGATTCGAAGTCAGCTTCGGCGCGAACTTCGGGTAGCGACGACTTGAGGACTTCAGCTTGTGCGACACCCCCGAAAAAGTCGGTGACAAGTGCGTGGGTGAGCGGCCGGCCAAAGAGGTCGGATCGGACGCCAGCGTTTGAGTCGAATTTCTTGTAGTCGTAGATGTTGAACTGTGCAAACCCCAGTCAGCAACAATACCAACCCCCTGGGCGCGATGAATCATAACTAACGAGATCCTGCATGGACGCTTGGCTGGTCTTGTTAATCCCCTCCATGAACTGAAGGATGTAGTGGGTGAACTTGTCGATAACGGCGACACCAATATCGTAATCGTTTTCGTGCTGCAATTAGCCGTGAGCACGCAGAAACGACGTTCGAAGTATGTGTCTGCTTGCCGAATAGGAGTTCTCATGAATATCCGAGGACCCTGTCGCGAGGATGTTTGGAGAGTAGAACTTCGAGTACATAGTGTTCGCCTGACAGGTGTCGATCATGAAGAAGATCTCGTTATAGCTGCAATGAGGTAGGTGATATGCGCCTGCTTCATGGAGAAGCAATAACATACCGTTTCTTCTGCCACATCTGCTCGAATGCATCTGCGATGTCGAACGCACTGATCTCCTCGTTGTCCTGGAACTTCAGGAACTCGTTGCCTCCATGGCCGGTCATATAGACAAAGATGTTCGACCGGTCGTCCGTGAGCAGTCGCTTTGAGCGAGGGACGGACGGGTCCATGCGTCCTGTTCTGGCCCATATAGGCACTCAATGCGGCATTAAGTCATGAGGGCTTACCGGTCAAGACTCTGAGGAAGTTCTCCACCGTTACCTCATACCCACGGTAGTCCACCTCGATGTTGTCCCCGTACAGGTCAAGCGAGCGGGCTTGGTCTGCGTACACACACCCCGGCACCTTGTTTCGCGGATTGCATGCCACATCGTCCGCAAGCATCAGGATGATGTTCGAGTCGGGAATGCCCAGCCGCTTGACGGTGCGATACCTGCGGCGCCGTGCAATCAATGCCTACCGTCTCACCGCCGACGCGCACTCACGTACATTCCCAGCGCATTTGCCATATGCTGCGATCCCCGTTCGTCACACCGAGTCAGGTAGCATCTGACGGAGGACGCACCCGGTAGTTGAACCAATACCGCGACGCGCACACTAAGACCGCCCAGTTGTTGGTATGCCCTGAAGTACTGCCGCCATGTCTTTCGAAGAACTGCCGAGCAGGTATATCTTGGCTATTGACTTGGGCACAGGTAATACCAGTCCAGCTTAGAATAGAGAGAAGTATGCAAAGGGACCCGAGATTGACGAATGGTGGTACGTGCATAGTGTGTATTCTCAAGGTCTAAGAACACCCGGTCCAGATGGCGCTCTACGTGCGACTTGCGGACGGAGACAGCAGTATATCACCCACCAAGGTGTGGTGCACGCTCAGATTATGTTTTCGCCAGTGGCAAATAATGTTGTGGCATTGGAGGATGTTGAAACAAGTTCCAGAATTCTCGTGTTTTGTATTGCCCATATCATCGTAAGGAGTATCAACACTAGGCCCCAGGCCACAAAGGAGTCGTACGGAAATAAATGTAATAATCAGCAAGAAAAATACAGTGATTACACAGCTAATGAGAGACATATAGCGCCTGCTAACATACGTTGCGAATACTTGTACAGTGGGATATAACCGGAGCCATGATGCAAGCAGAGAAGAAGCCATGCAGGGATACAAGAATGCAGAGAAGAAGCGGTATCTAGATCATCGCCAGTCGCGGAGCAGGGTCGACACTGGTACCGACGAGCGATGTTGTACTCGACTCCGTGCCATATGTGCCTTGCGCTCTCCTGCAAGCTTATTGATAGCGTTGATCAGGTCACTTCGCCTTAGAGGCTCTACGGACCATCGCAATTCAATATCGAGACAAACAGAATTAGAAAAACACGCACTCGTGATGTGGTCGTCCATTCCTGCTTGCAGACAGCGTTCCCTGTCACCAATCACTATACACAAGAACGTCAGCGCGAGCAAGCATTGCGCAAGGATCATACGTACTGGCGTGTGCAGTTAATGCGATAATAGGGACCGGATCCAACCCGTGTGATGTCTCATACGCACGAATGAGCTCTGTGGCCTCCATACCGCCCATGAAGGGCATGGACACATCCATCTAGATATTCGTGACCAACTGAATGAAGCACACCTGAGTCGCGAGGGATGAACTTACGAGAATGATGTCGAAGGGCCTGTTCCTCTGGATACGTGCCTTGAACGCATCCACGGCTAATGAACCGTTCTCCGCAATTTCTACCTGGTGGCCGTACTTCTCTAGAATCTTGACAGCTAACTTCTGGTTGACCAGGTTGTCCTCAGCGATGAGAATATCGTAGGGCACATCGTTCTCTGCGACGACTGGCGTCACCGTGTTCGACTCCAACGCCGAGATTAATGCTGACGCGAGGTCTTGTGCAGTCACCGGTGTCGTGACTTGGGAGGAAATACTGTTGTCGAGACACCATTTCACTGGAAGAGCATTAGAATGGAGATCGGAGGAACGCGTGAAACGATTCACAGTTCAGACGCGGTGTGGATTGCTGAGACGGGCATGACTATGAGTGAAATCCTCAAGGTCATGCGACGATGACATACCGGTGTCAAGAGCACAATGGGAATGTACCGCAAATGCTCATACTCGCGTAAGCCCTCAGTCTATGAATGTCAAGTAAGCGAGAATCCTATAGTGTATACACAGATTAGGACATACCACACCGAGCGAGTCGACGACAATAGTATCGATATGAGGGCAAGTCGCCTTATCTGCGACTTCGCAGACTTCGTGGACGACGTATGGGCGTAAACCGAGGTCCATGATCCTCTGGACGACGCCCGTGCGGTCGTAGAGGGTGTCGACGAACAAGATGTTGCGTTTCTGGAATGGCTGCATCTTGCTGAGCGTCGCCTCCATCGACATTGGGCTAATTTGCGAGCTGATAGTGAAGAAGAATTTGGAGCCGTTGCTCACTTCCGACTCGACCCACATGTTGCCCTGCATGAGGGTCACGAGCCGCTTCGAGATCGATAAACCGAGACCAGTACCACCGTACTCCTGCAGAACAAATTCGGATCAGCACGCCTTTCCCGGACGGCAGCCGCAGAAAGTGAATCCGGAACTTACTCTCGTCGTAGAGCCGTCCGCTTGACAGAACGTGTCGAAGATCATTGTCAACTTGTCCTTTGCGATACCGATGCCCGTATCCGACACGCAGAACTCTAGTGTGACGCTCAGGTCGTCAAGAGCGAGGAGGCGACAGCTCAGTGCGACGTGTCCCTTCCGTGAAACCTTAGACGGCGTGAACTTGATGGCATTTCCAACAAGGTTCGTGATGACCTGGCGAAGACGGAGGGAGTCACCAATGAGTTGGTCCGGAATCTCAGGGTCCACGTCATATGTCAAGTCAAGCTGGTTTTGAGAGGCTCGAACGACCAAGGTTTTCAAGACGCCGAACACGCTCTGGCGCAGCGAATACGAGACCTGTTCCATTGTCATGCGACCGGCCTCAACTACATGGCACTGTTAGCACGATTGTGGTTCCCTGACAGAGAGCGACCTACTCTTAGAGATATCCAAGATGTCGTCGATAATCAGTAATAACGAACGGGCCAAACTGTGCACTAAGAGCAAGCTCTCGCGCTGGGACCGGTTCAAGTCGCTATCCAGTGTCAACTCGGTCATACCGATAATACCATTCATCGGCGTCCTACACGATAGTAATCAGCACCCATCGATCACCGACTGCTTGTAATTGAGGCACACACCTGATCTCATGCGACATGTTCGCCAAGAACTCGGACTTACTCCTATTGGCCAACTCAGCAGCCTCCCTAGCAGCTGTGTTCTTCTGAATACTGTCCCGCAAGTTGAACACCATCTGGTTGATTTGGGTCTTCAAGGAGTCCATTTCACCGCTTGCCTCAACCGTGATGAACCGGCTGAAGTCGCCATCCATAGCCGCTGCGGAGATCTGGGCAAAACCTCGCACTTGCGTTGTCAAGTTGCTAGCCATCGTGTTCACAGACATTCTAGAGACAAGACATCAATGGTTAGCCAAGTCAGAAATAGGTCATAACGGAGAAACTGACGTGATGTCCTGCCAGATACCCTCGACGTTACCGACCTCAGCTTGACCACCAAGTTTGCCCTCGGTTCCGACTTCTCTGGCGACTTTCTTGACTTCCGCGGCGAAAATGGCCAATTGGTCAATCATAGAGTTGATGGTGTTGACTAAGTCCAGCATCTCTCCGGACACAGATACACCAATGACCTTCCTCGTCAAATCACCTCGAGCGACAGCGCGCTACATACAGTGATAAGTAATGGGCCATGATGCGCGTATCACGAGAGACTCACCGTTGCTACTGCGATGGTCCGCACTTGTAATGTCAACTACGACCTAGAGTTAGGCCTTTTCATCAATCGACATGACATGGACGCTTACATTGGCGGCCATGACGTTGACATTATCCGTCAGGTCCTAGAACATCAGGCCATCAGACTCAAACCAGGGATCTCCGGAACACACTGTGACGTACCTTCCAGGTACCACCAACGCCCGTAACGCGGGCCTGGCCACCCAACTTACCCTCCGTGCCGACCTCCTTCGCGACTCTTGTGACTTCGTCTGCGAAGACGCTCAAACTCTCCGTCATGCCGTTCACCGTCTTCTTCAAGTCAAGCATCTCTCCACGGACGTCCACCGTGATGCGCTTCGTCAAGTCACCGCCAGCGACAGCCTTCGTGACTTCCGCGATCGAGCGCACCTGGTTCGTCAAGTTCATGGCCATCAGGTTGACGTTGTCCGACAAGACCTACAGTCATGTCATTGTTAATGTTGTCTGTGAGCAAAGGAGGTCGCAGGCTACTCACCTTCCACATGCCCTGGACATCCGGGACGTAAGCCTGACCTCCCATGATACCTTCTGTGCCGACCTCCAAAGACACTCTCGTCACCTCGTTCGCCAATGTCGACAAACGGGCCACCATCTGGTTCACAGTGGTCTTGAGTTCAAGCATCTCACCCTGCACATCGACGTTGACAGTCCGGCTGAGGTCACCGTTGGCGACGGCCTTCGTGACCTCTGAGATCGAGCGCACTTGGTCCGTCAAATTCGTGGCCATTTTCTGCGATGCCATCGTCAGACCGTCTGGTATAATCAGATGAGCCACGATACAACTCACGTTGACGTTGCGCGTCAAGTCCGCCCACGTCCCTTGCACCCCCTCGACCTTTGCCTGACCACCGAGTATACCCTGCGTGCCGACCTCCAAGGCGACTCGTGTGACTTCGCTGGCGAACGCGCTCAACTGGTCCACCATGGAATTCACCGTTCGCTTCAACGTCAACATCTCACCCTCGACCTCAATTTCGATCTTCTGCGTCAAGTCTCCCTTTGCGACAGCCGTCGTGACCTTAGCGATCGACCGCACTTGATCTGTCAAACTAGAACACATTCGATTGACCTAAGACGGGGTCAACGGTGATCGAGGAGATCGGCAGTGATACTCACATTCCGCGTCAACTCTAACCATACGCCCTCCACGTCCGGCACATGCACCTGACCACCCAATTTACCCTTCGAACCGACTTCCAATGTGACCCTAGTAACCTCGGCAGCAAGCGTCCGTAGCCTAACCACCATGCCGTTGACCGTATTTTTCAATTCCAGTATTTCACCGCGTGCGTCGACCTCGATTTGTTTTGACAAGTCGCCGAGCGCGACAGCCTTCGTGACCTTTGCAATAGACCGCACCTGGTTCGTCAAGTTTGCCGCAAGTTTGTTGACCACGCCCGTGAGCTCACGCCATGTGCCTTCAACGTCTAAGACTAAAGCCTGACCACCGAGTTTACTGATAGACTCCAGTGAGCAACATGTCGCGATAAGACGTAACGGCACTCACCCTTCCGTTCCGACTTCCTGACTGACACGAGTGACCTCCTTAGCGAATTGACCCAATTTGTCCACCATAGCATTGATGACCTCCTTGAGCTGAACCATGACCACACCCTGAACGGGGACCGTAATCTTCTGCGACAAATCGCCGCGAGCGACCGCATTACACACGCGCGCGACGTCCTGTACCTGTGCCTTTAACAATTTGAGCTCCTCGACTGCGCTCATGCCGCTCTCAAACGCAGCGGCAGCGAGGGGACCAGGAGGAACAACGAGCGGGGAGCTGATTGGCTCGCCCGTGAACGCGGTGACCTTCGAGATAGTTGCACTGTCCGTGATGACCTTGCCGCAGCTCGGGCAGGCGATGTGGTCGGCGTGCGACGAGGGTGGGGCGGAGGCCGGTCCGTTGCTGTTGCTGCGGTATGCCTTCTGGAGATCCAGCGGGTTCACGACGCCCTCGAGCGAGATCGTCATCGGCGACGGGGTGCGCCGGGAACCATTCCGTGCCGATGTAGGAACGGGTGCAGAGGGCGTGGGCTCGCCATCGCCGTCGTACATCTCGACGTCCTTCGAGTTGCTGCCTGAGCTGACCATCGTGCTCGGGATGCTCTCGACGGAGCTCGTGGGCGTGGTGAAGAAGGGGGATGCGTTAGTGGCGGTCTGGCTGATCGAGGTGGGGACGTCGCCGTTGTCGCTGCGCGAACTGGACGAGCTCGACGAGCACATGGACGGGCTGCCGACGCTGCGGCGCTTCTTGGACTCTGGGCCGCATGCTTCAGATGCTCTGATGGATGCTAGTGCCTCTTCAGCAGTGTACATGCGGCGTGCCATGGCGCCGAGCGAGCGCAAAATGCTATCGGTCTGCCAGTCGGCAGGCCCGTCATACTTGGGAATGGGCGAGGAAAGGGGGCCGAGCTCATAGACGGAGAGGAGAGCGACGAGATGCTGAAGGAACGGGTGGGATATGTGCCCGCGATAGTCGACGATGGGCGGCATCTTCGCCGTCGACAGAGAGGATGTCGAGGGGGAAGGAAAGAAGGGACAAGGCTAATATCACAGTCGCCAATTCTGAATCAGCGCCTGCCCGGCACGCGCTATACTTACTCTCCACCGAATTCTCCTCGCTTGTCCTTGCCCCGGCAGTCAGTGTGCGGTGAAAATTGCTTGACAACCTGGAGAAACGTGTTTCGGGACCGATTGCAACGATGAGGGCGCGAGGAACGAACCCACCTGGGGATGAGGGGCTACTCGTATAAGGTACGTTAAATTAGTCAGTTCTGCCTGTTATGGGGTTATGCGGAATTCTTGTCTGCAATTTGAGGACCTCAGGCACCGCTATAACAATAGCGCTGAATGCCGTCATGTTCGGCGCCGGGTCATCGAGCCGCCGCTCTCTTCCGCGAGCTCCTACATGGCGGTGACATCCGGCAGAAAGGAAAAACCTTTACATCATCCCGACGGTGAAGTTGAACCATGACAACCACAACGCTTCCTCTCGCGTACAGCAATTGTCGACTTGATCGAGCAACGTGAGAGCTGTGCCAGCCGACGTGGTTTAGTCGGCCCGCTATCGATTTGCGAAAGCGGGCAATGCGTGTGCCTTGCTATTAGATTCTGAATATGCATTGAGCCGTTCATTCTACAGTGCGCAGGACGGAAGACAATCAAGCAGGTGTTGTAGCCTGCTCGCTCGTCTATGGTGAGCAGCAGCCACGGACCCGGAATTATGACGCAGAAGACACGCTATATGTTGCAGATATCTTGATTCTGACAGGTCCCAGCAAATCAATCCTCGCTACCCCAATTGCGTCAAGGTAGAGTGTCCGAGGTCAATCACCCTGTTATCCTTGTGTCGAGCGTCGCTCTTGCGCTGCCCATCGTGGGCGTTAGCTTTGCAGCCGCGCCACCCAGCAGTCATGTGAACGGAGCCAGTGTGGCCGCAAAAACACCTTGCCCTTCCTTCAAGACGCCTCCGTGATCCGAGTGGACTCGTTCGGGAAGCCCTGGTACCATGGGAATGGGCTACTGTCGTACACGGTGAGACGTTTAACATTAGCGGGATAGTTGTGGAGCTCATAGGACGGTCGCTGGGCTGCCACTGCAGAAATGGGGCACGGTACCGCTTGCAGGCTTGGAGCGGCACGGATGCCAAGAACGCGATTCACACTTATCGCATACTGCGAAGCAATATGAGATTGACGCGCGTTATGACTGGCTGCCATCGTAGGCACGACCGCGCCGCCGTCCGTGTAAATCAGCGCCGACGAGCTTGACCGCCCCATCGCTGTTGTCTATTTGGAATGACGCAACTGAAGGTCATGGGAATATGCATCTGCACTGACAGATGTCATGTGCTGACGGGGATCTCTTTGCAAGTGAATGCACGAACTCACCGCACAGCCTTGCGCGCAGCGGCGACTTGCTTCTCACACAGTTGTAAGTGGATTGACGACTTGTCAATCTGTCAACGTAACTGACCTTGTGACCGGTCGTAGTGCGCGAGGAAATAAACCCAATCGGATGCTTTGCGGAGCGCCTTTCTATCCGATCGTAAACTCCAGATAAACAATAACAATGAAACACTTGAATACGCGGGAGGCCGGCGCACTCGTCGTCTCCTCGGGGTTGAATGCGTCGACGCATTTCCATTGCGTTCGACTTTCCCGGCGAGGCGATCACCGTGCGACCTGCACAGAAGAGCGCGTTTCGTGCGCGGATAACACGGACAAACTGAATGAGAGAACGCGGCCGTCGGTGTCTGAAGGTGGGAACGAAGCGCGAGGTTTACCTTTCGGCGCCATTATCGATATGGCTGGAACTAGACGGAGAAGTATTCAGAAGACCCGTGCAGTTGTAAAACAACCGCAGTCTGCGGTAGCATTGGTGAGTTTAGTATGTCGCAGTCCGCTATCAGATGGACTTGCAGTCACGCACTATGTATCGCCGAGGCATCTGTCCTTCGTTTCGCTCCAACGTCAACGGCACATGTGCCTCGTACTGAGCACATCTGTCTGAGAAGGATTCTTGACGCACTCGTCGTTTCCAGAGAGGAAAGGCAGATTTCGATGACTATCTGCGCGTTGACGTGAGACTGACCTGGTTTGAAGGTATCACCTTCAAAGCAAACATGACATCCCCAACAGTCAGCTCTTCATCCACGACGGAAACCTCTTTTTCCGTCTGCAAGAACAGTGGGCTGGTCAGCTCTTTGTGCCGCATATAGGCTGAGGACAACTGACGAGAGACAGCGTGCTGACCGTAGTAGCAGCACGGAAAATTCGTGTCATATGCAGGGGTTGTATCGTCAGTTGGTCTACGATCCCAGCCAGCGTCCCTACTTCCATAACAGGCTCGGGGCCGATGGCTATATGCGCGTCAATAACCGAGTTACAGGTTGTGACTGATAATACGTGAGACTGACAATGACTGTATCCTGTCGACACGTTTTCATCGTTATACTCTCCGCCGGTATACAGCACATACGGGGAGCAGAGCTTGCTACAGCCTGAGTGCGCTGCCAGCCTCTTGAATGCCATATCTTGTGTGATTGGATTTATGACTCCTGATCGCTGCACGAATTTTGAATGTCCAGCTGAGCATGGCAGATGGTGGCTATGATGTCGTAGGCTGCCTGTATGGAATCGGTTCATGTCCGCTGCTGCTCAGCGCGACTAGCGGCGCATGGGGGCACTACAAGGATTGGGGGAGAACGTGGAAGAAAGAAGAAGAGAACGTTCGTCGGCGGGCCGGAGTGGTCGCTTTTTATATCCATATCCACATACCAAGGACAGCAGAGGGCGCTGCACCGTCGGTGGCGTCCAGAACGCGTGACGTCATCAGAAGGTGATGGCAACGTCTGGAGAGCTGAGCGAAGAGGACTTCCGTATTAGGAAGTCATCCTGCTCGATATGGCTACAGTTGTTTGCTCGAGCAGTCCAGTAGCTTCGCGCTGCGGCGGCAACTGGCGTTGTGTCCTCGCGGTCAGACTTCATTTATCATTACGTGTGGCATCCTCGCAACGTCCGACCTCACCAGTCGAAGTAGACGCATGGTCAATGCATGCGATATTCACATGGGCCCTGAGCTCCTTGTCGAACGAATGGCTTCGCGAGAAAATGTTAGGCCACGCCTTTTACGCAAAGCATACGCCGCCTGGCCGCATACTTCGCTCCTAAAAGGCAAGAGTCGGATAGAATCCAACTCCGCGAATCACACACGCATGATCGAGCCCTCGGTTTCGGGGATCCCCGAACAGCGTTTCTTCATACTAAACCGCCGTTGTCTTCCAGGACATTTTTCAGCTTCAGGAGTCCATGCGACGTTGTGCTTAGGCGTCGAGATTAGTGGCTTGCAGGAATGCCCTTGAGTTTGTATACCCACGGGGCGCCGGGGCTTGGCCGCCTGCAGGACGTCCCCAGGAAACGGGCTCAGATGAGAAAACCAGGAGGTGACATACGAAGTATATATGAAATTCCATGCGGTATAGTAAGCCTGTGAATGGACAGCATGATCCTATGACGTTATCAATGCTGCATTCCATTTGGATAAGGTATTGGCAGACGAGTATGCATGTTATGGGCTCTAGGGCGTGAAGCTATTTATTCGCTTCGCCGGTCTGACACCCGTTGCTCTAAAGTAGTCTCGGAGAGACGTTGCGGAAGGAGGGATGCATATGACTCTAACCTGCTGCGAGCGCTATCACGGCAGTAAAGTAACGTATCGCGGACATTTCGATCATTGTGACAGTGTGGTGCTCCGTGTGTGGAATATCCCGAGCAGATTGGTGAGGCATAAATGTGTCGTCGGAAACGACATAGTATGTATGGTTGGACCCCTGTTCATAAAGGGGACCAGTGTGTATGATTTTGGCGTAATTCCCTCAGCATGACCGATAAGCCTGAGTCTTGCTAGATACTCTGTTCGCTATATCGTTTAGCATGCTGTCGGGCGCGTTGCTCAAACAAGCAAACAGAGCTTCTTAGATGGGAGTAATCACTCATGAACCACCCACCATCTGCCCAGCCAACTGCACACAACGCCATCACGACAATCACACGTATGTGCATGTGTCGGCTCCACGCATGTCTCCGTTGCTCTGTTATACGAGAGGGTACACGTCCTTTACGGAAGAGCCCAGACGCTGCGGCCCAGGCGCTCTCTACAACTTCAAAGAAAGATTAGTGAGCAGGGCCATCGGCGCCGCACGAAACGTGTCTGGCGTGAAGTCGAAATCAGGAACCGGGTCCTGGAACGTGAGCAGGGACGCCGTCGCATTGTGCGCGCGCCACCGGGGCCACTGGACGCCAGAGAGGTGGCTGACGTTCGCGGGGAGCCCCGGGGGCGCGTTGGGGTTCAATTGTGTGACGAAGTTGACTGGAAGAGGGATCGCACGCACCCGGGTGAGCGCGCGGCAAGGAATAAGAATAAGGGGCGGCGGGGGAACGCACCGAGGGCGTCCATGCCGATATAATCGACGTGCGCGAAGAACTCGGACAGGTCGGACGCGTGGGCGACGCCGAGGTACTTCTGCGGCGTTGCCTTTGGGCGCCGGAACACTGGGAAAGGGAAAGGTGCTTTGGTGAGAACAGGTCGCGATCCCTGCGTTCGGGCGGCGTACGGTATGCCCATGCATCATGTGTTTTTGAGATCACGCTAAGTGTGAGCCTGCGGGGCGCTTGGAACTGCCAATCCCCGGTGAACGCGGCAATGCGCTTGTATTGAGGGCTGCGATGCGGTGCATTGGTGAGGGGAAGAAAGGGATGTTGCAATGCATTTGCTCACGACAAGGTATAGTCATTCCCAGTGTCGAATGGAGATCCCTGGAGTGTGATTGTAAGTGAAGACTCCTTGCGGTCTGGGCTCTTGACTGACTAAGCTAGGATCATCCGGGTATGCTGACCCGACTGCTGCAATTTCTGCAGGGGTCGCAACAGGTATATAGCTGAAACCCCCATTCGTAAGCAGATGCATCTTGATCGATCAGCGCACTACGCATACTTAGATCCGATATACTGTAGAAACTCTTCGTCCGTTCTATGATGATGTCGGTCAGTTACAATTCATCTATCGTACGATCCACTGACGTTATGTTTAAGTTCCCCAAAGAGAAGAGCGTCCCTTCATCCTCGCAGTCACCAGAGATGATAGGCACCTATGTACAGGACGTCGCTTACATGAGGGCGTGAATAAAATGGTGCAGAGGCAAAACAGACCTTTGCGTGCAGACCCATCAGGAGCGATTGCTGCGGGTTGCGAACGAAAAGGTCTCCATCAACCCGAGGTGCCCAGGGTAGATTATGGGCCGTGTAGCTGAACATGGTCGGCGTCTTGTTGACCGCTGCAATGATTTGCTCTGCAGGAGCCTCACGCAGGCATGCCAAAGTATCGGCTTGTCCTGAGCAGCCGGTGTGGTCCACCAGAAAGTCATAGTACACTTGCCCTTCGGAAACATTGCGCAGGGCATACGCAGATCCGGACTCCTGAAAAACGTGTGCATTCAGGGGACTTGACAGACATATGCGCGCTATCAAGAAACGATTACTGACCATCACCGCGGCGCGGAAGAGGCCTTGTGCGTCGCCGTTGTTGATGAGCATTTGGAGGCCGACAGAGAACGATCCGGCACTCTCCCCCCAGCTGTAGCGTTACGCTAGTCAAGTTGCCGGGGCGTAGACAAGCAGAGGCGGCTCACATCGTGACTTTATCGGGATCTCCTCCAAATGAGGAGATGTATTGCTGCACCCATTCCATTGCGAATCTCTCTATATGAGATATCAGAGACTCTCCGCCTAATCCGAGCACGCAATCAGAAGTACTCACGATCTCTCAGGCCTATGTTGGTCAGCCTAGCCTTTTCGACTTCCTCGCCTGCCAGAAAACCGAATGCTGCTGAACATGAGACATTGCGTGTCGGAAGCGAGATTCAATTTTCCGCACCATTGAGGCGATAGTTGAACGAGACAAAGATGATCGGTTCGCCCAGGGTGATAGAGCGTGCGACAATAATATTGCCTGGGTTGCCTCCTGAAGCGCCTTCCACGAAGGAGCCTTAGAAACGGTCAGGAACGAGAGCACACTTCAGTGATAGTTGATATTACCTCCGTAGATCCACTGTGAGTATGAATTTAGCCCTGTATTTCCAGGGACCGTTAGACCGACCTACAAATAGCACGGGCAGCTTTTCAGAAGTGTTCACGGTCGCAGGCGTCACGACGTTCACAAAGAGACCTAGCCACATTGACATCAGCGTATGTACAGCCTGTATAGCGGGCATCTCACAATCCTCTGATACATGAACAATAGAAGCTGAGGTTGATACGGCTGAGGCTGACGTGTTTATCGGCGGAGGAGCAACATGCTGCGCGAGACAAGCTGCTCCATAGGATGTTGCAGGGCGCACGCCGTCGAATATATTTGGCGCCTGGGGAGGTGCAAAGCGAAGGTTCCCTAGTCTTTGTTGAAACAAGCAGAAACAAGCAGGTATGAAGTGGTCAAGATGTTGGTCAGACTCACGGTGGCTGGGCATACGGCATTCCCAAAAAGGATGTGACATGTCCTGATGTCGACCCCTGGAAGGATCCATAGGGGAGCGTCACCACTGAGGCGTCGCTCGTGATCAAAAGGGGCAGTATTCCCGCCGCAAAGAAAGTATTGCACCACTGGAAAAACTGCATGAGGACAGAGAGCGGGTAAGCCATGTTAGGGCCCCATCACTGACCTGAGCGGTTTATACGGGCTAGGTGACGCTCGCACGACGTTTGCAGTGACGTCTGACTGATGCCTCGTTGGGTGCAGGGACGCTAGTGTGACGTCAACAAGTGTTCACCTGGTGTCGCTGTAGCGTCTTTCTCCGTTCCACTCTGTTGCTGCAGTCAGTGTTAGCCCCGAATGCGTCGCGCCCACCAAGCGCCGGCGAAGCATCGCCCAAGCACCGTGCGAGCGTCAGAAACACCATGCGCAGCTATTGGTGCGGTCTGCTGACGCGCCCCGGCCCACCTTACAAGAAGGCTGTGCAGCCGAGTGATTACCGGAGTTTCATGCTTCTGAGAAATTGATGGAGCGGCGCGTTGCATTGTGACTGCGGTCATTTCTTCACAGTCCTGCGGCGATACAAATGCTCATAAACCTTGCTATCCGATCTTTGTGGTGGAAGCTTCTTTCGAACAGGAGCGATGTTCCTACTAGCCTGACATGTGTTCCTGTTACATGAGAGTACACGTCCATTACGGAAGAGCTCATATGCTGATGCACAGGATCACGGCATCTGCAGAGAAAGAGCAGTAAGGAGGGCCATTGGTGCTGCACGGAATGTGTCTGATGTGAAGTTGAAAGTGGGAATCGGGTCCTGGAATGTGAGAAGAGACGGTGACACATTGCCCGAGGTCCACCGAGGCCACTGAATACCGGAGAGGTAGCTGACGTTCGCGGGGAGACCAGCAGGAGCATTGGGGTCTAGGTTCGTGACAAAGTTGACTAAATAACATAGAATCAGCGTGCGGCGAATGAAGTAATGGCGAAACATACTGAGGGCGTCCGTGCCAATATAATCAATGTCAGTAAAGAACTCGGACAAGTCTGAAGAATGGTAGGCGCCGAGATACGGCGTAGATTTTCCGCGCTTGAATACTGGGGAGATGTGTGTTGGTCAGCTCAAAACAAGATCTATGTTGAGAGAACGTACGGTATGCCCACGCGTCCTGTGTTTGTGATATTACGCTGAGTGTAAGCCTGCGGGGTGCTTCGAATTGCCAATCTCCTGTAAATGCAGCAATGCGCTTGAATTGAGGGCTGCCATGCATTGGTGAGAGAAAGACAGGGATATCATAATGCATCTACTCACGTCAAGACATCAGCATCTCCAGTGCCGAATGGGGACCCCTGGAGTGTGAGCGTAAGTAGAGTTCCCTTCGGTCGGTGCTATTAACAGACCAAGCTAGGATTATCCGGGTATGCTGCCCCGACTGCCGCAATTTCTGCAGGGGTCGCACCAGGTATATAACTAAAACACTCATCTGTCAGCAGATGGTTCTTAATAGATCAAAGCACTGGGCTTACTTAGAGCCGATATATTGTAAAAACTCTTCGTCCGTTCTGATGCGATATCGTGAGCCAGAAATACAGGTCGTCTGTCTTGCGATTCACTGACGTTATGTTCAAATTACCCAAAGAGAACAGTGTCCCTTCATCATCACAGTCACCAGATATGATAGGTACCTACAGCGTTGCTGCCATGAGGTGATGAATACAAGATGCAGTGTCAGATATACCTTTGTGTATAGACCCATTAGGAGCGAATGCTGTGGATTGCGAACGAAAAGATCTCTGTCGAGACGAGGCTGCCAGGCTAGGTTATGACCCGTGTAGTTGAATGTGGTTGGTGTCAAGTTGACTGCCTCAACAATTTGTTCCGCAGGAGCTTCGCGTAGGCATGCTAAAGTATCGGCTTGTCCTGAGCAGCCGGTATAGTTTACCAGTAAGTCATAGTACCCTTGCGCAGCGGATACATTGCGCAGGGCATATGCCGATCCGGACTCCTAGGAGACGTACATTCAGAGACTTGACGGGCATATGCACTATCAAGAAACAGGTACCAACCATTATCGCAGCTCGAAAGAGACCCTGTGCATCGCCATTGTTCATGATCATTTGGAGACCGACAGCAAATGCTCCAGCGCTCTCTCCCCAGCTGTAGCATTGTGCTCGTCAAGTTTCTGGGACAGCGTGGACAAGTAGAAGCGGCTCACATCGTGACTTTATCTGGATCTCCTCCAAACGAGGAGATGTATTTATTCACCCATTCCATTGCAAATCTCTCTATAAGAGATATCAGAGACTCGGCGAATGGTCCGAACGCGCAACCAGAAGTACTCACGGTCTCTCATGCCTATGTTTGTTAGTCCAGCGTTTTCGACTTCCTCGCTTGCCAAGAAACCGAATGCTGATAAACATGAGACATTGCTTTATGGAAGCTAGATTCAAAATTTCGCACCATTGAGGCGGTAGTTGAACGAGACAAAGATGATCGGTTCGCCCAAGGTGATGGAGCGTTCGACGATAATATTGCCCGGGTTACTTGCCGAACTGCCTTCTACGAAGGCGCCTGTGGGATGTTCAGTAACGACGATACGCTTGATTGATGGTTCATCTTCACCTCCGTAAACCCACTATGAGGATGAACTTAGCGTTATATTTTGAGAGACCTACAGACGGGCTTACGAAAAGCACGGGCAGTTTGTTGGAAGTATTCACGGCCGCAGGCGTCAAGACGTTCACAAAGAGACCTTGCCACATTGACATCAGCGTATGTGCAGCTTGTATAGCAGGCATCTCACAGTCTTCTGATACGTCAGCGAGAGACGACAGCTTTATCGTTAAACCCTGTGGAGGGCTACCAGTCTGCTGCAGACAAGCTGCTCCGTAAGATGTTGCAAGGCGCACGCCATCAAAGGCCTCTGGCGCTTGAGGAGGCGCAAATCGAAGGTTCCCTAGCCTTGGTTGAAATCAGCCGGCATGGAGTCGATGAGATGTGTATTAGACTCACGGTGGTTGGGCGTACGGCATTCCTAGAAAAGATGTCACACTTCTAGATGTATTCCCTTGAAACGACCCATACGGTAGCGTCACCAAGGGTTCGCTTGCAATCGCAAAGGGCAACAACCCTGCTGCAAGTGAAGCAATATACCACCAGAAATGCTGCATGATAAAGTTGTTCTTTTGTGAAAGCAGAGAGCGAATCAGCCAATATCAGGCGGCACCATTGACTTCAGCGAGCTATTTATGCGGTCTGAGAGCCCGTTCGGGCTCCCGGAGACTCACGCGGGTGAAAGGGTCCTCAGTTGCATCTGCTGACATGCCCGTGTCCGTCCCACGATGAGACTGTGCATCTCAAGGGTCGCTGTGGGTTCGAACTTCTGAAACGCTGATCGCGCTTCCACCGCCGCAGCCCATGGTAATCGAGGTATTTGATGGAATGGCGTTGGCAGTGGGCGGTCATTCATTGACACTCGCGCAGCGGCACAAACGCAGTTCTTACTACGCGATATTTGTGGTCAACCCTTCTTTCGAACAGGAACGATCATTTGAACAGGCGCAACGTACAGTGGCATTATTTTGATGTCGTGAGACTCATGATGCAGCGCACGGTTCAGGCTGGATCTTCATCCATCGAGAAAGGCAACAACTGACCGGGAGGCAAAAATCCAAAGGGAAACACTGGACGAACATAGTGGATGGTACGACAGACATCCCAGCCAGAGCTGCGGAACACGGTCACGTGCCCATGATACCGGTGACGCGTCTTCGTGCGTTAGCGACGTCGCCCACCTGCAGTTGCACTCTTGCCATCATCGGTGCACCTAGACTTATGAAGCCATACCACTGACGCGAAAGCTATTTTTTACGAGAGTAATCACGCGCTTCCGTTAAGACGACGCCACAGAAACGGGAACGTCAATATTCGCTCGGCACGACGCTGATCCTCACCCACTCATGCATGTGATCATCTTACACCTTCTGCGTTCCCTTTCCCTTCGCAACTATTTGTCTTGTGCCAATCAAGATGACGGACCCCACAGACATTAGGATCTGGATTAGACGTCAGGCGTTGCTATCGCAAATTCTCCATAGACAGGCTACTCACGCCGCTGAACAAAAGGGTTTTGTACCACTGATAGTTGTCTCCGAGTAGTGCTCCATTGATGGGAGTCCCGGTCAAGATTGGGTAGGATATAATGAAGAAACCGACGCCAATGCGAACCCTGAACGCAGGTGAGTGATGATTTCATGAGAAATACGGTAATTGATGGATATACCCAGCTTCACGGTTACTCTTTGCCAAAGACGACAAGACTACCGGAATCAATGCAAGCCCTTGCGTTCCCAGCCGATGAGCGTCAAACAGACGGGAGATCACTCATCCACACTCACAAGCGCCAGTGAAAAAACCGTATAAGATCGTGAAGACCATCACAGGGCCAGTCGTAGTTGTGCCAAACATGGCAAATATGAGGGCGCTGCTGATGACTGATATCGGGCAGATGACGGTCAGAGATCCCCAGTGATCTGCCATCAAGCTCGGTATGATCCGTCCGGGAATGGAGGATGCATTCAAGATGGCAATCTGCTGGTGCGTGAGATCGGTGTGATAGGAATGGTCGTTCAATGAACTCACGGTGTAGAACGATAACTCCGACGGCAAATTGTGAATTCTAGCCCAAGATTGAAGGTAGAACCCTGGACAGAGGTCAACGACGTGCGCGCATTACTTTCCACTCGTTACTTACAGGGGAAGAATATGCCCCATGAAACCAGAGAAAGTCTATGAACATGATCAAGTCTGAGAAAGTCATTATCGTATTGCTAAATGGAAGGGCTTACCCCAAGATCATAAGCATATAGGGCTTGTCAGACAGAATAGACTTCATTGAAGGCTGATCGTTAACGCCTGCCTTCGCCTTCGGCAGACGAGTTCTCATGATGCAGCACGCGATCGTCAAAAGGCCTAGCGAGAGGAATCCCGAAGCACGCACGCCCCAAGCAAAGCCGGTCGATCCGTAGAAGAGCTGATTCACCAAGATCGGGTAGACGATACCTCCGCACGACGACCCTTATCCACTCGTCAGTATCGCTGTCGTAGTTCGGCTTGCAAAAACAGAACTTACCTGCTTGCACAATGCCCATGGCAAGACAGAGGTGTTTGTCCCAGTGATGGGCCTGCATCGAGACAGTCAGGCACATCAGCAGTCCGCCGCCGAAACCCATGCCGATGCCTTGAGAGAGGATGAGCTGGTAGTATTTTGTGGGGTCCGCCAACGACAGCATGAAGAGGCTGGACGGTACACAGCACGATGAGTGCCCTCTCATCGTTGTAAGACAAAACACCTACCAGAAACAGAACACTAAGGTCCCAACGATCGACACATGGTGGAAGTACCCCTTGTCGAACAGTCTGCCCGACACAATTCCGACGAGGAAGAGGAGAGCTATCTGCAAGCTTGGTTAGCACGGACACGTAATCAGAGGGTGATGTGGATGTACCTGCACAGATCCAATCCAGCTAATCGCGGACGATGTTGCAGTGCCCTGTTGAACGTAATAATCTTGGTACACTCCAAACGACGTGGCATTGCCGAATGTGCAGAACTGTATCAACCAACTAAAACGAAACGGGTTGAGCAAAATACCACCAGTAAATTTACCAAACTGATCGTACCCGCCAAGAATCGCCAGACATGCCTTGAGTCCACCATCTGGGATTTTCACGTCGGGTTCAGGTGAAAGGTACGCCTCTTCCAAGGAGATGGTGGCAGGCTCGAGCGATGGTGCCTTTGAGCTCTTCTCACCGATTTCTACACTGCCATCCGACATCGTAAGAGGTAGAGTTGATGGTTACTGGTGGGTCTCGGGTCGTGGGTGGGACAGGGTCTGCAGTGCAATTATACATACGCGGGTGCTACTCGGCCTAGGGTGCCGAGGTGGATCATGCGTTCCTCGATGACTGAATGGCTACAGAGTGGCAAGGGGTGGGATGGGTAAGCCGGTGGCTAGAAGGAAGCAGATTTTAGAAGCTCACCAACCGACTCCGGCTCTCAACACACTAGTCGTTCTGCACTTACTGAATTCCTACCCGTCGATCAAGATGATCGTGTGTGACTTGCCACAAAATCAATCATGGTTCCGTTTACCAGGCTTCGCGAATTTATGCCTTGGCGTTATGGCGCGGCTTCAGAGTAGTGGTCTAATATTGCATAGCTATTACTATGTAGAGCTTGAGAAAGGCATAGCATATTGACGCATTGCTGCCGCCTCTCAGGAACTCTCCACACAATGGACCCGAGCTGCCCTATCGATTGTGAATAATAACCGAGGCGTGCAAACGGAAAGTCACCAGGCTGCATATCTGACTGACGGGCCGCCCCCTTTGAACGAAGAGACAACGCAACGACTACTCGACAAAAGGCGGTACGTCGCATCTTTCGGTGTACACGTGAACGGGTCTCATGCTTGTTGTGACCAGAATCTGGTTACATGCTCGGAGGCCTGCGAGATGCTCAACGAGAAAGGAGATCGAGGTCTGACCTTCGCTAGTAGCAAACATATGCACGAGGCTCCCCGACGGGCTGCCGTATACTTCGAAGAAGTACGACGGGGAGGTAGCCACTTTAGTAACAGGGCTCCTCTTCTCATGAATCACTGGCTACGTAACGTGCCAAGCAAATCTCTTTAAGATGGACCGTCAGCTGGCTCGCATCGAGAGAGCTGGTGCTCTGTCACGAGCCATGTCCGTGCGCATTCACATAGCGTAGCATGGTAGAGCGGCACAATCATGCCCGTGGATCAACTTCCGCAGATGACCATAGATAGCATGGCTTCTGAATTCGGAAGTAGCCAGCAGGCAAGAATACATAGCCACCGGGGTCTATCTGGCTGTCTGTATCTCGCATCTCTGCCCCGCCGCTCCTGCCACTTGAGATCTACAGCAGTAGATGGGGGCCATCTGTGATCGCTGGCGACCTCGACCACGGAGATGTGAGGCTAGTTCTACAAGCAAGTCTGTGAGAGAGCCGAGACAAGACATACCTATGAGTGCCGATCTCGTAAGAGCAAGGGTGGGCATGATGTGTATCCTAACATCCTTCTCTGTGTTAATGAATGTATACCTTGAACCACCAAGTAGACTTTCGATGCGATACAGGCTCGACTCTTTCGGGAAAGCTATAGCGTTTAGGAGGCCAGGGTTAACATCTTTTGGAGACAAGACATTGCCGTTGACCCGATAAGCATTGCTTGCACAGATGATACAGCAGATATAATTTGGAAAAGTGATTGTGTAAATGAAGAAAGCGTCGGACAAATCAACGGAAGAGCCGCTCAGCGCTCCCGCCCGAGCCAACCGCATCATGAGCACGTGATAAGAACGCGTGCAGCGTCGCGCAACGCTGTCACATTTCCTTCTGGCAATACTTTCCAGTCATAATCATCATAATCAAAATTGGAGCCGTTATGGCGATAGAACAAAAAGATGCAGCTCCTCTCACGGGAAAATTCATTCCACGGTCGTCATATCTAAATCTTGTTATGAGATAGGGAAGTAGGCAATGTCATCGAACTTCGGCACGTCTATATTGTCATGAAACACAATTTTATCATACACAACTTGCAGGGCTTGTGCTCAATCAGCCTTGTCGCTGACAATCGTTGTCTCAACATGCACGACCGGAGTGACCTGATCAATAGCGTATGAATTAAGGTCTGTAGATCTTTGAAGGCAACTCACCCCTTTACGGTCGATTGTGCTTGCTGGAAATGATGAGGTGCCCGACGGGGCTCTTGTAGGTAACGAGACAGTTGTTCCATCCTCTCCAGACTCATTGATCCCTCTTCCGGCATGCGGTGTACGACAGTTAAGCCTAAATAGGAGTCAATAATTCTACCCAGGAAGTTTTACATTGAATGCGTGTACGTTGCCAGCAGCGAATTCGCATAAACTGTTCACGTGTTCAACGCAGGTCAAAAAGAAAAGAGCGGCCATTACTCACGTTTACCGAGTAGGAGGTGTAAGGCGAGATAAATCATGTTGTACGGCATTGCTACAAGCTGGAAGAATGTTAACTTCTACGGAGGTTTTACCGACAGGTGCGTACAGATATAATGATTGCCAGTCCAAGGAGACTAAACATAGTTCAGCGGCAATGATATTTGACCTTGATCGCGTCTTACCTCGTAAGAAGACCGTTGTTTATTGTCCAATAGGTGAGTCTATCAATTAACTGTAGTCCGCAGTAAGCTCCGTGAAGGTTCATTGCTTATGATCAGACTACTCACATTATCTGTGCTATGTAGACCAGTGATTACCCAGAGGAAGTACAGGTCATTGATGGAGGACGGCTTACCTGCTGTTACGTCCGCGAGTGTCAGCATCGCTCGACACCGTGTGCAAAGGCGTGGAAACGTACCGATTGAACCCAGATCTTTTACGTCTGAGGAGGACAACGAGCGAGCCCGTTATGATCCAGTCAGCAAGGCTCCCCGCTCCCATTCCGATACCGACCAGAACCTGTACGAAGGTTACATCCACCATCAGGAACATTATTGTGAAGAATAGGGAGGCAATCACCCCTATTCTGCCACGCAGTTCAGCTAATATTTTGATCTGCAACCTGCACCAGTTCCTATGTGAAATGAACAAGAATCGCTGGAACATACATGCGGACGGTCACGACTGTTGGTGACAATTAGTGTACTGTTGGTTCGAAGCCAACGATTACACACCACAACCGAGAACTGAGTATTTACAATCAGTGAGTCAGGTGCAAATTAGCATATAGGTCAAGAACAGCGTTACGCACTCATCCGTACCGCCGAAAGGATGCCCTACCGCCTGGAAGTAAGACTGTGATCCACACCATCAAAGTCGCTTTTACGTACTATGATGGTAGGGAGGAACCAGCTCCGATTGCTCACTGAGGTGATATATGAGCTAGGTCTGTTGCATTCGATATATGCCACTGACATATGTAGACTCGGCGGGCATAAAATCTGAAAATGGGTAGGCTTTGAGACTGGCATCGCCGCCGCACACTATGAGTGGTAACATACCCATGAGTGATGCATGTGATAACCGCCTGTGGCGTCTGATTAAAAAGGGTAGTCGGGCGTCGATTGAGGATGGAACATACGGTCACGACTATTGTTGCCTATGCGCGTGAGAGTGATGAGTAAATGAGTATCACCCTCGACAGACATCCGACATACATCAAAGCTCCTGCCAGTATAACCCAAAGGCGGTCAATAAGCGATCAAAGTGCATGAGGTTTGCATTTTACCAAACCGATCGGGTCAGTGCAGCCGGGTTGTTGTAGTTTGTAATGACATAGAAATAGATGATGTGCATGGTGAATATCATATGCACAATATCTAGGCAGCTGTCTTTGCTTGTTAGAGAACGACTTAAACATCGACAGACTCACGAAATTGACCACACCTTCAAGAAATGGCATTCAGTATGTGGTTCGCGATTGCTGTATGAAACTGACTTACGACGTAGCGGATAACCTTGCTATCGCTGGGAAACGTCCTATACCACATGTAGGTCTGCATGGTCGTTATGCCGAAACCGCTTGTGTACCGAGTCAATTCGCGCGAAATTAATCGCCGGAGGAAATACGTACATCGCCGTTAATAAAGCGCCAATGAGCACAGCACCTATGCTCAGGTTGAGGTCACCCGACATCATCGCTAGTCGACTGCGGGACTATTGTCGCCGTAATCGTACCTTGATTACAGGCTCGCGGGACGATAATATACACAAAGGCAAGGCGCCGTATTCGCTACTCGTCCACCCTGTCAGAGATGTCGTGGAGTCCGTGTGAGTGTAGAAGAAACCACACAGCAGCATGTCCAGCCTTTACCCCAGAGGTTCGCGACGTTTCCATGTCAATATATGTTCCCTTTCGAGGCACACAACCAGAGTTAGCTCCACAGTGGCTGGGACTGATATATGCATATGCCACACCATGAGAAAGGATTTGTGGCACCTTACTTTCATGTCTGTTCCTGGGGAAGACGCCTTTGGTCACGCGGGTCCCCTTATCGAGGAAGGCCATCAACGTGTGCCAGGAATCAGTTGGCGTGGTCTAGGCGGTCTATTAGAAACGAACGTGATATCCGCGTGCATGAACGCTGTACGATTTGATTCTTCTGTACTGGAGGAGACCGGCAGTACCTCGGACAACAGGCGTCTCTTACCTTGCATTCATGCATTTAACATGCCTCGCGCCAGAGACCCGGGTATACCCCTGTTCGCATCATTCGAAATCAGGGGGCGAGAGCTGTCTTTTGGAGTGGCGAAGTAGCGTGCTTTATGGTCACAAACTTCTCACATCTGGGTAGACTTGAGTTAATCTGACGGCCCAGGCGATTGCACGTCGATCGCCAACGTGAACCTCCTGCGCCATCAAGAGGCATTCCCCGTATCACCGCGTTGAGAGATATGTATACACAAATGGTATCAAGGGCAACTTCATATACCCAATTTACTACACCTTTCGAGACGCCACATCATGAAGGAAGTTAGTCAGAGACCTTCACCACCCTACAACGTCATGCCAGATCAGACTGCGCTACCTGTGAAATGAGGGGCGACACCTACAGTTTCCCCTCGTTCTCTCCGCGAAAGAGCATCCCAATTGCCCCAGGGGCAATATCCAAACCGTTAAGAACGTGGTATCGTTGTTTGACAGCTCCCTTCGTAACGAGCTCAGCGAGGTACTCGCGGCCTTCCTCATAGCGAGAAGTATAGTCAAATCTGGCATGGGTGTAAGTTGGCGGACGTGTGAGCAGACGATAGAATGATCCACACGATAAACCCTCGCATCGTGGCGCGTTTGCTTAGTAACTGGGAATAGTTCCGTAGAGGATACTGCTTCTCCGTGTCTGTATCTAAGTGAGTTTTATGAGACGCGTTGCTAGATACAGACTCACTGTATTGGGAAAGGTTTCCTGCGGGACATGAAAGTCACATGAGCCCAAGCGCATTAGACTAATTTCGAGTATCATACCGCAGATAATGATGCGGGCGTGCAGATTCGTGCTCGCCAACGCCAGGTCAAGAACCTCTCCGCCTACGTTGTCATAGAATACGTCTAGCGCTCCTACCGTCTTAGAGAAGTCATCCTTGAACGTGGGGCTCTTGTAATTGAGCGCCTTGTCAATGCCCAGCTCTTGCTCGAGCCATTCGCACTTCTTCGTGGACCCGGATATGCCAATCACCTTCGCCCCACGCTCTTTGCCAAGCTGACATACGATGGAGCCAGTAGCACCTGCGGCGCCGGATACAACCAGGGTCTCTCCGGCCTTAATCTGGGCAATATCAACGAGACCCTGCGCATGTTCTCGTCAGCACAGGACTGGGTGATGCGATGCGATGTGTGGCGTACAAAGTAAGCCGCGAGACCTACGAAAAGCTATCAGAAAGAGCTTCAGTCTACAAGTATAAACCTCACATACCAATATGTGCCAGAAGTCCAATATAATCGAGGGCCTGCATGTTTGGAGGGGGCCTGTCAGCAAAGTGAGTCGATAAATGATGCAAATAAGGGTTTATGTATATGTACGTACTCGAGCTTCTCGACAGCATTCGCATCCTGGATTGTATATTCTGCCATACCTAGTTACATAGATGAGCTGAGCGCTAATGACTCGAACATAAACCTAAAATAGACTGACCGAGGTTCCCGCTCACTAAATCGCCAGGAACAAGGGAGGTATTCTCTCCGGACGCAATCACAGCTCCAACCCCGATGGCATGCATGACGCCCCCGATTGGAATTGGAGTCAGAGGTGTTCCCGTCTCGCTGAGCCACAAGCGCATAGCAGGATCAATAGAGAGGTATTGCACTCGTATCAGCACCTGGCCCTTTTGAGGTTTGAGATCGAAAGGCACAACTTCTTTACGGAAGTGGTCCGCCTCGATGAAGGCAGAAGTAGCAGGCCTTGAAGCAAGTACGATTTGAGTGTAGTGTGATGGTGTCATGGAGTAGTGATATGGCTCAGACAGTGCTTTTGCATGGGCATCTATACCTACGGAGCAATGCCATCAGTAGGCGCAGTCTATGAGAGCGCCCATACATCAAAATGCTTACCGATGTGGGAATGCGAATGTGCAAATCCTGTGGAGGAGCGTAGTGATCGTTATCTTGTTAGGATGGCCCTAAAGCTGGATTCCGTATACCCTCTTATCTGCCATTGATTAGCGGGAGAAAACATACTAGTAAATTCCTGCTTCAAAGGCTCTTGAGCCATACATTATTGTTTGGATAGAGATCACTCCTTAGTAGCCGTTTAGCCGTTTATGTGAAATTGGCTTGAGACTGGAATGATTGCATTATAATTAACGATGCACCTTGCGCCGTCTAGCGCAACGCTGTCCAGCGTCAATGGGCGCTAATGGGCGCTCCTGAGCTTCACGCGTAAATCACGTGGATGACGCGACGCGCGCGACCTGGTTCTTCCTCTCGCAGAGCACGCTCTCCCATCTCAATATTTCTGGACAGTTCATAATCAATACTCCGCTTGCGGCATTGGATGTTTCACTGGTGCGAGGAATTTTCCGCTCAGACTCGACGTGTCTCTACACCACGAACCCGGATTTCGAGTATTTTCGCGTACCGCCGCGACGTAGAGTGCTGTGTCGAGACTTCATCAAGGAACCACACTTTTTAAGTCGCAGTGTTCTGTCGAGGCCTGCGCACATCGTATATCAAATGCCACATGACGCGACGAGTTGGTTACGTCCTTCAGATGCTTCGCCTCGAATCAGAGGTGGTACCGCTCAAGTGGGCGCTGATGGCAAGTTTGAGATGGGCTAGTTACAACGGCATGAAAGCCCCTATTTTTTCTTAGGAAGGTTAGTCTGGGCATGAGCAGAGGTGAGAACGATTTCACTCCTTGAAGCGAGGCGGTAGGCTTACAAACGAGCATCAAGTGCATGCATGCTTGGCTTGATCCTCCAAGCCTGCTGCATCGGCGTACTTCGGTTACATGCGGTAATCTAAGGAAAGCTGGGGGGGCGCCCTGAAACACTATTTATCTGATAGAACCGGAGCGCGTTGCACACATCGCGGAGTGCTCATAAGGCCTAGGGAGTATAAAGGAGCGTACGCATGATTTGAAACCCCGCCCCTCCTCCCAGCCCTCATGATGAACACGCCTACGATGAAAGTCCTTACCTCGAGCGATGGTACTACAATATATGCCGAAGCCATCGGCGATCCTCGTAATCCCGCCGTTGTCTTGGCACATGGAATGTGCTTGTCGGCGGCGGCATTTGATGGCCTCTTTAGAGACAAACGGCTCCTGGACAAGCTGTATCTGGTACGTTTGCACCTGAGCTACCTATGCGCATTTCTTCCAAAGTCGGTCTCATATGTGCCCATCAGGTGCGCTACGACTTGCGAGGACATGGTAGAAGCGGCATGCCCGCAGGCATCAAGGGCTACCGCTCTTCGCTCTGGGCCGATGACTACGCCGCTGTTCTCAAGGCTTTTGGCCTGACAAAGTAATTCATTTCGCCTGGTATGCCTTCCTGTTTGCCCTCCTCGCCTCGTTATTTGACAATGTCTTCGCGCCTTCTAGGAGCTATGGAGGTACATAAACGCGCGTCATTGAAAGGCCACGCTTCTTATCGTTCATCTCAGCTACTGTTGTCGCGGATGTCTGTGCGCACACGGAGTCGCATCCCTTCATTGGGCTGGTCTTCGTAGCACCGCTGCCCTACATCGGACCAGTCAACGTTGGCACTCCCACTGTGCTCCGCCTCATCCCTGGCCTGATGAACACGACCGACGTCGCCCTAAGCTCTCGCACACGTGTGAAGTTCGTCGACTCGTGCTTTAACGAGCCCGTGGACTTCGGTGTCAGAACGTCACTTATCGGGCAGACGATTCTGCAGCCCCCGGAGGTTGAGGCGTACGTCTTATCGCGCCCGCAGGATCCGCAGAAGATGTGGGAGGCTGCACGCGCAGGGCTGCCTCTCCTGCTGCTGAACGGGACGGAGGATAAGCAGGTGTCGGGAGAGGCCGTCGTGAGGGAGCTTAGCCCGCATTACACGAAGATGGAGGTGCGGATGATCGAGGGCGGCAGCCATGCCCTCTTCATGGAGAAGCAAGATGAGTGCGTTGAGGCGCTTCTGACATTTGTAGCGCGGTTGACGGTAGGTGACGGTTGCTTCCCCCACGCTCTGTACTAGACTGACAGAAATGCTAGGCGGCATGAGATCCTCCGTTGTTACACTTCGACATCGGCTTCTGTATAAACCGTCGTTACATCGATACACGAAACCAACGACAGCGAACTCATAGGCCGGTAAATCACGAACTTTATGCGGCATGGCCGATGAGGTATTTTTGCTCACGATCATACTAATCTCTGCGAATACTCGCCGGAGGACCAACTCAAACTCACCAAAGTTTGCACCAGTCATTACTACTTGGAAAGCGAGGAAGCGACGGACCTCAGCACCGCATTCCATAAGCTTTATGATTGCTGATTAGAATGCAGTACACGCTGTTGGAATTTGAGATTGTGGCGAGCGCATGCCATCATATTTGGTATTGTTTGTAGTACCTCGCAGATTTTGCGCGAGCCGTTCTGTATGTTCCTTACGCGTTCGACAGAGCTCAGACAAACGCGATATATCTTCGTTGATTGTTCTCGCTTTGGGTCTCGGACGAACCTCCACACACGCTAGGCACAAATCCATACGAGCATTGCTCCTATATATATTCAAACCCGCCCCTAAACATCTTCGTCGGTTCACGGTCGTTCAGGGTGTTCTCCGTCGTCGTGGGTCGTCGAACTTCTACCCGCACCGGCATGGGTGGTGATCCTGCATCCTGCGCATACGTGTCCGTTTTGAACTCAAGGCTGGAGGGAGTGGTGGTTTCATGCCCCGTCGCGCCACGCACCCAGCCTATGAGGGCCCGAACATTGATGAGCATCAGAGAGATGCCGCCAATTGCAGGCATCGTCTCGGCGGCTACGTTTTGAAGCTCTGATTTGGCTTGAAATGATGCAAAGTAGAAAAGCGCCCAAGTTCTGCTGCAGGGTTCAGCCGCCTGAGTAGCTAGGAAACGCAAATTGTACTGACGTGTACAGGGCTGCGCTTTCTATCATCACCACTAACACGCCCTATGTATCGATCATATGTCAGCACGCAAAGTTCGACCGAGAAGCCTGTAAAAATTACGCTTAGGTTTGGTACTCTATAGAATTCCCTGCTTTTGTTGTGCACTCCCCAGATCTTCCAAGTGATCACCGCTACAAGGCATATCAATGAATGAACTACGACTTTCACAGATGGAGACCGACCAGTACAATAAACATTGATGCTAAAGCATAGATTCTCTTGTCAGCGCTGCCTCATATCAGGTCCGGACTGCCATTGTTGCCACTTACCAGAGGGTGCATATCACATCCGCTATGACCCATCCATCGGCGGTGGTATCATAGATACTTGTAAATGGGGGGAAACGAGTGAACTCGTATGTGACGCCAATACCGCCAGCTAGTAGGTTCGTTCCACTTTCCAGCATGCTCCTCACCGAAACAGCGATATCACTGACTAGTAAATCCAAGAACGGAAATTGCAGGGAAAATGATCACATAAGTGTTGTAGCTCCAAACGACCCATGTACGATAAATCTATGATGATCATCAAACAACGTCACAGCAGCGCGAGATTAGAACACCCACGAGCATGGCATCGCCAACTACCATACAGAACACCAACACACCGGTCAATGTGACCATCGAGGGCTGCGGTTGATCCAGGTAGAACTGCATTGGCTTTGTTCCTCCTTCATAGTACACAAAGGCCTGATACGATCGCACTACAGTGATGATCCAATGCTAACAAGACAATGCCTCGCTAGACTTTTTATCTGTGTCTGCAGAAAGACTACTCACTGCAGTATTACCCAAGAGTAAGAGCAATACCCCCATGATCATGGGTGACTGTAACACCGACAATGTCTTGGATCCAGGTCTCCGCGGCACAAGATACACTTGACGGTGCATGATAAAAAAACTAGACGATACAGCGAGCAAGAGGAATATTGCGTAGAGCATGGTTCCCAGCCATAGCGTCGTCAGGTTTGCCTCGACCACTGAAATTCCAGCTGACATGATGAGGCAATCGTCGAGGAGTTACGCATGATGCCTGACAAGTGAGCCGCCGCTAAATTTATACTCTGTGCGGATGTAGTACGAAGGCAGGTGGTGGGCCTGAAGTCATGATGTATGTATAGCCCGATGATGCAGTCTGCGATGAAGAAGTGACACTTGGCACGAGTGCCCATGATAAATGATGAATCATGTCAAGCGCAGCATGTCGATGCCGTGATTGCAAGATGTCGCGCGGGAAATCAAAAAACTTCAGAAGAATAGGTCTGCATTTAGCATTCAATCATACGCTTCAACCCCGGCGCATCTCGCATCTGCCATGGTGTGATAGAAGGACCCGGTAGAGTGGCAGACTCCTGCCAACAATACTACTAACTGCAGATCCCCTAATAGAGGCCTAGCACAGCGAATTGAACCTACACATAATAACTTAGATACCGGAAATGACTTGTACAATGATTTTGCCGCCAGTGAATTGTTACTTGTCATTAACACAATCTTGTTACTCACACCCGGCTTGTATTGCTTTCGGCGGTCTTGAGTCAAATGCTGTATTCTTGCTTTATGATATCCGCCGCTACAGGCCAGCACATAAGTTGCCGATTTCGAAGTCAGGAGAGAGAAACAAACCCATTTCGGCAAGTCCATATACTATGACTGCCGGATGGAGGTGAGTATTGACGCTTGTAATCAAAATGGCATTCATACCTTGTGTGTGCGCTGAAACGGTCAGAGGGACCACTGAGAGATCTACAACGCGAACATTTTTGCAGCCATATATCTTGGGAGGTCTCCGTAAGAAGATCCAATGCGGATGAAGATCACGCTTACCCTCAACGCAGGGTCAACAGCGCCTCCTTTGTCTTGAGGCATCATTGACAGAGAGCCCGCAGAATCTATAAATGTGATGACATGGTTGAACACTCAAGACATGAATACCAAAGCGTACGCCAGGTGGTATTCAGATATTTCGATATATGTTCTATGGAAGCAATCGATTGTCACGAGGGGCAGAACATATCAAAAGGCTATACACACCAACAATCTGTCTATCTTCTGTGACCTCAGGTCCCGGGAGTACTTCGGCGACGACGAGATCCTTGAAAGGACTCGTATTGGAAATCTTGCGTGCGAACTTGAACCCCTCAAGAAGTATGTCTCTCTCTGTCTCCTCCTCAAAGTAACGTGGATCAATGAGCGGCGCGGCCTTCGGATCGGCAGAGCTGATATGCTAAAGATCAAGTCAGACCAAATCGCTGTCACAACAGCGTAAGCATCGACTGACAATTGTTCCCCGTGCGAATGGATGACTGATAACAATGGGCAAGGAAATGTACGGCTTGCCTATGACTATTGTGGAATGTGAGCATACACTGCAGAGTTCATAAGTGCGAAGACCCTTACAAGGGGCTGCGAAGCTGACGGGGAGCAGCATAATCTCGAGGTCTGGGATCTGACTGTCCCGCAAGATGTCAAGTTGAATATCATACTGCTCTTTTAGTCCAGGAGGATATGTGGCGGCTTCTCTTTGAATCTTTGCGGTTTGCCGCTCAATGATAGACGAGGCTCTCTCGCTTACACGTTGGAGAGGCAGGTATGTGATCCCGGTCCATACGGTAGCATTAGCACTGCTTTCATCAACTCTGCCGGCGCAACGTTAGCGAAATGTCCACTAACCTACTAGTATACTTACGTCGCTTCCTCAGGCTTAGTGGTGGCTGTCGAAGTATGCGCCGGGCGACTGAGCGCAGCGTCAGGCGCCTGTCGCATCTCTTTTGTGCCATCAGCCCATCGATTCTGGACCGATCTCTCGCCGGACTCACCTAACACCAAGCCTGTAAGCGTGTAATGCTCTTGGACATTCGCGCCTACGCCAGGAATGTCCTTCAGGACAGGAATCCCAAGGGGCTCCAAAACACGTCGATCCCCAATACCGCTGAGTTCGAGAATATTCGGTGACTTGATAGCCCTGGTGAAGACGCAACATCAGCTGGATCCACATGATCAGGATCCGGACGCCACACACCCCGCAGATAGGATAACCTCTTTCGTCGCATGTACCTGGTAAACGTTACCGCCATGCTCAAATTCCACGCCAGTCGCAGTGAGCTTGTCTCCCTCATGTCGTGTTACAAATTTGTTGACGTATGCCTCTGTAAGCACCTTCAGGTTCGGTCTGTGGATAGCGGGCAGCAAGTATCCCTGCAGAATTCGTTTGAGAATCATAAGACTGGACGTCAAATGCACATCATCTCACGGTTACGGAGGATGCCCTTGTTCCCTTTTCCGGATCAATGCTTGATAGCATCTTGTACGCTCCGCTCGTCTGAGGGCCCACTTCGTAAGCCTACAATCTGATACTATACATATTCAATTGGACCCACAGCACCGCTCAGCTAAAAAATGGCTTATCAGTCATGTTCAAACATCATTCCAACAGTTCACCCTCACAGTATTGGTGACTGTAGCGACACCCAGCTGCTCCACTGCCTGAGTGATTACGAGCATTAGGCCATCATCTTCGTTCACAACCTATGCGCGACATTACCTTCTGGAACGATGCTTCTGCACCAGTGCTCGTCGGCGCATAAGCAAGAGAGATTGGGCCTAGAAGCGATCAGCGTGCTCCGGTGATCCATGAAACAATGACACTCACCGTCTGTGCCGATGGTGTTGTTGACATCTCTGGGCTGAACCAATCTGCCATGTTTATTAGCGTATTGAGCATCAGTGGGCGAGCCTGGATGACCTCTCAGCTTTCTTTATGTATTCATGCAGGCGTTTGAAATTCCAGCCCGGATTCCCCAGCTTCTCCCATGCTGAGATGGGATCAGAACACTGCAGGGCCCTCTGTACTCTTGAACACACCGTCTATATCCGCGGGCTCTGGCTTAGTCCAGCCAAGGAGGTTTATGGCGGAGGAGCCGCCCAGGCCCTTCCCTCTGGAAGACATGCACGTTCGTTATCGGGCGACGATGTCTGGCTCGTGGCACACGCACCGGCTCCACCTAGCTGGCTTATCGTGCGCATGGGGCTGAGGGACAGTGAAAAACTCCCAGTCATAATCCGGCTTCATCATTTGCTGCAGCCAACCGTCGATTTTATCTGAGAACAAGCGAGGCGTAGTTTATTACGACTATCCTGCACCTTCACGCATGAGAAGAGGATACACACCAACCAACGGATCCTCGAAGTGAGCCTTGCCGGCCTCTAGGACGACCACTGTCACCGAGCTGTTCTCGCTCAAGCGGTTTGCTAGAACAAGGCCAGCTGTCTGCAAAGCATGTATCAGTAAATGCGAGGACTGCATATCGGCATAGCGAAGTCTCACCCCGCCACCTGTTTACCAAGTTTAGTTTTAAGATCTATAAACACGCGTACAAGGGGATTGTACTTGCCAATAATGACGAAGTCGAAGGTCTTTCCAGCAACTTCTTGCAGAGGTGCCAGCTTGTCCATGGTGAAGGTAGTGAGCGGTCGAGTCGTGTTGTCACAACCCATCAGCCAGACCCTTTATAAACCCAGGTGAAGAAGCAGAACTAATCAAACCCCGTTCGATCAGTAGACGAGTCGATAACTTTTCCATAACGCTAAGCGAACTACACAACATCTAGAGGAACCAAATGGTCAAACACTCGGGCACGGCGAGATAACCGACCCGTTCTGATATCCCACCGAGATCGCGCTTCTAATTGATCTGAAGAAGTTGCCTCGTAGTGCCTAGTGTATAAACAGGCGCGTCTGCACCAGGTTCTGAGTTCAATATGCGCTCGCAAAGACCACATAGTGCCTCTGAATCTAGAGGTGAGCGCTTGGATACAGTAGTCAGATCAAACGATTCTTGTCCGGGCGTGCCTAGTCTCCCCCATAGGAAGCCTATAATAGAGCGCCCGTTTTGATGGTTGGAGGATGATCACTATAGGCTTCTATAGGGGCGTGTCGTGCTGCGTGTCTCTTCGATTCTTCCCTACCCAGCCCAGTGGAAAGAACACTAGATGTATAGACCTCGGAAGCGAGCGCAGACCAATGGCGGAAGGGCTTTTTTTTAATACAGTTTTATGTCCGCTGGAGGGCGTCGCCCTATGCCGGATAATACATGCGTGTGCAGTACGAAGCGAAGCAAACAGGGATCTTGGGCTATCCGGTAGCATGGAGATTTAGCGCGAGTGAGCTATCGTGCGCGTGCAGGAGCGGAGGTAAGTGGGTCGTCCTGGGCGGAAGAACTAACTGATGGGAGGCACTCCTGCTCGATTTCTGACCAGATGTATATCGTCTGAGCGCTCCGTCCTGGGGCTTAGTGAGCATTTACGACCAGAATGAGATAAGTCTAAATGCAGGCGCGAGAAGCTTGTTGACTTAGCGCTTTCCATGGAACCTGGTGTAGCAACAAGATGTTGAGCAGACAGCGTGACCGCACAATCATACACCATACACGCTCCTTCCACCCTTCCCACGCGCCCCCGAATGACGTTCACGTTACGGGCCCGACGATCGGCGCTGAGATACTCACGCTGCGGGCCGGCAGGACCATTCGGACATTACAGTACTTGCGCACACCGCCACGAACGCTTATCTGCGGCTGTGTTTGCGAGGCGCCTCTTGCTGAATTTCCTGAGCATGCCTTGCAAGGTGGTTTGCGCGTTGCGATTGACGCCTTGCGATATTCAATGGGGACGAGTCCTCCGGAGTCCGCAGCCAACCCGGAGCTTGACAGATCGTGTTAGCAATACTATGTGCGTCATCCGGTCAAGAGTATCCGTACTCACGTATGAATGGGGCAGTGTAGCTACCAGGAGATTTCCTGCAGGAGATTGCGAGGTACGAATTTGCGTATTCGGCGCGTAAGAGATAGCCGTCTTTTTTGACCACAGAAATTTAAAGAACAATGTTGGCCATTTCTGAGACAGCTCCAAACAATATTTCAGTAGCAAGGCCAGTAATTTGAGTGGCCTCTGTTGAACATCAAAATCAGTAGCACGTCGCGACTTGCCTGATTCGGAAAGGAAAGACATCGTCGCGTAAGGGCGCTTACGTAACCGATCCCGACAAAAGCCTCGGCACTGCGCACAGGTAGCGGCAACCGGATTACGGCGCTCATTGCAGCTGGCTGGTGGGCTATATCCCGCCTCTCTCCTTACTACCCCAGCCCTTTCCTCGTTCTGTATTTTTCCCCCGCCTATCTATCCTGCTGCTAGCTCACGACTCTCGGATTTCCTTGCTCACACCGCACCTGACGACCGCGGAAACTGAGCAAACTTTCCGCAGCCACAAGCCAATTCCGCAGTCGTTCGAGCCGCAATGGTCAACTCAACACTCTGTCCCTCGGACAACACAGCTGCCGTCGAGCAAGGCAGCTTCTGGAACAGCAATGGCTTAAACTGGGATACACATCGGATAGGGTGGTTGATCGCGGGGTGCTGTGCCGCAGTGGTGAGTCTCCAATTCTCGTGAGACTGGGCGCCTTCATGTCGGTGGCCAGCTACACACTGTCTGCGTTGGTCCGTGTGTCTAGTGATAATCCTCTGCATGCTTCACAAGGAGTGCCTAGTGTTCGAGTGTCGGCTCCTGATACGGGGTTTGAGCCTAGCCAAAGTTTGGGGCCGGAAAGTATGACTGTCGCTAGGGCGAGTCGCTCAAGCCGCACTTAACGGTTGCACCAGTAGACCCCCTGGCCTGTATGCGGAGGCACACTCGGACCGGTGTATTTCAACATTATAGCGCTCCGATTGTCAACGTCTCTTCCGGGTGCACCACTTGTTGGCGACTAGCTCCACACTGTCCGCGTTGGTCCGTGTGCCCGGTGATGATCCTTTTCATGCTATACTTGGAGTGCCTGGTGCTTGAGTGTCGGCTTCCGATACGGGGTTTGCAATTTGTGAAGCTCCCAAAAGTTTCAGGACCGAGAGAAATCTGATCACCAAAACGTCTCCTGCAAGCGTACTAGTTGGATTACGGGGGGATGCGACGATGGTCAATTGTGGCAGTGTTTTGCATGAGAGTAAGGCTAAGCACGGCTGCTGCGTCTGCATACTGCAGCATTACAGTTTCTCAGAATCATTTTGATGAACTTCGTGGGCATATTTATTGAAACTCACGTCGGTCCATCCACAGACTGTCCTCCTTACCCTTATCAATGTCTTGCAACACGCTCGGTATGCACTTTTGACCATCTCTACCCTTGCTTAGGTTATGACCCCGTTGCAGGAATTATACCAATCGCGCGGAACAGCGGCAAATGTAAGCGTCCCCAGCCCGAACACAATCTAAAGACTTGCTTATCTGGCTCGTTCTAGCCTGCGAATATTGTACATGCCTGCTGTATACGCTGTGATATCATTCTTCTCGTACAGATACTTCCGGAGCTACACATACTACTCGCTCATCGAATCAGGTGCGGCTTCAGCAATGGCGGTGTGGGCAGTATTGACGTGAGCGCATTCTCTAGCGTACGAGGTGTGTAGAAAGTCTGCTGCCTGATTGGTTTCCAGATCCTGAATGTTGTGCAGTCTGTCACTCTTAGCGCCTTCCTGTGAGTGAACCCTGCCGCACTGCAACATGTACTCACTCGTGGTCAATCTGACAAGCCTCCTCCTCATTGAGTTTGTCGCTGCCACGGCGGCGGGCCACAATATCGACAATGCCATCGCACGGAAAGACAAATCGCCGCTTCCTATCCCGGTGAGCATAGCTGGAAAACACTTGCGTGGTGTAGGGCACTTACAGGCTCTTCTTAGTTCTGCTGCTTGAGATATCGACCGACAAAGGTCAGTGGTCTGTAATCCAGCTCTGTGCGTGAATGGATCACGAAACGTATTTAATAGGCGTACTTTATGTACACTCTCAAGGTAAAACTGCTTACCTGTATCCTTCTGCAGTGGCTGATGTCGAAGTCAGTGGTCTGTCCTGCAATACGTCATCATTCGGCCAGGTGTGTTCGATGACCGTGCGGACACGTCGGGTTACTAACCATCAGCAGTATTGTCCGTCGTGGGTATTATATGCCAGGCCAAGGGTATCCTGTGCGAGTCGGGACCCTGGAGTTTCAAGACAGCAAACGCATACATCGAAGTTATTGATGCGGCCAGTATAACGTCAGGATGGCATGCTCCTTAATGAGCGCAGGTTGACTAACTGCTCGACAGAATCGCGTTGTACGGCTTGATATTGTTCTACGGGTTGACGCGGGAAGAGCTCAAGGGCCGGCGTCCGCTCGCCAAGTTCCTATCGATCAAGCTCATTGTCATGTTCACGTTTTACCAAGGGTTGGTCGTAAGTATAAGATAATGTGCGTGCATGATGTGATTTCTCATGCGGCGCGTGTGCCCAGTTCGATGCACTTGAAGGCAGAGTTATTCATGGTAAGCTGCTGTGGTGACAGCCTTCTTACACGCCATCTGTAACGGTTTGGCAGCGACCCAGTACTGGACCGAAACGAATATCGCGGACGGTCTGGACGCTCTTGCTACCTGCATCGAGGTGATTGTTTATTATCTACCACGCGGTCATTGTGTTCACTGTGCATTGCAGATGGTGTTTTTCTCTGCGTTCATGATGTTCTCGTTCTCGACAAGAGACTACAAGGAGCCTGGCGTTAGAACGAGCATTTGGCGCCCGCTGTGGGACAGGTGCGTTGATGTATTAGTACGACCACGATCTCAACGCTGATAATGCTCTTGCTCCAGCATCAACTATTGTGCGTAGCGCAGTTTCTTGTGGGCACCATGTACTGTGTACTGATGTGACGTCGCACCAGCCGACTTCGCGGTCGAGATCGGAGGCTCGCTCAAGTTCTTTGTCGACTTCGCGCTGCACCGACCGCAGACGCGCGGCCCGCGGGTGACGATAGTCGACAACGATGGCAAGCCGCGGCAACGGGCAAACCTAGGCGAGGCGTTCGGCGTTGAATCGCCCGGCGTGCCGTATGGCGCGAGTGAGTCCCCCAGCACGCGTTCGAGGATGAGCTACGACGAGAACATCAGGCTAGCGCCGTACACGTACGCGAGCGCAAATGCGACGCCTGCAATCGGTGTGGACAGTCCGGTGTCAAGCGCGGAGTCGATGGAGCGGTTTGCGACGGCGGGGACGCATCCGGCGATGGGGGAGCGGGGGACGTTGCCGAGATGAGGTGGTGTTGTGTGTGTGTGTTGCCGGCCATTCTTGCTCTAGTATGATGGTCCACTAGGGGAGCCGTTCTCGGTTAGTTACCCTTTGTTTTATGTCACGGACCACCCATCGTTCTTTTTTTGCTTTTTGATTTAGTGTAACAATGTCCTGCTTGGTAATGGTACGTTACCATGTTGCCTGCACATCAAAGCGTTTGTACAGCTATTTGGTCGACGCCTCTTCGACACTGAATTGACCGCCGTTTCTTTCTTGTACTGTTGGCTAGACTGATCGTAACTTTCCCAGAGCTGCACAATACTCTTACTTGCACCCTTGTGCATTCAGCAATTCTCCCGGGATAAGTATGTCAATGCCAGTTAAGGTATATCGTATTCCCGATATAGGCATGAGCTGACAATTTCGGTGACGTCAGTTCTCAACTTCAGCATGACACTGTCAATTCCTCCTGACAGCCAGTATATAAGACCGTACATTCTCCAGAAGCACGGGCTTCTCCCTCTTTCTTCTTCCCCTCTCCCCCAACCTCCCCAAAGTACCCACAAAGAGTTCGTGGGCCCTGTACGTTTATTGGAGTTTGTTTCTCACCTTCATTTGATCATATCCTTGAGTACCAAGTATTTCTTTCCCATATCGAAACATCCTAATTAATTCAACCTCGCACTTCTTAGTCGCCATTTAGAGCTCTTGGCAGTCCCAACGCTGACGCTTCTAATTGGCTAACGGTTGGGTGCTACATCAACCCCTAGTGCATGTCACGTGCATATAGGGGCTAACAACGGCTTCCGTTTCCCCCATCTCATCCAGTGCTCTTGTTCAGCGAGCTTGTCTCGGCCGGCGTTCCCTCATTCCCTCACGTTCCCTTTCCTTTCACGTTCTTTACATCAAGGCCGACTCGACACCATGGCTATCGGCTTCACCAAAATCCGTTATGGTCATGCCGTCGCGGCACAGCACGCTCGCAACAAGAGAGATGGTGAGCCGTGTTGCGTCGTCCATCTACGCAAGGATTCTGACTAGAGAGCAGCCTGCGAGAGCGGCGGTCTGTACAAGACCCCGACCTCGGGACAAGTCATCTCGTCCGACTCTACATTAGAGATCAGCTGGGATACTTCCTGTCTGGACTCTACGGCGGTCGACATCTACCTGTATGCCCCATATACGGCCGACCCCCGCATACACGAATGGCAAAATGTCGACTACAGCTACGGCAGCTACAACACCACACTGGACCCTTCCTGGTGGAACTCGACGTCGGTGGTTTCCCTGCAAATGATGATCGTTGACGCTGGGACACCTACTTTCCTGGCGACCTATTCCGCCGGCCCCCTCTTCAATGCGACGTATAGCAACTCTAACTCTGGCAAGGTCACGACGTCGACGACTGGCTCTGTCACTGATGTGGATAACCTTCCTGGGGCCAACAAGCACGGACTATCGGGGGGCGATGCCGCAGCGGCAGTCATAATGACGCTACTCGCAGTATGCGCAATAGCAGTTGGATTTTACATCAAGCGCAGCCGTGCACGCAGCAAGGGGAAGCGACAACGGTTCAGCGTTGCGGTCGATCAGCGCATGTCGACGATCTCGACGGACTGGAAGTCGGTCACGACGGCGGGTGCCGCGGCGGCGATTCGGAACAGCATGATGGTGTCGGACAGCGAGGCCGGGAAGCGGTCTTCGTCCTTCTCCTTTGGCGCCATCCGGCCATCCAGCACAATTGGTCTCGAGGGCGGTCAGGCGGGGGTTGGCACGATGGGATTGCAGATGAGCGAGAAGATGAGCCTGGATTTGAGTACTCCGCCAGTGCCACAGGCGCGTCCACGCGCTCGTGCATCTACCTTCACTGCCGCAGATCGCGCGTCGCGTGTTTCTCGTGTATCTTTCGCACCAGACGCCAGGCCGGTATCAGAGTACCGGCGCACGCGTGCGTTCCACACTGGTCATCTTCCGCCGATCCCCGACACGAACGTGCGGGAGGCGGGAGAGCTATCGCCCACTCAGGCTGAAGGGCCGATGGATTTGACCGCCGAGGATATCCGACAGCGCATGGCGGGACATGATGGAGCAGGCCGCTCGAGCTTGGATGCGATGATGCCTGCGCTATCTAGTAAGTATAGCCACTTTCTTACGCAGCGATATTGCTAACCATTCACTATACAGTGATGCGCACTGGTGGTGATAGCCCGACTACGGCCAACGAGGACCTATTTGCTGCAGCCAGTCTAAGCAGGTCACCTCCCGTCCTCCCATCCATGCTGCCTACGCCGCCCCTGCCTGTGCTACAGACTACCGAGTCGCCCGTGATGCATACAATGTCCATGACCACTATCCCAGCCACCATGTCGCCTGACGATATGCTTCGTGCCTACGCGGAGCGCACGCTGCGCTCGCCACCGCCAATTACCCCACCTGCCGCCAGCTATAATGGTGGTGGCATGCGCACGCTGTATGCTTCTGTAGCCCCCGATGCGCCCCCGCCCGCAGCGCTTGCACCACCGTCCTCCGGATCTCTATATCCCAGTAGCCCACAACACGGGGATGGCATATATCGCCAAAGCTTCGCACCAACTGAGGACAGCCGGTACGGCGAAGAGAACGTGGAGCATGGCACCGCCGAGTAAACCCCTCACCTCGCCTGTGGTCCGAACACATGAGACAACACTCCTGTGTTCACATTAGCGCCAGGTTCTCCGCGCACTTGTAAGAATGGTCTGTATGGCTGTCTATGTTCATAGTGCCTGATCCCCATCGCCCGTTTATCACTTTCAATCCAACCCGATCTCTTCCTACATCTTCCCCTATCTGTCTCATCCTGGCTGGTCTCGTCCTCCCTGCCTCGTCGCTCCCCGTTTCTCCCCGTTCCTCTGTGATCGTCTTCTTGCCGATTGGCTTTCTTGCGCTACTCTACTGGTAAGGCGCTTTCAATTTACTGTGTCTTCCGGCCCCCTCTCCCTCTTAACGAGGTTTCGCCCGAGGCACGACTGCGTCGTTCCTGATACCCTTTATTTATCCATATTTTTCATGCCCGTGTTCTACGCCATCGTTGACGATCGCACCTCATCCTCCTTTCGTCCCTGCTCTGTGCGTTATTCAGATTGTATGGGACGCACCTGTCACTTGCGTTGTGTGGAACCCTTTTGGTTGATGTGTTTGAATACAGGTGCCTTGTAGTATGAGCATGTGGGTTAATGTCCATTTTTCGCGTAATGTACGTTCCGTTGGTGCAGTACATAGGCTGTGCGTTAGCCTCAACATCAATAATACATTGGCAACGTTAGCCGTCATGCTATGCGGCCGTACAGTGGTAAGGACGATATGTATCATGGTTGTACAGATTTTTGTCGTTCCTCATGGTCTCCGAAAAGGTACTGTAACCGCTCATGTTTGCGACTTGCTTCACGCTGACATGAATGTCAGGTTATGACCTCCTGCGTACGAACACAACGCCGTGACCCTGTGGACGCGGTATGATCGAGCCCGTCGAGCTGCATTCGTCATGGTGGTTGATTGAAGCTCTTCTGCGTGGTTTCCTGAAGGCGCCTATCCAAGACCATATACTGCGAACGATCCCCCACATATCGTGGCTCCTTCGTCTGATTTTGAAGGCCTTCGCACATTGCCCTTACGATCCTCCGCCAATGGAGGCTCTGACTCCGGTGTCACGAGAAGTCGGCAGGAGAATCGATCTATAGCTGGGCTTTCGCCTGGACCAGTGATGGTGCTTGGCAGCTTTTGCGAGATGTCTTCTCATCGAGGTACGTGGTTGATTGGCATCATGCGCATTTACCCCGTGTCCCTATGCGCTGACAAACCCGCTTATCGACGCCACACGCGGTCTTGTATTTTTAATCCATAAGCGCAAGATCCATGCCGTACTACAGTTTTTTACATTGGTTCACATTCTCTCATTTACAAAAACGCGTAGCTAGCCATATTCAATGCTACAGAGTGACTTTCAAAATCCTGAAGAAGTACACGACAAACGAGCCATTAGCGTACAAGGCGATCTAAACCAGCAGGGAGCTGATCATGTATGTTATCAGGGTGGCGTGTTAAGTATTGGCGTCTCAACTCACTGTCCATCCATGTGTAGAGGCGGCCCTTTTGTAGCCTTCAAGTGCCTCGTTCATTCTGTATGGCCTATACGCGAAGCCTATATTATTGGCTGGAGATGTGAGCTGGATAGATGGCGCGACGCACGCATCCCAATTCTGAGCCAATCGAGCGGGCCTTGGATCCAGATTAGAGATTGCTAGCTTGATCTGCAAGAGTATCGCCGATATGCTGGGAGGACTTCATTATGCGAGGTAGAAGGGAGCCAGATCAATCGACTCGCCTGTAACTAGGTAGCCAGCCTGATTATCTCATCAGTAACGCGCTCAAATATAACGTACAGATAAACTGACCGTCTGCCGTCAGGAGGTCCATACACATCGATCCACCTGTTAGATGGTTTACTACATGCTGTCAACCATAATACGTATACGTGTAGCACACCTCCCGTAATATGTCCACCCCCGCCCTGGTAATGTACTCAATTACGGCTACGATAAGTAGGAGCACGGTGTACTCACCTGTATGAACGGCAAGAATCGCGGTTTCAATATGCGAAAGAAAGGCGGCGACAGTGGGAACGACGGCGGAAACCGTATCTCAAAGGCTAGAGAATTAATGCCCCTACAAGCACTATCAGGGAATGCTGCGGTGAGGAAATCATGAAATCGCACTTGGCTTTCATGTCTTGTGCGATAGGTAGATCCTCATCGAACGAATGCAACTCCACAATCCACTGAAAGAGATTGTCGCCAATGAAGTCGGGAGGCATATACCATCCGAGTTCCCTCATACTCTTCGTCTTGTCCTGTTCTCTCAGCATGGCCTTGAGTTCTCTCTGTAGCGCCATAGTCGCCTGTGGCGTTGCTTCACGAGGTGGCGGCAGGAGGTGCTCAACGCACTCATGAAGCCATATCGGATCATGAATCCAGTCAGCGACAACTGGGCTCGGTATGGATTCATTCGCTTGAGATGTCTCGCCTAAAGGACGACCTTCCAAGATCGACGAGTCTTCCTCGTCATAGTCGACATCGACAAACTCCCCGTGACGCTCAGAGAGCAGCTTGTCAACGATGAAAGTGGGGTCAGGGATCATGACTTGCTGGCTGGACAGGGTAACCGGATGTGCCGGATCAAGAGGCACGAGAGGAATCCGAGGAATGTCTAGTGCCGAAAGCCTGCTGGTTTTCTCGGCGCCGTCCACAGAGAGGCCTCTGACTAGGAGATAGCGACTATGGTAGCGGCGTCCGGCCATCAGCAGTCGACGTGCGAAGTTTGTAACGTGTGATAGACATACCACAGAATCCATTCTGTGTCAGCAACGACGAAGAATGGATCGTTGCTCACAAATTTGGAGGGGAGATTGACGATCTGTGCAAGAGCCATACATTGTGAGACACCTATTTCGCTGCTCTTCCACCGCACACCGCTTGCGTGAGCGTATCCACTTAATGAGGTATTCCCCTCCTTTGCAAAGTACACGCCTATTCAGCTGTTAGATCACGACAGGACCGGTGATAATGCAGATTACCGTTGCCATACGCCCTCCCATTGGCGATCGTCTTATACCATAGGCCATGTCGGATGATCTAACAGGAATCAACACGACAAACGTGATGCTCCCATAATCATTCCATACCGAATGCCAATTATGCACGTGTGAGCCGTGAAAAGCCTTGATCATAAATGTTAGGCTTTCAATTCAGTTGTGCAGATCGATGTACTGACATATAGACATGGGTAGCGTCTCGCATTGTGGTTATCCACTTGCGCCGATTCTAGTGCCTTGTGGAATTTCGCTTCGGCATCGGGAGCACCTACACTGAATCGGAACTGCCTCCATTCAGGGTCTGTACTGGCCGTAAATCATACAGACCTAAACATAGGGGGAAAACTGACTTATGTTTTGAAGACGTTCTTCGTCGTTCTTCATTTCCTCGATATGTGCAGTGCACGATGCCACACACCTACATCGTGTGTTTGATGGTCAGCGTGGTGAACAGATAGTGCCGCAACATCATCCGCACCATCGCAGTATGAACCAAGCCGCCTCCGGGATGGAGCGATCGAAGTCCTTCAAACCGGCTCTCATCTTACCTACAGGGATCGGCTTCTCAAGGTGCTTCTTCAGAGTAGCAATCTAGGAATGGCAGTAATTAATCATCAATTTTGTAATCCGATGTATCGAAGGCAACCTACGGGAGGAAGTTCGTCAAGGAGCATTGCAATGGATGTGCACATCTAACAAACGTGGAGATATATCGGTCAATGTCATTAAACAGTAGAGGTTTTAAGAGAAACGCACCTGTTGACGTGTAAGCCGGTCGAACTCACACAACCCATCTAACTCCGCTGGTGATGTCACATCCGGGCTTGGAACGCGGAGCCCCATCCCCACCGGTAGAGGGTCATCCAAAACCTTGGCACTAGCTGCAGAGTATGCTAGCGATGCTAGAAGGTCGACCGTTTCGGGGTTCGTGCGGATCTCGTACTGCTAGTACTGAGAAAATTGATATTGAAGAAAGTAAAAGCATCACGAACCTCGAGCGAAGGGCCCCGGTTATAATGATAGTATCGGTACGTGCAGAGGGGTGAATCACAGACGTAGGGCTTCAGCGCTTCATAGTCAGTCAGGAGTCTATCATGGCAGACAATACAGTAGCGGGGGCAAAGCTGCAAGCTAATGAGATCACATTTTGAAATTGACGAGACACGAACCGTCAGTCGGCGCAACAGGTAAGAGAACGCAAGTAGCGGTAGATTGAGACGATCTCGCGAGTCACGGGATAGGAGGGGGTCCGGGGGTAATTTGTAGGTTAAGGAGAGCTCTCTGTCTCTCTCCTCAGCCTCATGGATCGCCTAGAAATTGCAGTGAGTAACAATGGCCGATACTCATGTGGGCATCATCAACGTACTAGCCGCATGCTCTTGGCAATGTCCTCCGATTTTTGCTGTTTTCGCTCGGCTTCCCAGAGTAGAGCCTCGGCGCCAGCCCAGCCGAGGTCATACTTTAGCCGCAGCTTCAGCACAGGTAGGAAAACGTCATTGAGAAGTGTCTCCAAGGATGTGCTTAGACTGAAGTGCTCAAACTCGGTGCTCCGCGCCGCCTCTGCAGCGTTATCAGTCTCGTCGAGCTTCTCATCAGGATCCTCGTCTACGGATGCCCAAAGGTCTTTCTCCTTCTGGGGTTCCTGGTTCTCTCGCAGGCCGAAGACGCGTGTAGCTTCCACAGCGTCTTCTTTCCGCGGTTTATACCTCGGCGTCATTCCGACTTTGAACTGGGGCGTACTGCCACGCGCAATCGCCTCAGGACTTAGGCTGCCGTCTCCTCGAAGAACGGGATACACGCCTCTCAGGCCGTGTACTAGTAGCGTCAAGTGCTGCGACTGCGCCAGAAGTCGTCGGTCCCAAGCCATCAGGACATGCGCAGGGATGTCATCGGCGAGCCTGATTATCGGGTGAGAAACCGACATAACATGCTCGTCGATGCCAATCGGTACAAAGCCCGGTCTATATCCGTAGGCCACGATCTCAATAAAGTCACTGATACACCAAACATTATTCAACGCTTAACATTCATCAGGGTATAAGGCTAATCACCTTTGGAGGACAGCGTGGTCCAGAGATTTCTGGGAAGTAGCTGCGAGACCAAAGTCGTCGTCGAAATGATCATCGTACTCATCGAAGTCTTCTTCTGCGCTAGCATCAATTTCTTCATCACTTTGTTCGTCTTCACTAAGAGTATTTACCGCAAGCTTGCGGGAAACGGAGGCGAGGGTCTGTCTCAGCATCTTTTCAATTGTTTGCGAGCCTCGCTCAGTGACATCCTTAGCGATGGGCGATATCAGCATAGACGTCGCCACGTCCCGCGATCCTCGTATGTAGCAGAAGAAAGCGTGATCCCCAGGATATTCGGAAGCATCTTGAGCCACCATTCACAGTCAATGCGCCACATTTCACAGACGGACGAACGACTTGGGGACTGACCGGAGATCAAGAAGTTCATGGATGCAATTGACTGTCCACCGCCATCGCTGAAATTGCACACGAATGTACCTTCATCTTCGTCCGCCACGAGATCTGATAAGACATCAACGCCGTTCCGCGACTGACTGACTGACTGACTCTAGGACATACCTTCTACTGTCACTCCATTCATCGTCAAACCCTTCGATACGACATCTTGCATAGATATCAGATCTGCTAGGTACTTTCTACGACCTCTTGGAGTCCCATTCTTGTCGGGGAGTGAGGAAGGGTCAGCCATTCTCCGTGCCAGTGTTTGAGAAGCACAGCAGATGGAATTCAAATGCAGCACAAAATCAGGGCGATGAAGTGGATGGTCAAGGATCAAGCTAGTTTATGTTCGAGGATGGGACGATCTTCAATGTCTGGTACCTTCAGACGTAAGCCGCAGTGCGCGAAGCTGATCCGGCGTCACTTGTCTGCCGAACGTGGTCCTCACGCTACCTTGATAAATGGTTATCTCGCGTTCTTTTATATGGAGTATTGCGTTTTGTCCAACAAATTTACGAGGGTGGCGACGAAGTTGGCGGCGCACAACAAGCAGTGGTAGACGCGGATCACGTGGCTGTAGGTTCGCGCGCCACAGACGTGTCGGGTGGTTCGCGCCTTCAACCATCCTTGCGGTAGACTTAGACAGACAACTAGGTCAAGACGTAACTTGTGACTTGTTCTTTAATATCTCATTCATTGCATATACATTTCCCTGAAGCTCAGGGAAATATCTCGGATGAGTGGCTGATTCAGAATGGAGTTCTAGGCTTCTAGCATCACAAAATTCGAGATCAGGTAGCAAATACAAATGTCATCCGACTTATGCTACAGCTAGAATACTGTTGAGATCCGACACATGGCATAGCAGACCATTGAAATCTCACTGTGCCTGATAAGTATGGTTCCACTAAACTCAGCTCTGGCATTCTCTTTCACTTTGTTACTCCTCGGAATTATGTGAGTCCACCACATCTGTGTTTTCTGAGCTTGTAAATTGTAATTGTTCATATATGCTGTTCAGAACAGCTTACCTATATCCTCTTCAATTGATTCTTCAAATTGACGCATGACCCAAGAGGCAAATTGAATTGAAGAAACCGGAATAGAATTTGTGGTAGTATTACCACTTGAATGTCCCCCACGAAGATTGAGAAATAGTCGGGATATGAGAATGGTGTTTATTCTGCACATGAAGGAATGTTAATGTTGTTTCTTTGATCTCATAATTTAAGCAAACACAAACACGTTGGCAAATTGGCTGATATGTGCAAGCAATATTGTCAAATGAATACCAAGATACAATGCCCATGTTGTAAGCATAAGACTGTTGATATAAATCAATGTTGATATTACTCAAACAACATGTTCAATACCTTGAGTGTATGAAACCTGAAACATTTCATGTGTGTGTAATCATTTATAGACATTTAACACATCACTCACAGTCTTGTCGCAGCAATGCACTAATTGACAAATCTGTGTTTGCATGGGGTACTGTGTTATGGATGCCATATGTAGCATACCATGTTTCCAATAGCATTAGCAAGTCAGAAGCTGCAATGCATACCCAACTGAATGCTATCACTGGAGTGTAAAATTGTTAGAGAAGAAGCTTGCATCAAAGACTCCCTCACATCTATAACCAAATAAGAAATTTAAAATGTGTTGAATACTGTGATTATCATACCCTGGAGACACTGCAACTGAATAATTGTAGCTTATGCTACATCCAAAGGGTTCCACTAAGTATGTTGCAACTATTGCTGCATACTAAATGGAAGTATTATTGTCAAATAGAAGCAAATATGTTATAGCAGTATATACTCACCAAGGAAGTTCCAACAAGGGGTGCATATAGACATACTATAATTATTGGTCTAGTCCACTTATGACCATTGATTGCATATATGCGGATGGCAGCAATCACTACATAAGTGGATTAGAAGAACATAAAACATGTGCTGAATGTTGACCTTACCACCACCAATGATATATAGCAGCATCTCCATAACACTACCAATGATATTGGAGATATAAATACTACAAAGCAAAGCATCAGTTATGTTATGTAATGGTTTATATTTGATAAATAAATGCAAACCTCTAAAACTATGAGTTGTGATGATCAAATGCACAAGTAATCACTTACTTTGCAACTTGCAAAAAGAGAAAAATACAAATTCTGACTAACAGCAAGAAGAGTGATGGTATGCATGCAGATATAGAGCAGGGATGGGCCTGTCCAACGGCACTGTAATATAGTCTTTGATGACTGATTTAGGGTAAGTAGTAGCTCATAGATGTACAGGGCTGTATAGTCATGAAACCAAATAAGCAGAATCAAAAGCCAGGCTGCAAATTGAAACCCTACTAAACAATGATGCATTACAGCATATTGTGACATAGCTTTCAAGATTTTAGTTTAGCTTTGATTCATATTGAACAACACACTCACTCAGCTTCCACTCCTTCTTGATATGTGCTTATTGCATGATTATAGGACATGGTGGGATATGCTAAATACTAGGAGGTTCAGGCTATTATATATTGCAGCAAAGCAGTGCCAATCAGGCAATAACATCAGGACAGGAAAGATGATTTCTTTACCCACAAAAGAGGGGCAAAAAGGAAACCACATGCATATTTGACAGGCAATATGTAACTGATGCTGATGACAACAGCCACAGCATAGCTTTACCATCTGTTGATCATATAATCAAGTCATTGATTTGACAGAGTGTCGACATGATAGGATCAAATATAATGATGACATCAACATTATGTATCTTGAATGGATGATGAATGTCCAATATATGGATTTATTGCAATATGCCATCTTTAAAGAATGAAGACCATGTGCTACAGTACCTAGTGAACTGATCCCCATTGAGCCAGCGTAAGCAGTATCATCTGTAATGGAAATCGGCGAGCTATGAAACAGCACTAGCATGAGGTTCATCAATGAGGCATCATTTTATCTTCCATGGGAACAGATCAGCCTTCGCAGCATGAAGTTCGCAGCACGAAGAGACGAACATTGATCAAAGTGATATCACCTCCGGCACAAGCGACACTACCGACGAAGCGGTGCCTCCTTTTCCTCCGTACCTCAGTACGTGTCACGATCTGAGCAAGACCACGCGAATCGTTATGCCTAGCTCCAAGTGAAGCTGAAAAATCGGGGAACATAGGTGGATGGACATACAACATCTACGTTACAGCCTGATAACATGTCGGCATGGGACAGGCAAGATGTATCAGTGTCAGCGCAGGCCACGGCCCCACGTGTGCATGCGCAATTCATAGACGGGAAGCAGACAAAGAGCCGGTTATTCGCTCACGCGATGATACCCATCGCGAGGCCCATCGCAGGCATTGCCTTCCACTCTGATGTTTCTACCAACACCACACTATCTCAGCCAGAATGAGAAAAAAGGAGTGAGGATTAGACAGGAACCGTTGAGCTATTAGAGAATACGAGGTCAGCACGGACGTTGGACACTGGGAGCACAAGGAGCACGTACGTCGCGAGCGAGCCTAACATGGTGGCGGCCGTATCTTTGTTTGGCTGCGCGGACGTCGGCCAGAAACAGTAGAGTCGATGGGGAGCGGGAAGAGGATAGAGACGCACCGGGATTGCATTCCCAGATTACACCATGCATCGTGTACGGCAAGGCTTGGCGCGCGACTGTGAACGAGACTTGCGGGGAGACGACCATGGAGACAACGCGGCGCGACCAAACCGGTAGCCGAGCCTCTGCCGATTGTACAGTCCAACTTCTCCTCGGTACCTTTTTTGTGGGGGGAGCGACTCCTCGGTACCTTGGTGCATGCACGACCAGATCGATCGGAGTCTTCATGCCACGCATACCAGATTTGGTTCCAGAATAGGCGTGATTCATACCTGTCGTAAACTCCCAATCGCATCATCTGGCCAGATGTGGGCCCAATTGAGCTACAGTCATCGACGTGGCATCTTCGCAGTCAGATGATCAGCTTGAACGTGCAGTGCAGCAGCTACGGCTCATAGCACTGCGGCGCCTCACGTCTACGAACGTGATGCCACAACATAATGATCGCGGCGCCTCCCGTCCACTCCAATACTCACATGCACAATTCAAATAAGCAATAAGTATACAAAGCGCCTTGCCACTCGTCTCAGCTCTCGCACCGTCTGCGCCACGCGGTGGTGTCATGTCTACCAGGTTTTAGCTGTCCTTGACAACATGCGTCTCCGTGAAGATCGCAAGGGCCGGCTGGAGATCGAAGTACGTCGTCAGGGCGGCCCATGTCATCAGCATCGCATCACTAGCAACATGAGCAGACGCACACGACGCACCTTAGACGGCCTGTTCTCCTCATGTGGGCCCCCGCGTCCTCGCTGGTTCAGCTCTACGGTATCTATATCCATACCGTTAGATCCGAAGGCCCGCTTCTTGATGTGTACCCGTGCATTCAGCCTCGTCAGGTCAGGTTAGGTCGCCAGTGCAAAGCAGGACGCAGAACACAGCACTCACGTCGCCAGGAACGAGTTGGCGTATACTGCGGCGTAATGATGGTCCCGTAATAGGCTGTAAGAGAGACGTGTCACGGAGCCAAAAGACGCCCATACGCACGTTTGCTCTGGATTCCCACGAGCCCGACGAACATGATGTTGTTCTTCAGTGCCGGGATCTCGAACTGCAGCACGCTCCCTCCAGGGTCAGCACCACCGCACCGGGAGTTTGTCACGAGGACATCATGAATACGTGAAGCGTACCAGCACGAGAATCATCACGGAGATCAATCTAGACACTCCTGTTTGTCAGTGCGCCCATGTACGAAAGGGAGAGCTCGCACGTCGTCAGTCCACCCGAATGCACGATGTACATGAGCAGCGTATTGATGAGACGGTCCGTGCTGCGAGGCATGTGCGTAAACAACAATCCCCCATAACGGATGCCGAGCACAGTACCTCCTGAACCCCGTGCGGCTCGTCCAGAGATAGTATATCTGTATCAGGGAAATAACCAGGTCGACCATCGCCGCCATCGCAAGACTGCTCAAGAACGTCGCCTGTCCACGACGCGCGCGCATGAGCCACGGCGGGCGTGCTCTGCAGTTTCGGACACACCTTCGACTTGGTGTCTTCCCTGAACCGGTTCCATTGCCCGAGAGTCCATCTGGCAGATGTTCCTGAGTCTCACTCAACAGCAACTGCTCGGAACGGCGAGGACGCACAGTAGGATGGACAACGCTGGATCAACATGCGCGAGCGAGATCAGCGAAGCACGCCCGGACACGTGTATTATCCGTACCCAAAGTGAAGCCTTGTGGGAGCCAGCGATTTAGCATATTGCAATTGCGATGCGACACTTGGTCTTACCTACACGGCATAGCAAAAGAAAAGCCTGCAACGCCATTGGTAAATTAGAGTGCTTGAGCGGTGGTGCTAAGGATAGAACAGCACTCACGGGTATGGCTGTCATGACGAGCGAACCATGGCTCACTGCACATTATATACGTTGACTGATAGACTTCGCATGACTAGAAGGAAGGACATACAAACCCAGATTCGACGTATAAAGAATCTGTTGATGGGGGTTTCAGCTCGCAACAGCGTTAGGATATACCATGCATTACCCTTGCACGATGACAGCAATGACAACCTATCGTGGGCGGGCGAGTGGGGAGTTGGATGCGCTTGACTGGAAAGACAGTAACAGGCTTACCAGTGCTATAACTGCAGCCTACATTTGATCAATTAGCGAAAAGAGCTGGAAGCCATTTGAGCCACTCACGCCTACACTCCTATAGTTTCTGACAGATTTATGTTCCAGAAGTAAATGTGAAGTGAGATACAACTTGCCAGGCAATAGAAGCGATTTCCTCCGCTTGGTTGTGACCCGTAACCAGGTATTGATAGAGAATTTGTACGCAGAACGCGGTATGGATGGTTTCGACAATCCTACCTGCAATAATGTTGTCTGAATGACTGAACGGACGAGCATGCGCACCAGATCACGGCTACAGTCGTGTGAAGCAGTACGCCATCACTCGCATTTGATGTCCAGTACATGCATACTTGCGCTGTCGTAATGCCATACAGCCTGTGTATGTCATTGCGGTGAGATATATGCCATGGACAAGCAAAGGGGACGCACAAGATGGCAATGAATATCGCAATGACGAAGATGCCCAAGACGTCTTCAGCGATTGAAGCCATGTTGGAAGGTCCGGACAGAGAGAAGCGTCCAACGGACGCAGTTGCGCGACTTTATGACTTCGAACGCGCATCTGGCCATCGAAGACCCTGGGTTATCATCTCCATCCGAGACACTGATGACATCGACATTAACCCCACAAGACGCTCGTCCATGGCACCGAATCGAGAGCATGTGATCAGGTTTATTCGAGACTTTGTTCTATGTATTGGTTATCGTCAGTACATCTCCGTATGGTTGGTATTTGTACACGGCGAGCAAGACGGTGTGGACTTCGACCGCTTATATCAGTTCGCATGCCAAGTCGTATCACCAAGAGGGCATTCTTCGAGCCCGGCATCTACAGACCGTTCAGTCGATACGTCAGAATGTGTCCGCAACTATGCATTCACAGCATTCCTGTTGGTGATGTTTCCTATCAAAATTACGATACTCGAGTCTAGACACAACAAGTCATGTGATTTGAGGTTACGTAGTGCCACGATTGTTAGATGCGGCTCTTGATGAAAATGGGAGGCGCTAGAACATCGTGGTCGTCTGCACGTTCGATGGCCGATGGAGTGAGCAAGCTGTAAAGTGATGGGGTGACGTCGCAAGGACTTCAAGAGTGTACAATAACACGCTGCGGAGATAGCCCCGGGTCAGAGATATCAGAGATAGATGCAATGTGCGATGACAGACGAGACGCACTCCAAAGCGCCAGTGACATGGCAGATATCTTGCCGTAAGAGCGGGATGAGACCGGCATCTTCACTATTATAGCACTTGACAGAGCAACTGCTGGAGTTTTGACGGATAAGACGGGTCTGAGACGAACCGCAGGCGTTGGTGCTGCCTCCTGACTGTCCATCGTAAGTATTGAGACAATCCATGACGGTCTGTCTGCGCCTTGCAGCCGCGCGAGAACCAGCTCTCCGCTCTCCACAACTAATAGAAAATCCTTACTGGCACCTATCACTTGTCGGCCGTTTGTATTGCTTTGTATTTCCAGCGTCAGAACCAGATATTCACTTGCCCTGGACGTTACAGCAAGCCTCTACCCATGACTTGTGCGACGCAAGAGATGGGATCCTCAGATGGTCTTCCTATGTCTTCTTTAGCATATTTTGGTGTATGGTTAAAGATCGCAGAGAAAAGAAGAGCAGAGATTGCTGCTAAAGCAGCTGAGGCCCTGTACTTCACGTCGTGATTTTGTTTGAGGATAGCACGGCGGTCGAACGCATTTGACGCATTTCAAGCAGACCATTGCATCTCAGAAAATGAATGAATGAATGAACGAGGTGCCCTAAAGCAGCGTGAAAGAAACAAGCGTTGCAAATGATGAGAATGCTTGAGGCGATGCAAAGAGTGTTGACTCTGGACGGAAGCCGGACTCGTATGCGATCACGTGTGTGAAACACATCGCGACGCGTCGCGTCGTCGGTACTCGGAACACGACTGCAAGAACCACCATAACCCCACGCAGAGAGTTTGCATCCCAATCGCGTCATATTTCACGAAAAATAGGGTACACAATTCCAGAATAATCATCTCTGCCTAATCGAACCACGCTTAATACGACTCCCAATCGCGGGCAGCCATGGAAGAGTGTGGGATCTCGTACACAAAGCGCTGCTCAAGGTCTAAGCCGCGTGCCACTAGCTTGTCGAGGTCAGGGACGACAGGGTAGGCGGAGCGCCGCCTCGGACGGTATAGTTGGTCATTATGCCGTTCAACGCTGTGAGCCAGATTTGGATTCCTCCCGGCTGATCTCCGCCGCAGGCTCGATCTGTCAGTGGTTGCCTAGACCCGCGCTAGGAGGGATTTGCGATCTCCGTCAACTGCGAGTACGCTGAGATACCGCAGGTTCCTGTGCAATATAGAAACTCAGATTAGTCCATTATATCCGCGAAGCGCATAACGTCGCGTACCGGGCTTTTGTTTCCTGTTCTCAGGTTTGAGATCCAGCGGACGAGTCTTGTCAAATTGGGAACCGTCTGCGTTGCCGCCACGGTAAAGTGTCGTACTAGAGACTATAGTAATCACTGTACTTTCTTACCAACACGTTTCGAAGGGTGAAGGCACTCCAGTTTCGGATGTTCGCTGAGTCGCTCCTCATCAAAAGCGATCGGAGTCCCAATGCGCTCAAGCACGATGGGCGGTTTCATCCCCTGTATATCGTGATCACATCAGTGTTGATCGTGTTAGAGAACATCGCAAGGTACAAACATCCTCGCCTACGGCCGAAACATGTGTGGCTATGCAGATTACCCTGCCGTGCTCGCATACGATGATGTGCGTAGGTTCTGTGCCATGGACAGAGATTTGGAAGGGCAGCAACCAGTACATAGAAACCTGTTTGTCTGCAGCTTGCATACTATATCAAGTGAAATGCATATTTAGGCCTTCGTTAAGCTGCGTGGGGCGGCAAACTACCGAACATCGCTCGAAAGCACTTCGCAACCCAGCAGGGTACGTGAGGCGATTGTCCTCGAAAAGAATAGCTCTAGTATAGCTCAGACAGACAGGCAGCGAACCACCTCGCCACCAAGATCGCACATAACGAAAGTGCCCAGCTCCGAGTGCCACCGAAATTACGCGTGCGGCGGTATCAGACAAAGCCTGAATGATCGGAATCTATTGTGCCCGCATCAGTGCTACGCACCATAAATCATAACACGAGCTAGAACCACTGAACGTGGTCGAGTGATGCAACTGGACTTACACTATGACGTTCATCCACGTAGAGTGTGAATAAATGAATTGAATGTCTTTTGTCACTTAATTTACGACTTACCAACTGTAGAGGTGTGGAATGTCGGCCACTGCGCCCGATACTCAATGACCAATATTCCACAGCTCTGTAGTTGGGCTAGAGTGTGTAACATGGTCACATACATTTTCATTATCGCAATGAGGGTAGATTGCAACGGTATTGACAGGCGCCGAAACACGTCCTTTGCCAAAACAGAGCACAACAACATCGACGGGCGAACATTGGCACGATGTCTTGCCAGCCATTGATTGCTGCAAGCCGCCTTTTTGATGAGTGGTGTGAGCCCCGACCTGATTTATACATCTCTATTGGACTGGGATGGATTCTACAACTCGCGTACTCACTAAGGCACTTGAAGTGACGACGAGTCACCACGGTCAATGAATTCCAACGCCATGATGCCTGGGCCAGGCCGCCAGGGCATAACCGATCCTATCACGAAATCCCTGATTCCTTGCATCAACAACGTATCTCTTGGCAACACAGCAGCTGCGGACGCCATTCAAACGCATAGCCTCAATCCACAGGTTTGACCTGATCTCCCATCATAACGACGTGACGATCACGAGCGCCGGAGTACATATATGCGACCCGGTCCTGTGTCAAGAACATCAAGCTCTCTGCTATCGAGACAAACATTGTGAGTTCATGAATGTTGTGACGTATACCTCCAGTCCTCATGTTCGCTTTCGTCCCCTTCTCAAAGGACCGTGAGCTCATCAGTACGTTCGTAGACCTGACGTCGGCAGGCATCGATGCTGATTTAGTTCTAGTCTCCTTTTGTACGACGTCCGACATTCCCACTAGCCCATCCCTGCCTGAGTCGATCTCTTCGCAGCGTGTCATTGCTATTTTGGTGCGCATCAGATCTCGATTAGGACTTCGGGGAAATCTAACTATGTAGCTCGCAGGGCCCACCGCTGTCATTCAAATCCTTGCATCCCGCAGCTCGGAGTCCATCGAAGGATCACTTCCTGCTATACAACTCGGCACGCCTACACAATGTCATCTAGCGCCTCCCAACCTTCCGCAGCTCCCACTGAGTGGACTAACCCCTCCAAGCCCATCCGCTTCGTCTGCAGCGCGCTGGTGGAGGTCACTCGCACACGACTTCCCGTCCCGGGCTTCACCGACGACGACTACGCATACCTTCCCCAGCTCGCGACGCGCCTCAACGGGGGCGAGCTGTCTCTGAGCGACGTCAGCTGGCAGCTGGGCATCCAGGTGACGCGCGAGCGGCAGGTGGCGAGTGCGGCCATCCATGCGTTCACGGAGGCGGAGTGGGCACGGGTCAAGGATGGAGATGACGAAGACGCACAGGCGGACGTCGGGAATGATAACGCGTTGCTGCGTACGTGCCTGAACCTGGACGACCCGCAGAATCCGTTGAAATTGAAGTCGGAGGCTTGACCCAAGGCACTAAGCTGCGCTATTGTATCTGTACTGCTAGTAATGCTATCTACGTCAGAATCGGATGCATGTGGAATCTATCTGGACTGTTGCGCTGACAGCAAGCGGCACCTGCAACAGTTGTGTGGTTCTCACCGAGACATTCGATATTGCGTATCTGAGAGCCGATGTGGTCGGACAGCCATGCCATGGTGGATGCATTTCGAGGCGTCCCTCGAAGTCCTCAGCGTCTATCACCCCGAAGCAAGCACGCTAGTTGTAAGCCGCGAGTCTTTACATAGAAATAAGATCACGCACGCTGTATTCGCCTGGCCATCATTTAGGGCTCGGAGTCCACCCCGCATTAACAGCTTCGTTCGAAAGATCCTTCAGATATATTACATACTAGAATGGCCCCTTGCTTATAGCTATCATTTGGTGGTGCTGGACAGCGACTGGCTTGTTTATTCGGTATTGATGTTGTCATAGCTGCAGCGTTCTTAATAACTGATCGTTACAAACGTTGCGACTCGGCCATCTTCGTCATCTACGTCCATGAATATGTTTTTGACTGCTTAGCCCTCCTAGGACTAGACGGCGAAGGGTCCGATGCAGACTTGATTGACGTAGAATATAGGCTTCGCCACTCGTTGAGGACACGTTTGGACTATTCGTACGAAGTCAGTCCATCATAACACGGCACCATTCGAACTCCGAAGCCTTAGTGTAGGCCGTATAATGGCATAGATGTCAAATACACGACTACACAGGACTCTATCGTACAGTATAGGTAATAGCGCTCCTACGAACGCCTTTTCGTTTTGCTGAAGATCTCTCGCTTCGTGAGGATAGTATATATTGGGTACAATTCAGTACACTTCGTCTATGAGCAGTACAACCTTCCCAACACCGATTCCTTGCGCGTCTTTTGGCAATTTTTAGAGGACCTTCTCGATCATGTAGAGTCCCTCCTGCTCAAGACGTTCGCGGATAGGGTCACAGATCTCCTTTGTATATGGTGCGTGGACACCGGGCTTGCTGAACACGCCGTCGAGCACCAACTGAACGGCGACACCGCAGGGCACACCGACGTACAGCGCCATCGCGGAGTGGCCAGAGGGGTCGCCGTAGGCCTCCAATGTTGAAGTGATCGTATCCTACAAGACGACACAGTCAGCGAGAGATGTATCAGCCATTCTCACGGGACGCACCTGCTTGCCGTCCGCCCACTCAACGATGAATTTGTGCTGCAGCATCACGAGGTCGCGCTCGCCCTCCTCGTACTTCATGAGCGTCTCCAGTTGAGCGCAAAGCGTGTCCAGAAGGTTGCCGTCGCGGGGCTTGACCTTCTCTGTCGAGAACAGGCCAATCCACTTCAGACCTGAGATGATGCGGTGGGCCTCAGATTCGTCGGGGAACGAGCAGAGCTCATTGACGCGCGCAATGAGGGCACTGTATCGCCCTTATTCAAAACCTTGTACTGATGAGATCGCGAATCTGTACACACCTCTCGCTGGCACCGCTCGCGCCGATCGTCTTTTGCATGACCTCTGCCCATGTGAGGCCCTCGGTCAGCCACTCCTTCTTCTCCTGGTCCATCCAGCCGAGCTCGACGAGCGCTTTCACAAACTCTGGGAAGCCCTGGTAGCGCAGCGTCCCGCGGACGACCGTCTCCGCCTCCGGGATGCGGTAAAACTCGCGGAAGGGAACAGAGTTCCGGTTGGGGTACGCGACGAAGGCATACGCGGGCGAGATGAAGTACGACTTGGCGTGGCCCATGAGATCCTTGCCGTTGATGTCGACCTGTTGCCCGTTCGCGACGTACGAGGCGGAGTTGAGCAGGGCGAGGAGCGCCCCGCGTGCCGACCATGAGAACTTGTAGCCGAGCGGGTTGCCGCAGCACTCGGGCGCAGGGAGACCACCACAGTAGGACAGGAATTGCTTGATCTGGATAAAGACATTGAGTATCATCTTCGAGACAACTGCATTCAAGGCGGCATACCTTTCCACCCTTCGCGTGGACCTCATCGATAGTCTTGACGGCGTAGAGGTGGTCGACGCCGGGATCAAGTCCAATCTCGTTCATCACGACGATTCCCGCCTCCTTTGCAGCCTCGTCGAGCTCACGCATCGCAGGGCTCACATAGCTCGTCGTCACGACGTGCGTCTTGCCCTTGATTGCGGCCTTGATGACGGCGGCATGGTGTACGTACGGGATGAGCGAAATCACGAGGTCGTGCTCTGCGACTGCCTTCTCGAGCTCCAGCGTTGAGCTCGCGTCAAGGGCAATTGCGGCCGTGCGGGGAAGGTCAGCAGAAAGGCCCTGCGCCGTAGCCAGCGTTCTGCATGCTGGGAGGATATTAGCAATGGCACAGGTCATGATGATGAGTGGCACTGCTTACCAATCGTGAGCGAGTTCGAGGGGTCGCGGACAACGTACTCCGCTGCAGGACGAGCAACGAGACCGCTGCCGAGGAGCAAAACCTTCTTCAGAGGCTTACCCTCTGTGACGGCCTTGCCGAGCTTCGGCAGAACGTCCTTGCCGTCCTCGACCAGCGCACGGCCAAACTCGGGCAGGACGAACGCGGCCTTGTGCACCTCCGCATTGTAGTAGCGCGTCGGCGTCACCGCGCGCAGCGGCGCCTTGACGTCACGTCCTGGCTCCTTGGAACATACGACGAAGCCGATCTGGCCGGACGGGTACGTCGGGATCGTCGTGTAGGCGTACTCGGCAAGGGGGAAGAGCCCACGCGTCATCGTACGGAGCTCGTTGATGAGCGGGAGGTGCAGCCAGAGGCACTCGGCCTGCGTCGAGATGTGCCCGCCGGGCGTGAGCGCGCCATGGAGGAGCTCAAAGTACGGCTTTTGGAAGAGGGACGCGGCAGGACCAACAGGGTCGGACGAGTCGGTGATGATGACGTCGTAGGTGGACGTGTTGTCCGAGAGGAATTTGAAGCCATCGCCGACGTAGACGGTCACACGCGGATCGGAGAGCAGGGAGGACATATGTGGCAGGTATTGCTTTGAAACGCGAATGACGGCCTGTTGAAGGTATGTAAGCCCAACTGAGTCGGCGCAAATAATGATCGAGCCAATCGAGCCATAGGAGTGTACCATGCTCCGGAAGAGGAACTGTCAATAGGAATGTGCATCGCGTTTGTTTCCAAAAGCTGATGACTTAGCGGTCTGTGACATGTACTAGTCGAGTAGCATAAGCCCATGTTGTATGATGCACTACGCTGAGAGTCCTTTTAGGAGCCTATGCCAGCTGTAGCCGACCCGAAGCGATCACCCATTAAAGCAATCAAAGTGGACAACGACATGACAATTCAGAGCTTCTCCAACTGCTTGTTATGATCGTGGGTTTCTCCACAAAATCATGCGTCAGGCAAGAACCGAACCCAACAGTTGAAGCGACTGGAGTTACTGAGCGTGCCAGAAATACTCCCCGCGCTTTCACGTCGCATTGTGCGCCGTTGCACAATTTTGTCATGACTTTAATGGTCAAAGTAGGCTCAGAATTGTCATGTAACTGGCAACACCGTTACTTCACTCGAGCCCGCAAGGGCAAGGGCAGGTGTTCAATTTTGGGCGACAAATGCGGATGGCAATCGAACATGGCCAGTCGAACGAGGAAAATGATTTAATAACAGGATAAGTGTAGCCCTCATTTTGCTCCGAGTGCCATGGACCAAGTCGATGGTGATTTGTCAGAACCAATAAATGAGAAGAATTTTGAATTGCACATGCTCGAAATGGAAAAGGAGGAAACAAAATTGGGGTGAGAAGCTTAGTAACACGAACCTCGTCAATGTCGCAAAGAACGACGTTTTCCACGATATCGTGCTTGAGCACCTCCCGGACGACACCACCATCACCGCCACCAATGACGAGCACCTTCTTGGGATTAGGGTGGCTCGCGAGAGGTAGATGAGCGATCATCTCCTGGTACCTGCAAGCCGATCGATTTAAACGTTTTGTTAAGATCGAGAGCTGAAGGGGCGTACGAGAACTCATCACGCTCAGTGCACTGAATTACACCGTCGAGGACGAGCACATTTCCGTAGGTCTCGGACTCGAAGACGAGGACGTCCTGGTATAGAGACTTTTCGACGTGCAGGACTTTCTTGACCTTCAAGGTCATCGCCTGGCCCGGCCACTGCGACGAGATCTCACGGAACCAGCCATCTACAACAATTAGATATGGCTGATCTATTTTGTGCTTGGCTTACCCTTAATCGAGCGGTGGGTTAGGGGAGCCATGGCGGTAGAGGGAAGAGAGATTGCAATCGACTTTGATTTTCGAAATTTTGGAATTGACTCATTGGTAGTAGATAAGATAAGGCTGCTATAGATTAGATTGACGCCCAATTAAGGCAAACCGAGGACAATAACGACGATGTAAAATAAGAACTGAAATATACCGTCTCCTCGATACCTGCTTCTTACACTTTTGCTCTGCAACTTTGTACATCGCAAACGTTTGAGGCAAACATTTCACCAGTCTGGTGATGACGTCCTCAGAAGTTAAACAAACTTACGCGCGCAGCCAACGACCGACGCCCGTGGATGGCTATCCAACATCGACGTCTACATTACAAACAGCAACTGAGAATATCCTACTGAAGCAACTACTTGATTCATCAAGAATACCCGGCGATGCTAGCCCGCCCAGCACCACCGGGCCTGTGCTTCAGAGGAATCAACACCTACAATTCCTTCTGCGGAATCTACTCCAAGGCTTTCCGCAGAGATATGTATCGCAGGATGCCAGCCAACCATGGCTATTGTTTTGGACGCTGCAGGGGTTCAGTGTGCTAGGAGTAGGACTCGATGATAAAATAAAGAAGAGGTGAGCTTTGAACCATCGCGTTCTCGTCTGGGCGTGTATAGGTTACTTTCAGGGCGCGAGAGACCCTTCTCGCTCTTCAACATCCAGACGGCGGTTTTGCGGGTGGTCCCGGCCAATTTTCCCATCTCTTGCCTACATATGCGGCAGTCTGTTCACTCGCAATCGTCGGACAACCAGGGCAGTCTGGCGCGTGGGATGCCATAGACCGGTGAGTAAATATCCGTGCGTCGCAAGTATCTGATATTCCATTCCATATACCTTATACTCGCGAAGGAGGAAAATGTATGACTTTTTTATGTCGCTCAAGCAGCCAGATGGGTCCTTCCTCGTTTCCCATGACGCTGAAGTCGATGTACGGTTCGTACCGTAATCCCTTCGTTGCCGTCCCGCCTTATGAAATGGCGTGCTGTACTGCAGCGGCATTTACTGCCTACTCGCAGTTGCGACCCTTCTGAACATATTGACGCCAGAGCTTCTTGCTGGACTACCCGAGTTCATTGTAAGCTGTCAGACATATGAGGGCGGCTTTGGCAATGCGTCTTTCCCGGAATGGGACTTCCAGGAGGGTCTGTCACCATCTCTGCCACTGCTGTGCATCTTGTTTACAACCACATCAGAAAACGATGAAGTCACACGTGTACCGTCTGCACCGCGCCCTGTGCTCGGCGAGGCACATGGCGGCTACACCTTCTGCGCCTTCGCGTCCTGGGTGCTCCTCCAGCCGTACATCCGCTCCTACTACACTCCGGCCGGGTCTGCCAATACCAACCCCACGATCGACTATCGTGCGCTCCTCCGTTGGCTCGCGAACATGCAGGGCACCGCCATCGAGCTCGGCGGCTTCAAGGGGCGTACGAACAAGCTTGTCGATGGGTGCTATAGCTGGTGGGTTGGTGGCTGCTTCGGCCTCGTCGAGGGCCTGCTCGGCATCCATGCTGCCCCTCCTGCTTCCACCGGGGTCAACGAAAATAGTGCATCTACGACAGCGGATACCTCCGCAGGAGGCGCGAGCGACGACGGGTGGCATGATGCTGATGGTGCGTGCCCCGCCGAGGACCAGCGCCCTGCCATGTCATTCACTACGCTGATGTCCTTCTATTATGTACAACCCGCTCCTGCTGTGTCGACGGATGTTTCGCGCTCTGTTCGACCGCCTCGCTATCACCGCCGGCCTCTACCCGACCTTCTGCACGCGCCTACCAGACGCCCTGTTGAATCGCCGGGCGCTTCAGGAGTACATCCTATACGCTGGACAACATCCTGCCGGCGGATTGCGCGATAAGCCACCTAAGTAAGTTCTATCGCCACTTTCAGTCCGTTCGTACGCGTTTCGCGGGTTGTGGACGTGACGTAGTCCGATGCGGAGACGCTGATGCATTGTGGACGCTCGCAGACCGGCGGACTCGTACCATACACTGTATTGTCTCGCGGGACTGTCGGCCGCGCAGCACCGCGTGACACCCGATGAGACGCGGCGCGCTCAGCTGCTAGAACGGTGGAACGCAGGCGAAGCGCGGCAGTGGGATGGTGGGTAATATTGTCAACTACGAATGCACGGCCGTAGTTCATGGCTTTTCCCCATACATAGTGTCGGGATTACAAAATCTGATCACGGACCAGCAAGCACGTGCGGATGCCTTGCGGAAAGACGTATTCGCCAGTACACTAAGTTGGCTCGAAGACGAGGGCGCGGACGAGTACATTGGTGGAAGTGGAAACCGCGTGGTATGTTCTGCCCATTACAGACCGTCAGAGAGCCCCAGTACTCGCTAGATGGAGCCTACCGCCCGTCGTTACATGAATTACGGTGACATGCACAGCTGACATACAGACTCTTACAGAATGCAACGCAGCCCCTGTTCAATCTGACCGTTACTCACACGGAGCTCATGATGGCACATTTCTATGGACAGAAGTTGCCTCCGCGACAGGCAAAGACACCGCCAAAGTCGAAGTAGTCACAAAGTCTAGAACGTCGGAGACATCAGGCGCGAGTTTTGAATTGGCGGGTGAACTAACGGCATGGAGTTGTCAACAAAGTGTATCGATAGTGGGATGATGAAACATTGTGCATTGTAATCATATCTTGCTTCCTGACATCTTGGGGGCTGAATTGCTACTCCCGCTGCACGGGTTGTATCAGGCAAGATGATATGTCAGCTGTGCTACGCGCCACCTGACTGAGAGTTATCGCTGCCCGTACCGAGCTCGCCGTTCTGCCATGGGCAATCCAATAGCCCTCGGCGTAAGCATGCGCTGTCGCACCACTTCGTTTGCCAACGGTGTATCTGTCCCATCTCTCCGCTCCCTTCGCCATCCGTGTTATTGTTGTCTAAAAGGGGAGAAGACCCGCTCTGTTTCAGCCGCAGACACACTCGATATAGCCTCGGGCTTCCCGCCCGCAGGCTCCCAAGGCCTTCAAAGTAGGCACCCATCGGGGACTCTCATTGGCAGGTAGAGTCAGCGGCTGAAACGAAATCTTGATTATCGGCTGCTGTCAAGTGGCGGCTAACAGTGGCGGTTATTGACCGGCCGGCTATCACAAAACACTCCCGGATATTAGAATAAACCGAGTACCGGCGACTGCTATCGATTGCTTCCCGGTTTGATCGCTTCTAACGCCTGGCGACAGAATTAGTGCGTGTGCCAGTTTTGCTACCAGTACGTATAATTTGCACGTCGGTCCGAGTTGACGGGGTGTTTGAATGAGTTTGTGCTATTACCAGCGGGAAGTCTGGATCTTCACATCCAACACAAGACGCTTTGGGCAAACATTGTCGCCTAGATTTCCGACTATAGTATGTAACAGACGGGACATAGCGCAAACAGAGATGTACGACAAAGTACGAAGCGATGCTGGCTGTTCACAATCATCAGTGGCCGCCGGTAAAGATGGAGTTCATCTCCCTACGACGTCGACGCGACATTTGCCGACGTCCTCTGGACACGTATGGCCAGCAACTCCTTCTGCAGCTCTCGATACCTCCCCGCTTCCTCAGATTTCTCAAGTGCCAACCTGTCCACCTCACGCTGCATCTCGGCTCTGAGCGAGCGCTCCTGCATACGGGCCCTGATCACGACGGGCAGCATCTCGACGACCCTGGTCCACAGCACCCAGTACTCGCACATTCGCGGCCGACGCTCGTCGAGTATCCCCGCGCAGTCCAAGGCAGTCCCGTACGCATCCGGCCAGCGCACGCCGGCCACAAGCTTGCAGTCGAGCGGACAGAGCTTGCTGAGGAAGAGCGTTACGGAGTCGATATCGTTGATATTGGACGCGCCGACCATCAGCTCTCTGAGCGCCACGAAAGGCAGGGCCGGAACGTCGGATGGCGCGCTGTCTGCGTCCATGTATAGGCCAAGTGTGTGTAGCCGCGGGCAATGTCGCGCGAACGGCAGCAGTGCGGCAAGCGTCGCCAAGGGCGGGTTGAATTCGATGATGGGCTCGCAGTTCAGCAGGAAGTGCTCGAGCCGCGGCCACGCCACGGCGAATTCTTCCATGTCCCCGTCGGTGAGGTTGAGCGCGTAGTCCCAACGGAACTCGAAAGTTGTGATGCGTCGGCAGTCGAAGAGTGGGCGGAAGGTCGCGATGTTCGGCCGCTCGGATAAAGGCCAGCCAGGGACGGAGAGCGGGACGTGTGGGTGGATCATAAAGTCGACACGGAGGTCCGTGATCATGGGACAACTGTCGCGAATCGTCGCGAATAATTGCTGCAGGACATCGGCGTGGGCTATCGACAGAACGTGGATATACAGACGCGATAGCTGCGAGGGGAAGAATGGGCTGCTTATCAAGCGCGTTGCGTGCGGGATGTCGGCGCTGAAACATATCCGCTGAGTAGCAGGGAAGGCGCCTTCCTTGAGAAGCGGCTGGAATCCCAAGACGTCTGCGCGATTTCCTTTGCCGCGCTCTCCAGGAGGCAGTAGAGATACGTCTTTGAGGTATCCCAGCCGGGATAACGCCTCTACAACCTTAGTGGAAAGCCCGTACGGTGAAATGGAGAAGAATTGTAATTTACGGAGACTGAGGAGGAAGGGGACCACATCGTCCTCTATGAGGTGGATCGGGGTGCTCAACCGCAGCGTCAAGCGCGTCAGGTGCGGGGTCAGAATGGAGACCTGGTCAAAGAATGACGAGGGCGCTGAGGAGACGTGGTGTAGCTGCATCTCCAATTCCGTTATCCAAGGGTGCAAAAAATGGAGCACGTGTAACTGCCGCTCTTCGCTGTCGGCATTCCAAGTGAGCGACCGTAGATTAGGAAAGATAAACGATGTAGGAGAGGTCCTGAAGATTTCGCGGAATATACTGTCGTCCAGTATCATGCGCCATGACTTTGCGGTCCTCTGGTCGTAGACTATGCGCCGTACGCGGAAGGAATAATGTTGAAACCGCGTCCAATCGTTGGCAGTGAGCGGTCTCTTGAATTTCTACGTCGCGGGACCACGAAGACGTGCAGAATTTCAGCTGCGATTGCAGACGATCAATTGTGGAGCTTACGTATGTGGAAATAGTACCGCCGTACTTGGTCGTCAACTTGCTTGGTTTGGCGTAGGGACACAGAAGGGCCAGAAGGCGGGGTAGATCGTCGACGTCGCGCCACAGTGCGTCGAGGGCAACATGGGACCAGCTTCTACACACGCGGGCAGCGCGGGCGAGGGACTGCTGGTCGAGAAAGGATATAATCAGGAGGAGTAGCTCGCTGATATTCCACGGGGCAAGGCTACTCATGGCGCGGGGGAGCAGATGGTTACTTGGCTACTAAGTGACCGGTCTATATACCGGGATGTCAAAGCGCACATGGCCCTAAATGGCCGTGTCGAGCCCCGGCTGAGAGCTTGATCCGCCGGCCAAACCGGTAATCTCGGCAGCAGTTCGTCACATATCTTCCGACCTCGGTACCGCATCACCCCTCGGTGGTCTTCGCAGATCAATGCGGACACGTTTGATCGCCTGCCGCCCTTGCCCGGAAAAATACTGGGCCATTGCCCTGAAGGGGTCGGGGAAGGGGGCGTTTCGCGCTCCAGAAGCAAATGCACTGCCTGATGTTCACTTGACCGCAGCAGCGCTAACATTACCATATTCGGCGGACCGGTGGGCATGAGACAACATCATATTCCACACCTCGACATCACCTTATGGTGTTTCTGGGCACTGGTGGAATGAGATCCAGGCGACAGCGGCTATGACACGCCCGGCAGCGGTTGGCTATGGTTCGGTGGCATAAAACTCTGTCCAGATTGGTCGCGATAATCACGACATACGAATCAACTAGGGGATGTACATCTGCACGCGTCTCTTATATAAACAAGCCGGGGACTCGGGCAAGCCACCCGAGTCATGAAGTTTAGGCCGGCAGGAAACTAAGAGCCGCCTCTGCTAGCGTACTTGTCGCGAGCGAGGCACGAGCTCAATGCTCGGCGTAGATAGTGCACATGGAGTATCACAGGGCTGACATGTGGAAGACTAATATTCACGATCACGACATGACACTCGAAAAATCAGCCGTGAAAAAGTGTGTAAAGAGGCATGGCTTCCTTGAGCCTATTCGAAATCTCTTACATGCGCTTAGCAAGGAATGCCTCATCTTTGTGGTGCAGGCGGCCGACATGGTTTGACGGGCGCGCTGAGGGTTCTAACGCCAATTGTCACGTTGCCAGAGAGGAAAGTAGCAGAAGACCCGGGGCGTACAAGAGACGCAACCGGTCCGATGTACACGATCTAGAACGGTGTCCAGAGTAAATCAGACGGATATCTAAATTGGATTCCCTGTAAGGTTTAAGTTGAGCGACCGTAGCTCGATTCAGGCGCTGAGACCGACCTCGGTCGCTGTACATCGCCAGACTGCGACGACCCTTCACCTTACCCCAGTCAGACTGCATCTTGTCCACGATTATTCATGTTCGCACATATATTGCCAACCGAGTCAAATACAGAGTTCGTGTGTGAAAATAAGTCAAGACGGTCCTCCTTCGCGGTGGTCTAGATTGGAGCAAAGATAGAGGCACTCACGCACACAATAACCCTCTTACAGCACGACACACCATCCGTGCTCCCCTGCGTGGTACGCGGGAACCGTGGTAGCATGTTCCTCGAGCTCCACGCACCTCGCGCGCAGCTCCCCCACCTCCCGCTCCAGCGCTGCGTACCGCGCACGCTCCTCCATACGCAGGCGGGTGAGCAACGGCAGGACGCGCGCGACCTCGGCCCAGCGCTCATACCACTCCGCCGCATCGTGCTGGAAGGCATCGAGCGCTGCGGACTCGGGCACGCCGAACCCCTCTGGCCAGCTCACCCCGGGGACGAGCTCGCACGTGGGCGGGCAGAGGGTGCTCAGGAAGAGCGCGGCGGGCCCAGGCTCTGCGATGCGCGAGAGGCCGACGCAGAGCTTGCGGAGGTTCTGGAACGGCGGCGGCGAGAACGGGGACGCGCCGAGGGACGGGACGGCGATGTCGGCGGTAGAGGAGGAGAGGAGGAGGCCGAGCTCCCGGAGCGCGGGGCAATGCCGTGCGAAGGGGAGGAGCGCGTGCAGCGTTAGCTCGGAAGGCGCCAGGTCGCCGAGGGGGACGGGGTCGCAGTTGAGCATGAGGACCTCGAGCGTTGGCCAGCTGGCAGCGAGGTCTTCGATATCGGTATGGGTCATCTTGAGCGGGAGGTCCCATCGGAGTTCGAAGGTTGTCAAATGAGGACACTTGAGGACGGGCCGCAAGTCACTCCACGTGAGCTGGTCGCCAGTTTGGAAAGTCGCCCAATCTAGGGATTCCGGGGCGATGTAGAGTTCAACGTACAAGCTCTTGAGCAGTTTGCAGTTGTCGGCAACGGCTTGCAGGAAGTCGGCGACGACGGGCGGTGAGCAGACGGAGAGCACGTGGACATACAATGCAGTCAGACGCGCAGGAGCATAGCTGTTGCGCAGGAATGCAGTCACATCGGCAAGGCGAGCGCTCACAGAAAGGTCCCAGAGAGCAGGGAAAGCACCTTCTTGAATGGCAGGCGCGAAGTCCTGGACGTCCGCCACGTCTCCTCTCCCTTGACCCATGAACTCAAACTGGATCACGCCCAGTTCCGGAAGGGTGGATAGACCTTCCACTAGTTTAGGGGAAACACAATAGGTAGGAAGCACGACCTTCTGCAGTTTCCGAAGGTGTCCAATGAGGGTGACCAAATTTTGTTCGATATCGCGCACGGGAAAGTCGAAAGACAGATCGAGGTGCGTGACGTAGGGCATGCGCTGGGCGAAGTCCTTGAAGAAGTCGGCCACGGGGTGGGTATCCGGACTGTACAGCCGCGCGGTGAACTCCCTCACAGTGTCGCTCATGCAGACGAGAGAGAGCCGCACACGCTCACTCCGCCACTCGAGAGTACGAAGATTTGGTAGGATGCTGAGGGTGGTGCGCGAACGCGCAATCTCGTCAAAGGCTTTTGACGATAGCTGTGGCGTTGTGGGCGGACCATCTTCGCGATAAGACAGCTTGCGAACCCGACGGCCATACGGGGCGAAGCGCGCCCAGTCGTCGGCGTTGAGTGTCCTGCTGAATGACTATGCGGATGTTTAAGTCCATAGGACTCGGCTGAGCGCTAGGTGCAACTTACATGGTATTCCAGAGATTGTGTGAGCTCTGTAGGAGTGAGGGGTGCCAAAATACTGAACAGTCGGTATAGATCGTCGACGTCACGCCACAGATGGTCGAGCGCAATTTCCGACCACTGCTTGCAGACACACGCACTCGCCGCATGCTCCTTTTGGTCAAGAAAGCTGAGGATGAGTTCCACGATCTCTGGGATCTCGAGCACCCGTTGCACGGTGGAGACATAGCCCAGTGGCATATTGAGGGCTCCACAATGAGGTTGCGAAGCGAAAAGCAATGTGCTGGGCAAACTTGCTGGAGCGAATTTTTTCAAGCCTTCAAATGGGATATCTGACATCAACACCTGGTCCGAGGAGTTACAGAGGAAACTTGGAGTACCTCCTAGATATGTGGGTCTAGCAAGCGTGAAGTCGACAAGTCAATAACTCCTGGGGTTTAAAGTTTCTACAGCTGCTATGTTTCTATTAGAATTGGTTTTGATTGTTACGAAGAGACTTGCCATTCACTATGTCCGTGGTAATCGAACTGCCGAACTGAGCGCTGAGCAGCGGAAGTTGTGCGCTGTAAAAGGCAAACGTGCCACGTGGTTCACATCAGTAACGCGCCAATACTTTCGAGCCTTGGTTGTGACGACCTATCATATCCTCAACGCGCATTATTGACTTCATGAAAGCGCAATAAGACAGCACTCGTTCCGCTCAAGAATTTGTGCGAAAGTCATAAAATCCGTAGATACAAATACCCTGTTGTTGGTGAGCTCTTTCTTCTAGGAAACGCGATAATTAACCTGTTTATACCAACCCTAGGATTGTCATCATGCCAAGTGCCCATACATTGACAAGTATCTCGCCACACGCGCCTCCATGGCTGAGAAGGACAATCATTAGAGATCGTCCGTTTTCCATTTTTCCTGTTCATTGTTCCAGCTCTCACATTACCAGCGTCACAGCATCAATACCACCAGATTATGCGTACGAACCCCCGAAAGACAACCCCCCCAGCTATCAAGAAGCTGTGTTTTTCTCCCATTCTTGGTTCGCGGATCCTACGCATACGGTGGATCCCACGCGCCCCTCGCCACGTCTTCCTCCGGAGCTCACTGATCGCGTACTGGATTTTCTCCACGACGACACGCGGACTCTCAATGCCTGTAGCACCGTATCTAAAAGCTGGCTGGCCAGCACTCGCCTCCACCGCTTCCGCATGGTCCACCTTGCTGACTGCCGCCGCCACATAGCTTTTGGGCGGTTGCTTGCCCAGTTTCCCGCCGTGCTTCCTTTCATACGAGCCGTGCGTACGTCTGGAGATGTCATCTGCTCGACTGATAGTCACGCCGGCTTGCTCCCGTCCACAATGGTTCTTTACGCTGACAACTTCGCCATGCTTCGTGACGCGCTACCCCGACTACCCCAGCCCATCGACCTCTCGATGGTATCTGCTAACCTGCAGCACGCAAATGCGTTCACCAACGTCCGTGCGCTCACTCTGGAAGCGTGTCACTTGCCTGCGTTCACGCGTCTCGCGGAGTGGTTGTGCGTGATGCCTGGACTCGAGAGCGTACACCTTTCCGAGTGTGATATCCGCGCTGAGATCGGCCCGCCTCCGCTCGCACCCGTCGAATGTGTCCCCGTCCTGCGGAAAGTTGCTCTGGATAGGAGCGAGTTCTCCTCTTCCGCAGTGGTCGAGGCGTTGCTAAAGAGAGGCATTCGCCTGGAAGCGCTGATGATACTCCCAATCACCGGCTTCGAGCTGGGCAAGTGGCAACGGCTGCTCGAGGCAGCTGGGCCATCCCTCAAGCAGATCGCGGTCTCTGTGCTGGCCAGCCTCGATGGCAAGCTATTGGGTGCGTGTCCGGACGCTGTCTGTGCGCATTCCCCACTGATTGCGGATGCTCCAGAAATATACCAGACGCTACTCGCCTCCTGCAAGGAGCTGCACACGCTGCATTTCATCTCGCCTGCGCTGCTTAACTTCACGTACCGGGGCTCAAAACCCCCGCTCGAGCTCGCGCCTGCTATATTGCAGCACGCGCTTCCGCGCCTAGAGCGCATCGTCATCTCCCTTGCGCATCAGGACCTGGACAACGTCCGCGCGGAACACTGGCGAGGCATCGCCGGCGCGCTCCGGTCTGTGCGGTACCCATCCTTCTGTGAGGTTGTGTTCCAGACGTACGGCCGGCCGGGTGGCGACGATAGCGTGCACCGTGCGTTCCGGGGGAAAATTGAGCAGGAGCTGGCGGGCATCGCCGCACTTGGTGCCTTGTCGTTCAAGTTCTCGGACAAGGTTACGGTTTCTGGGATTTTTGAGTCAATGTGATTTGGGTCTTCGGGACATTGTTTGCTGCTTGGGAGTTCGTCGTACTTTGCTTGTGTCCTTGCTCTGCTCCGCTGTCGCTCGCAATTGCTCATCACTCTTATACCCGGCCAATGCCTCATTTAAGTAGCTATCGAATTTGCATGTCCCTAGAATGCGATCAGAGAAGAATAGTTGATACAGCTATACTGGATACAAGCTCGCCAATATTGCTATACGGATACAGTGAATCTTTGTCTTCGTATCAAACTTCCTGCTCATAAACGTCCCAGTCGGCATAATCATCACCCTTTTCGCTCCCCTCCTCGACATCATCCTCCCCGATGGCATCCTCGTCGCCCTCTTGTTCCGCCTCCAACGCGCCTGGTGGGCTTGGCCCAGGGCCCTTGCTCGTTGAGCGCGAACGCGCCGGGGCCATCCCGACGCCGCCGCCGCCCTCTTCGACAACCACCATGCCCTCCGCGTCGCTCTTGTCCTCCATGTAGTACAGCTCGTCGTCCTTGTCGTCTGCCGCAGGCGTCATCGACAACTTGACGGCCGCACCGTCATCGGTGAACAAATCCTTCAGCGCATCGTAATTGATCCGCTTGCTGTACCTCGGGTTCTTCTTGATCAGATTGCGCACAGACTCTGCCGCGGTGCTCCCGTGCGGTGTAGACGCATCCCGCGGTTTGTTGTTCGTTTTCCGGCGCTGGGGCAGCACAGCGTCAATAAGCGTCAGCGCGGGCGGCAAATTGGCGAAAAGTGTTTGCCACCAGGCGGAGACGAACCTTGCGCCCCTTCTTCTCCTTTTCTTCGTTTTGCTGCTGCTGCTCGGTCTTCGCTGTAGTGGTACCATTGAGCAATTGCATGCATATGGGTTCCACAGGCGGAGTGCCCACTAAATTCAGTGCGCGAGATCCTCACCTGCAAGTGCCTCAAGGTAATCCTTGTTCAGCTCAACCCAGACTCGCTCCTTGATCCTGACTTCGTCGTCCGTCAGAATGAACTGGTCCAGCTCCTCCTCGTTGAGTCCGAGCAGCTCGTCGTCGCCCGTGAACTGAGCCATGCGCCGCCGCTCCGCCTCCTCGAGAGCAGCAGCGAGCTCCGTGCCCTGCGCATTCGCGAGTATATCGGAGACCTCCTCGGCTACTGCGGCATTCACCACTTCCTCGAGTGGTGATGATGGACGAGGCGCGAGTGATAGCGTCTTGTCTGGAGGTGCATCCTCAGGCTGGACGGCCGTCGACGGCGACGGGTCGAACTGCGGCTGCAGCAGAGTGGGGTCGATATTGGAGTTCGTGTCCTCGCCGTCATCGGGCAAGAACAGCGGCTGTTGCGATATCCCCGCAAGGATGCCTTGCTGAAAGAAAGTGGGGTCCATCGGCGGGAGCGACAGGGGCTGAGGCTCGTGCTGCCCCCCGTACTGGGCGTCTTCATCCATCGCAAGCTGTTCTTCGTCGTCCTCGGTGTCCTCATCGTGCCTGCGCTTCCTCTTGCGCTTCCGCGTGCCCTTGCCCTTCGCCTTTTCCTGCGCCGTCCCGCCGCCTTCCCGCTCCTCCCGCTCGCGCTCCTCCCTTTCGCGCCCCTTGGTGTACGCCGGCGGGTCCATCTCCTCCTCGAGCCACACGTTGCGGAAGTCCGCGAGCGTCAGCGCGCCGCTCGGCGTGCGCTTGAACTCGTCGAGGCGCTTCTTGAGCGTCGTGTCCGCGATCTTGACCACCTGCACGATCTCCGCGACGCTGCGCCGGAAGTTGTTCATGCGCGCGGCCAGCAGCAGGCACGCGCCGCAGATGCCCGCGGGCCGCCGCCCGCGCGTCATCCAGTCGCGGTCGAAGCGCTGCACGAGCCGCACCGCGTCCATCGCGACCTGGTGCGTCTCGTCGCCGAACTCGAGCAGCGCCGCGAAGCGCGAGATGTAGTGCGACGGGTCGACGAGGGGGAGCCGGAGATGGAGGGTCTGGACGAGCTGCAGATACGTGTGTCCGAGCTCGAATACGTTCACCTGCGCAGAGGTCAGCCGGGCTCGGGCGGGTGACCAGGGGATGCAAAGCTCGTACCTGAAGCAGATCTGAGAAATCGATCAGCATGTAGTTCCTCGTCTCCTTCTGTCGGCAAGCGACATACAGGCACACGGCGACGACGTTTAAACTTTTGCGTCCCTTGGTGAACTTGTGTTCGACGGCTAGAGTGTAGAGCCGGACCGCTGCCAAAGACACAACGTCAGATAAGCGGAGCGCGTTAGCTACCTGTTGTATTTTGCGGGTCGCTACGAGAACGCGGTATAGCATGAGGGCGTGTGCGCGCAGACGATGCAAATGAACGCACCGTTGGCTATTGTCTGCTCTCGGCTCTCACTATTTCCCCTGTTCCCAAACGGACCTCCCATTCGGGCACGCGCTGTAGAAAATGTTACGTGTTACGAAAGCACTTCCTGGACGAAGTTGTGTAGTGTAGCTTACTGGCACCCTGTCCAACAAAGCTACCTTGCACCATGGCAGCACCAGTGCTCGTCTCGCCAAATGCCACCTGGATCATGCAGGGTGTTACCAGGATCGAAGCATAAGACTATAGATGTTACGCACCTCGCTCACGATGGTGTTTTCCTCCACCACAGTACCACATTGCACGCAGAAACCGTTTCCGGCCGCGGCATCGTATTCGATGACAGTTCCTCCGCAATCAGTACATACTGTCTGGAGCAAGATATTAGTTGTCCTTATCCATGGCCGCTGTATGAGTCTGGCAACAACTTACCATCGCTCTGAAAACTCTCTCGCGCTAAGCCTCCTTCCAGAGGATAAGTTAACAATCTGCTTTCCGAATCAGCTGCAATTTCTGATATCTTTTCATTGTGCTTACAACAAGTCTTAGGGCCTGTTCGGCGACGAAGTTTGCGCTTAGCTTTCCTGGACACGGGCGGCTCGCGGGTGGGAAAATGAGGGCGCTTAGTCAGCGTGTCCCGGGACACGCACGTGAGTTCGCGCGTTAGGCGCTCGCGCGCGCGTGCCGCCCCGTGCCGTGCGCCCCGCGACGCTGGCCCCCGGACACGGCAGCGGCGGAAGCAAACCGTCGCGCACGTCGTTTCCGGCGTGCCGGCGCATTTCGGGCAGCGCGCGTGATCTCGCGCCGTACAACACCAGGGGTGGCACACGCTGGTTCTCACGCTTTTTCTCCTTGATGTCCGTGTGCTCCCTTGCGCCCATACCCATGTCCGCGCCGTTTGCCCCGTCCGTCATCGACCTCACCTCGGCCAAACACGTCCAATTGTGGCATTGGATTGATGCCATCAATCAGAACATGGGCAGGAAGTTGATCACACTCTCAGGGAAGGTTGATGAGCTGCGGGAGCACGTGGCCCAGCACTATGGCCTCAATCTTGCCCAGGCAATCGAGCCCGCATCGCCTGCCTCCAGCCTGCGCCCCATCAATGAGGAGATCCAGCACCGGCAGTGGGTGCATCTCTGTGATCTCACTGACGAGTGGTGAGAGAAGGCTGCACGGGGCATGCTGTTTGTATTGGATGAGGATGCGGCCCAATTAGGTGCACCCGCTGCACCAGTATTTGATGTCCCATCAATCTGACTTCCTGGCTTTTGCACAGCGTATTCCCCTGCACGCTTGGCTGCAGCTCCCTTGCTGGTGAGCCCTGGCCTTTCGACTCCCACAGCTGCAGCTTCCTTGGCAAGCCTGCCCTTGATGCCATCATGCCAGGCCAAAATGACATTCAATACCGTTAGGTCATGGGTTGAAGCTGCTGTCATGACTTGAGGTCAAGCGACAGGGAAAGAACAATCCAAAAGGCTGGGGGCATTCAACTGGGTCTCACTGAAGCGATGGTGAGCAACACTCAAACCTAAGGCTAGGGACAAAAAATGTATTAGTTAGTGAAGGTAAGTAAAGGATACAAAGGGAGCTTACTGACCTAGGGACAAGAGGTCTGAGGTCCCTAGGGCAGCAGAGGCCGGCTTATATACAGGGAAGGTTCAGGGCAGGCTGTGCATGTTGGTCTGTGCACAACTGGTCTGTGCGCAGCATGCTGACACAGCCCCAGGGGCCAATGAGTCAGTATGGCTATGTAAGTGGAGCCCGAGCTATGCCGTGCACTGCCACCCCATCTAATCTAATTGTACAGTAGATAAGGACTTGTCCATTTGAGCATATAGTACAGAGGTCGTGGGTTCAAGCCTGCAGAAAGGAAACAATTAAAAATGACTAGATGCTGTGTCAACTTGTGACATTACACCCCCCTCAACGGCGCATAACCTCATGCGAGGCGCCCTTGCCTATCTCCCACCTGGAGCGGCAGCATGCTTCAGTCAGCAGTGAAGGCATTGGCTGGAATTTGAGACCCCCAAAGGTAGTAGCATTGAGGCGGTGAGGGGCATTCGGGTTCTTTTGGTGGAAGTTGGCTATGAGGGCCGGCGCATTTGCAATATTGCGTGCTGGTTCCCATGACATATGCAAGTCATCATAGCCCTTCCACTTGACAAGGTACTGTAGTTGACACCAGAAGATCCTCAAATCCTTGATTTGCTCAACCTCGTACTCCTCATCGCCCTCAACCTCAATGGCAGGCGGCTTCTCCAGCTCCTGGCCTGGGATGTTACTACACGTGTACTTGCTAAGCAAGGAGACATGGAACACCAGGTGCACCGGCACCGACTTCGGCAGAACCAATTCGTAATCTAAGTCTCTGAGCTTTCGCCACACAGCATATGGCCCGAGACACTTGGGACTGAGCTTCTTGCTTGGCTGTTTCAGCTTAAGGTTCCGGGCATCAAGCCAGACCTTGTCCCCCAGTGCAAAGACTGGTGCCTCCTGCACATACCTATCATAGTACATTTTCATCCACTCAGCTGACAGTTCAAGCGTGGAGCACGCATCATCCCGAATCTCCTTCAGGATCTTAAGCCGATTGGTGGCTGCGGGCATCATGGACATCAGATTGATCCGCTGATACGACCTACGAAACCCTAACCCCTAACCTGGGTGCGACCTAGAGGGACTAGAGAGATGGATTATAGTCTAGTGAGAGGGGAGTTAGCAGCAAGGTGTCCCGCGGTTCGAGTGAATACGAGAAACGCCCTTGGAAAAGGCTACGAACGATGGGGAAGGTACGAGGTGGCTTCAACACGTCGTCGAAGCTACTCGGAGGCTGTGGGTGGTTAGCGGAGACGATCGAAGCTCGACAGAGCTCTTCGATGTATCGTAGAGAGAAGAGACACGATTCGATGGGGGGGGGGGACTTAGCTTAGTACGCGGTTCGAGGTGCAACGTAGTTCTTCGACAATAGCCGAAGTCGAAAGGTTCGTCGAGACGGTATCGACGAGTAAACGCAGTGGACGAGGTTTCTAGGTTACGCAGCGAGGGACGAAGTGACGCAGTTGAGGCTTAGACGCGGGGCGAACTCGAGGGGGGAACGAATCTTGTATTTTTAGAGAGAAGTACGACAGATTTTATACTACACAGGACGCTACGACTATCGAAAGTGGCACCCTGGTACAAGGGGCTTTGCATTGTTCCTCAAGAAGCTGCCTCACCGAGGGGCACATACCAAGTCCATCGGTAGAGTGACGTCATGCCGAACGCGGAGATGAAGAGCAACATATGGCCACTTCGGACCGGTAGCCGTCGTGAAGGCATGCCGCGAGGTTCGATACCTAATCGGGAAAGACCGGCTACTTCGGTGTGGCTTGGAGCGAAGCGCGCGCTTGGCCGAGCGGCGTCAAGTGGCCCTATTGTTCGCCGAATGCGGAAGATGTCCCGGGATCTACGCGCGAGGCATCGGGACGACCGTGCCGAGCTTCGAGTAAGCGTCGCGCACTGTCGAAGGTGTCGAAGAGCGTCGAAGGCGAAATCGAACTGTTGGGAGACTGAGTCGAAGTGCCGGGCGGGATGCGAGTGCCGAAAAGAGGTGTATCGGGGCCCAGAGGGGCTTGGCGCCTATCACCGCACTTGGATCTCAGGATGGTATCCCTGATGTAAGAAGAAAGGGGAATGCCCAGTTGCCAAGTGAACTCTATTGTTTAATGCAAATTCGGCAAGCAGCAACTGTCTCGCCCAATCATCCTGCCTGTGGCTTGTGAAAGCACACAGGTACTGCTCGATCTCCTGATTCCAGCGCTCGGTCTGGCTGTCTGTTTGAGGGTGGAATGCTATGGACAGCACCGGCTCAATCCTCAGTCCCTTGTACACTGCATGAAGGTACTTTGACGTGAACTGGGGACCTTGGTCTGATATGACCTTAGCTGGGGCCCCATGATGCTTGAACATGTCACAGATGTACAAGTCTGCCACACCTTCTGCCATTAGGGTCTCATGACAGGCTGGGAAGTGGACCTGCTTGGTAAAGCAGTCGGTGATGACTAGGATCAAGTCAAATCCATCAGACTTTGGCAAACCAACAATCATATTGGTGGTGATGATCTGCCATAGGCACTTGGGGATCTCATTCGGCTTTAGCAAACCCTGGGGTTTGGCTGGGAATGTCTTGGTATGGTTGCACACGTTGCAGATACTTACGTACTCATTGACAAACCTGGACATTCCCGGCCACCAGTAATTCCATGAGATCAGCTCCAGGGTTTTGGCACAACCACCATGACTGGCAATTGGTGAATTGTGGTGGATCTTGACAATATCCTGCTGGAGCTCTGCATTCTTTGGAACATAGACCATCCCTTGGAACAGCAAAAGCCCTTGTTAGGCATTCCACTCCTCAAAGCCCTTTTGCAGCTGAGGCGGCCCAAGGTTCTGCACTTTTTCAAGTGCCTTGGCCACCTCCTGATCCTTCTCTGAACATTCCCTGATGCACTTTAGAAGCACCTGATTGGCTGTCACCAAGGCATGTCCATGTCACATGGAGGCGATGTGGAGTCTTTCCGGTCTGAGGACAATCTGATCAGTGTTGTCATCCTCATTGCTGACCTGATGGTCTGGTTGACGCAATAGGGCATCAGCCTTTCCATTTGACGTTCCGGCCTTATGCGTGATGCAGAAATCGAAGTGAGCCAGGAACAGTGACCATTGCGCTTGACAATGCGCTTGGTGCTGTGACATGCACCAGTATTCAAGGTTTTTATGATCGGTTACGATCTCGAACTGGTTGGGTAATCCCTCGAGATAGTGATGCCAATTGACCAGTGCTTCAATGATCGCAAGCATCTCCTTGTCGTAGATCTCATAGTTATGCTGGGTAGGGTCCATAGTGTGAGATCTGAAGGCGACTGGATGCCATTTGCCATCGTCCTGCTTCTGTATCAACACACCACCAGTGGCATACCCCGAGGCATCAACCTCAATACGTGTTTCCCAATTGGGGTCATACAGCACTAAGACTAGGGTCATGGTGAAGAGCCATTTGAGCTCATCAAAGGCATGCTGTTCCTCTTCACCCCAATGCCATGGATCGTTCCCTGTGAGCTGGTTGAGTGGTCGCAAGATCTTAGCAAAGTCCTTAATGAAGCGGCAGTAAAAGTTGGAGAACCCCCAGAACTTCTGGACATCTTTTTTGTTCCGGGGTACCGGTCACTCATTAATTTCTTTTAGCTTCGCAGGATCCATCACCACCTCATTGCCACCGAACACATAGCTGACATAGTCGACCTTGGGAACATCCCATTCGCACTTTTCAGGCTTCAGGAACAGATCGTTATCCTGAAGGCGACGCAGGACCTCGTGCGTGACTTTCTCATGCTCTGTTTTCTTAGTGGAGAAGATGAGTATGTCATCCAGGTACACGAGGACCTTTCCGCCAATGATGAGATCATGGAAGATCTCATTCATTATGGTCTGGAATGTCATGGGGGAATTAGTGAGACCGAAGAACATCACCAGGGGTTTGTACAGTCCCCAGTTAGTTATGAAGGCAGCCTTCCATTTGTCACCAGCTTTGATCTGAACGTTGTTGTATCCCCACCTAATGTCAAACTTCGTAAAGAGCGTAGCACCGTGGAGTTTATCCACCATTTCAGCAATTAGTGGCAGCAGATAGCGATGCTTGACAGTGATCGCATTGAGCCAGCGGTAGTATTGTACAGGTCGAAGTGTCCCTTCCTTCTTTTTGATGAAGAAAAAGGGGGACGAAATGGGCGACTTCGACTACTGTATGTAACCTTTCACCAGCTGTTCCTTTAGGAACTTATCCAGCTCCTCCTGCTCATTGTTAGACAAGGGATACACCTTCGAGTGGAAGGTTGAGTAGCCAGGCATGAGTTTAATCGCATGGTTATATGGCTTCCTTTCAGGTAGCCGTTCTGATGCTTCCTTGGAGAAGACATTCAGGAACTCATGGTATTGCTTAGGCACTCCTCAGCAGTCTTAACAACCTTCTTCTTGATTTCTTCCTCAGTAAACAGCTGGGAATACATATGTCCCGCTGTGACAAACAACTGAGGGGCGTCTGGAAGCATGATATTTTGCTTCCAGGCTTCGATCAAGTCAGCCTCCATTCACTTGATCTCCTCTGGATCATCTTTGGGTTCAAAGTCCGGGAGTACCTTACTTCGGCACGTGCCTATGACCGACCATTTGGACTTTGGCGAACACCTGCATGCCGTGGGCCTGACCCCCATATTACGCACAGTTGCTGCTTGTTCCATTCGGCCAGTCTTCCTGGCACTGCATGTTTCAGGGCATTGCGACAGCTTGAATGAGTGTCACGAGTTGACATGGCGCCTAGCTGTTCTTTAATTTTTCCTTTTCGTGGGCTCGAACCCGCGACCTCTGTACTATATGCTCTGCGCTCGAACAGACAAGCCTCACCGGCACATCACGTTGCCATGTAGATAGATTAGATTAGATAGGACGGCAGTGCATGGCACAGCTCGGGCTCCGCTGACACAGCCATGATGACTCACCAGCCCCCGGGGCTGCATCAGCATGCTGTGCATGGACCAGCTGCGCATGGACCAGTGCGCACAGCCTGCCCTTATCTTTCTTGTATATAAGCCGGCCTTTGCTGCCCTAGGGACCTCAGTTTCGACCTCTTGTCCCTAGGTCAGTAAGCCCTCCCTTGTATTTCTTTCTTACCTCACTAACTAATACATTTACTTGTCCCTAGCCTTAGGTTTGAGCACTGCTCACCATCGCTTCGGTGAGATCCAGTCGAACGCCCCCAGCGTCCTTGTTTGGTTTTCCCCTGTCGCTTGACCTCAAGTCACGACAATGAGCCTGTCTCCCAATTGATTTTGGGGTTGTGCTTGCGTAGCCAATCCAACCTGACAATCACATCCTCTGGACCTATGTCCATGACCATGAACACTGTCTTCTCAATGTGATCTCCTATTTGCATCTGTAGCACAGCTACTTCTGAGATGTTTCCATCTTTGTTGAGTGTTTCATCAATATTGTAAAGCGGGATTGGTTTCTTCAATTTCAGCATTTGTACTCGATTCTCCATGATGAAGCACTTGTTGATAAACTTTGTGGTGGCCCCGCTGTCCAACATTGCAACTATGTCTTTGTGCTGTCTTTCTCCTTTAAGGCGCACCGGGACCCATGGTCCAACTCGTACACATTCACAGTTGCCAATACATTGTACAAATTGTTATTACGAGGTCCAACGTGTGCGGCATGAAGCATGGACCGGATCAAAAACCCTCCTCCTTCATCGCCCAATAGTGCTTGAGCTCCTTGCGCATCAACTTCATCTGTGCCATCAAGTCCGCCAGCTCAGATTGCTTAGATTTCGCTGAAGCAGCACTTGTACCTGCCAAGGATGAAGCGATGGGGGTGCTTGTCGCAGCTGGGTGGAACCTGAGGAAACCGTAGCCCGCACGTCAGCACATTTTGTGTAAGGCTTGTCCTTACAGTCGGGGCACTCAAAACAACGGTACCCTTTCTTCCCGCAGCAACTGCTGGGGAAGTCTCCTTTGCTGATGGCCACATTGATGCTGGCCAAGGTGCCTTGCGATCGGGGTGCACTATCACGTGCTCCACCACATGCTCCTCCCTGAGGTGAGAAGAAACTATTCAACTTGAACTGACGGGCCCAGCTGATGTTGATGTTTTGCTTGACTTCTGTGGTGCGCTTGTTAGCAGCTTCCCACATGGTGAATGTCTTGAGCTCGATCTTCCGGTAGACTCGGGACAGGATACCGCTTAGGTACTTGTCACGGAGTTCCAGGTCGCCATACCCAGAACAGTCTGCCGGACCCCTGAATAGTGTGGAGAATTCTGCAGCAGTGCGTCTCTCACACATGGACTTGTCACTGCAGAGTTTGGTGAGCTCAACCTGTGCCGCTGCGGCATCGTCAAGATTGCCAAAATGGCTCTTGAACACCATGAGGAAATCCTTGATGTTGGCGAAGGGCATTACAGCCCCTTGTACTCCGACTTGAACAGCCATGAGCTGGGAAAAGATCAGGGTGGCCCAGGTGTATGCGTCACCATTGAGCAGACTGAGCATCACCTGAATTTAGAGCTCGACTGTGGACAGGGCAGTGTTGACCTGCCAGTAGATCAACAACTGCGAGATGAACTGGTTGCACTTGATAACAGTTTTCCCATCATATCGCAAGGGGAGGAGGAGTTTTAACACCTCCTTGTCAGGAGGGGATGCTGGGGAGGACATTACTGGCGACAAGGGGGACAGAGGACTGCCTGCGGGCGAAGGCGGCTGTTGTGGCTGGTTGCTGAGCGGACTTCAAGGGGAGCAAGTGCGTGAGTGGTCTTGCGGCAGTGATGACAGTGGAGGTGCTGGAGGAAGCCTGGCGGGGGATGACGTATATCAGGGACTGCAAACATGGAGGGGACCGGAGTTGGCAATACATGAAACATTTGTCTTTCCGCTCTATTCCTTGTACTACTAGCACCCATACTGGCGCCTGTCTTAGCGCTCACCCGCAGGTTGAACATTATGTAGCTTACATAATGGGGTCCGTGCGCACTTTGTTCCTGGTATCGTACCACTACGTTTCTTTCTTCACTAACACGACCACATAGACACGATGGTCTGTGCGCAGTCGGTACTTGTATAAGTAGTTGTACCATTAGTCGGTCGAACTCTAAGTTCGACCTGGTTATTCATTCAAGTCTCTGCTCCTCCTCGCTTGGGGTAGTGGTCACTCTCGACTTCCTCGCTCGATCTTCAGGACGACGTACTGTCCATAAGCCCTCGCTCGTCGTCTACGAGTCAGGCATCAATATAGGAGTATAGACCGTTGTATCAAAAGGTCGAACTTTCTAAGCTATGTTCCTAGTTTTACCTAGTCGAACATCTCATCCACCATCACGTCGAACAACGCAGTCAACCCAGTTCCTTTGGGACTACCAGCCCTCGCAGGATCACCGCTCCTCCAGTACGACCGAGCAGATCGCTGCTTTGTCACCTCCACAAAAAGAGCTCCCATCTACCCTCGAGGCGGTACCTGGTGTCGTGCAACCGGTCCAAACCCGCAGGTCGTCGCCCATCAAGAACTCGTTAGCTACTACCAGAGACACCCACCCGCTCACCCAGAAGACGTATTCACCACCCTACGAATCGACGTCGAACCTACTCAAACAGCAGAAAGCGTGCAGTCACCCATCAACGAACAACCACTCGAACTCCCTGAAGTTCAGTACGTTCCCATCAAAATCCCAGACATCGAACTACCACCAGCCCCACCCGCACCAACCAATGCACCGGTTGAAGTCCCTATGGCAACATTCACTCAAGCAGACATCGATCAGCGCATCGCTGTCGCCCTCGCAGCATACCAATCCCAGCAGTCAACGGCCAACCGACCCCTTCGCCTCGACATCCCCGCTCCCGAACCTTTCAGCGGAAAGGCGGAGGACCTCAGATGCTTCATCCAATGCATCCTCTCCTACTTCGTCGCCACCAACAACACCCGACTCAGCGATGAAGCAAAGATCGCCTTCACCGTAGCACTGATGAGGAAGGATCTGGGGAAAACATGGGCGGACACGTATTACGAAAAGTCGGCAGGGGGAGTCCAAGTCTATTCCACGTGGGCAGACTTCGTTGCCGCTCTAGAAGAGGCGTTCCCTGAGCACGGAACGCGAATCAAGGCACATCAAATCCTGATGAAACTGCCTGAACGACAGAAGGATAGGAAGACGGCGCTCTCCCTCGGTAACTACGTCACCCGCTTCGAGCAGCTAGCATCAAAGGCTCAGCTCAAGGACACCGAGGTCAATGGCACCAACCGCATCGAGAACAACTACCACACTCTCCATGCCAACTTCGTCAAAGGACTCCCGAAGGAGCTATATTTTGCGCTCGCAACAAGGGTCGCTAGGGATCGACCCAACACCATGAAGGCCTGGTACGACGAAGTCCGAAACGCCGACGCAGCCAAGCAGGGGGCTCTCGTCGTCACAGACACCAGGGACTATGGCGAACCAATGGATATTGACGCCGCTGCCGTCGCATCAACCTTCACCTCCACATCGGGAGGAAGGAAATGGGAACTAGGAGCCGTTCTCAACGAGGCTGATCGGAAGCTCCACAGGGATGGGAACCTGTGCTTCTACTGCCACATCAAGGGTCACAGCGCCAAGGATTGCCGCAAGAAAGCGGCCGCACGACAAGGGGGTGGAAGGCCGAACCAGGGAGGATCTGGGAAGGACGACTTCCGCGCCAGAATCAAGACACTCTCCGCTAACGAGAAGCGGGAGCTGTACGAAGAACTTACGATGGAGGATTTTTGAAGGGGCAGGGTGAGCCGACGCAACCACTGCCCGTATCCGTTTCACTGTCCCGTGTAATTCTAGTAGTCCGAAATGAACACGCTCTGCACATTCCAATTACTGTGGGACGAAAAGACGTCGAGGCGTGCACTTTCATCGATAGCGGCGCAACCGGAATCTTCATCAGCCCGAGATTCGTCCGAGAGCATCGACTTCGGACAGAACCTCTTCCCCGACCCATCCCCATCTTCAACGTGGATGGAACACCGAACAAAGAAGCACTCATCACGCAAAGAGCTCTCTTATCCTACAAGATAAGCAGAGAACCCCGATTCGTCAAAGCCTATGTCACCAGCATCAGCAAGGAAGACATCATCTTCGGCCATACCTGGCTCATGTCACGAGTTGGTACTGTCACGAGTTGACACGGCGTCTAGCCGTTTTTTAATTTTTTCCTTTTCACGGGCTCGAACCCGTGACCTCTGTACTATACGCTCGAACGGACAAGTCCTTATCTACTGTACGATTAGATTAGATGGGGCGGCAGTGCACGGCACAGCTCGGGCTCCGCTGACACAGCCGCTCTGACTCACCGGCCCCTGGGGCCGCGTCAGCATGCTGTGCACGGACCAGCTGCGCACGGACCAGTGTGCACAGCCTCCCCTAAACTTCCCCTGTATATAAGCCGGCCTCTGCTGCCCTAGGGACCTCAGTTTCGACCTCTTGTCCCTAGGTCAGTAAGCATCCCTTGTATTCCTTTTCTTACCTCACTAATATATTATCTTGTCCCTAGCCTTAGGTTTGAGCTCTGCTCACCATCGCTTCGGTAAGACCCAGTCGAACGCCCCCAGCATCCTTGGTTTGTGTTTCCCCTGTCGCTCGACCCTAAGTCGCAACATTAGGTCGAAACTCCTCACTGCTGCCGGCGTTCCTCGGAACCCACACTCACTTTCTCACTTCCTATAGGTTGGGTGGTGCGCACCCTTACTGTACCTTACGATACGTAGATAGCATACATACATCGCCAACACTCGAGAAACGAACTCTTCAGTACCTGCACTTCAGTGAGCGGTACTTGTCCTCACGGACGCGTAGCCTTGGTTCCTGCTGCATACTAGCCAAAAGCAGTATTGGGCCCTACGTGAACTGCGAATCTCAGTGTCATCTCGGGCGCCGTAGGTGTAAGCTAGTCTACAACGGCCTTTCGTAGTACGCGCACTTCCCCTTCCTCCCCCCATCCAACGTGGCTGCCTGTCAAGGCCAAGTTCACGCATTCGACTCTCAGGACCTCGTCGACACCTACATCCCAGACGGCCCTGAGACTGTCATCTACACCTGCGAGCAGCAGCCGTGCCCCAACCGAACACCCCGATCGATCGAGCAAGACTACCCACGCTACAAAGCGATCCGACGAGCGCAACATCCGCTCGGTCCTCGAAGCACCCTTGCATCTCAATCTGCCTCACGGCACTCTCGCCCTGTCTCCCCTAGCTCCCGCCTTCCCCAAACTGTCGCCGGTCCAAGTCAAGCACGAGGAGATCTCCCTCCAGACCCTGCGCCAGAGCCTGAGCCTGAGGAGAGTGCGAGTGAAGAAGGAGTCTCGGAGTCCGAGTCCGCGGACCCTGCTCGGCCCGCCTCGCCGACAGCACTCGCCCCCACGTCAGCAGTCCCTGACGTACGTGACCCCGCCTCTGGGCTTCCTCCAGCGCCTTCACCGCCGTCGCCGCCGCGAGGCCGCTCACGTACTCGCTCCCCTCGTAGTCCGACCAGCGGAGGGCCACCACAGCCGCCTCCGCCCCCGACAAGGAGACTCTGAAGCTTCTCCTCCCCCTCCGATATGATGGGAAAACCGTCATTGAGTGCGACAGGTTCCTGTCGCAACTCCGCATCTACTGGTTGATCAACACGTCGTTGACGACCATCGAGCTCAAGGTGCAGGTTGCATTGAGCCTGCTCGACGGTGATGCCCGCGCCTGGGCCACTCCCTATTTTGCCCAGCTCGCATCGGTACAGATGGGCGTCCAAGGGGTCACGACCCCCTTCAGGAACGAAGCGGCCTTCACTACCGCCTTCAAGGCCCGCTTCGGAAATCTCGATGACGAGGCGGCGGCACAAGTAGAGTTGGCGAAACTCTGCGCGGATAAGTCGGTCCGTGAAAAACGCACCGCTGCAGAGTTCTCCGCGCTGTTCAAGGGTCCGGCGGACCGCTCCGGGTATGGGGACCTAGAGCTACGCGACAAGTACCTGAGCGGCATCCCCTCCCGTGTGTACCGCAAGATCGAGCTCGAGACCTTCACCACGTGGCTAGAAGCTGAGAAGCGCGCCACTGAGGTCGAGCAGATCCTCGACATCAGCCGGGCCCGTCGGCCCGAGCTGAACAACTTCTTCTCGGCCCGAGGACGAGGACGCGGAGGGGCACGTGGTGGTGCACCCCAGTCACACGCAGCTTCGGCCAGCATCAATGCGGCCGTCGGAAAAGGAAACTTCCCTGGCAGTTGTTTTGGCTGCGGGAAGCAAGGGTACCGTCGTTTCGAGTGCCCCAATTGTAAGGACAAGCCTTACACAAAACGCGCCGACACGCGGGCTACGGTTGCCTCGGGATCCACCCAGGCCGCGACAAGCGCCCCCGTCGCTTCACCCTCGGCAAGTACAAGTACCGCTTCAGCACCTTCGGAGCTGGCGGACTTGACGGCACAGGTGAAGTCGATGCGCGAAGAGCTCGAGCATTATCGGGCGATGAAGGAGGAGGGTTTTTGATCCGGTCTGCGCTTCGTGCCACACGCGTCAGGCCGCGAGTATCATGTAACAAGTACAATATACTGTCTTCTGCAATGGTGTACGAGTTGGACCAGGGGTCCCAACACTTTCACATTCCAGTTCGACTCCAAGGGAAAAGACGGCACAAGGACGTAATCGCCATGGTGGACAGCGGAGCCA